GGTGCATCTAACAGCAAAGTTAAGCCAACCTAAACACAGTCGTATGGAAGGCTAAGAGGACGAGTCGAACAGTGAGTGTGTGTGTGTGTGCAGTGGCATCTTTTCAGTATTTTTGGTATTTTTTGTATATTTATATTATCCAACTTACTCAGAGAAGCAATCCAAAGTAGAGCTGGACTTGGGAAAAGACGAGATAAATGATACTATGTTAATGATCATTGAGCTAATCATAATTAAGTAAAATGTCCTTAAGATACTAATGAATAAGTTAATAGTAAGCATAGTGATAACTAAGAACTGTTAATAATAATGGTAATGACAATTATTAAAGAACGAATGAGACATTTGATGAACTGATGAGACATTTGTGTCTGTTTATCTAATAATAAATGTGTCTAGTATATGTGTCACAGATGTTATATAGAAAACCAAATTCGAGTACTCCAAAAAACCTTCTTTGTCTTATGCTGCATCCCATTTTATAGTCCGCATCTCCTACGTTGTCTAGTTGAGCTTTTGTTTCAGTATTACTGCGTCCAGGCTTCAGTTTTTCTACCGCAAAGCCTTTTCGGCGCTGTCACTGACTGCTCTCCAAGCATCGTTGTCTTTGCACATTTGCTCCATTATGGTCTCTACCTTGATTTCACCGATAGTTTGTGCCAGGTCGGTGCCCCCTTCTGTACACCTTTCGCAATAGAAGAAAGTCTGCTCTCCGTTAGTAGATTTATAATGTGGATGATGGCATTGATAATGATATTCATGTGAGTGATGATAATCATACTGATTACAATTATCTAACTGATAAAGTACATCATGATAATTAAGTCGTTTATGATAATAATGATGATAATGATGAAGATAATACTGAAGACCTTAGGTGCTAGAAAGATTTTGTATTCATGATGAGCATCATAATCAGCTTTAGATATAATTTCTCAAGTAATGTACACAGCTTAAAGACATGTTGATGGGCTAAGGGTATCTTTAGGTCGGACACTCCCTACTAGAACACTCTTTTTTGTTTTTTCTATTCATTATTGTCTTTTGCTTTTGTTTTTATTTGCTTTTTTTGGCTGCTTATAAGTTGCATCATCGTCATGATTGCCGGCCATGCTCACGCACGACTGCCGATTGACACGATCTACATAAAGATAGTGTATATATGGATGTATCTATTTCAGTTATTTATTTGTATATATGTTTATGATCTACTGATTTGTTGTAGCCATAGTTGCCTCTGAGTTCTTGCTGTTCTTATGCCATATTGATTTTGTATATACATCTTAGATATACTCTTAGATTCTATATATACTAAATTTAGTTAAGTACTCGCGACTAGAAGATACCCTGCACCCACTAGCACTCAGAGCTGTCGTAACACACAGTTGAACTTTCTTTTATACATACAAATATACATTTGTATATACATATATACAGACATTCTTTCTCAAACACACACACACACACACACACACGCACACAGAGGCACGCACGACACAAGCTGCGCCACTTTATGCAGCGATTGTACTTTCTCTTTCCTATGCCCCAAACTATGGGACATGCATTCTTTGGTGTTTATACATCCGATCATTGTGAAACTTCTGAACATGATAAATATCCAAGTTAATTGTCGCCTCAAACACTGAGATCTTAGATTAAGCTTACAACTGCTTCATTTAGACATCTGAAGCTTGATCGATTATTCTAGTAAAACTCTGTTCAGATCTGTTTACCTGCATCTCAATTAGTTAGTATATATGATTATCATTGAATATATCTGTTTAGGTATATAGATAGGCATATACATTTCCCAATGCGTTCTAATAACACAGAAGTGCACAGTATGTTTGGCTCGGAAGCGGTCAAAGCAGAATGACGAATCTATAAAAAAAGAGCTTTATTTTTAGTGCTCGCCGTTAGGAATAAGCCAAATAAAGAACCGACACAAATGAAAACCACAAACAACTAGAGCTAGAGTCTTTGACTTCTGCTGTACGTCCACTCGCTGGCTAGCACCGGCGCGGCGTTGGTTGCATCACTCCGCCGTAAACGCTGGGCGACAGTCGTTGGCCATTTGGGCTCACGCGCGATCTACTTCACACACACACACACACATGCAGACGTACCTATTTGTACATATATGTGACAATGTATTTGCCACAGTTGACTGCGCTTACCTTTATTGACCATGCCAATTAATAGAATTAAACAGAACACGGCTTTTACTGTACTCCAGTTCATACAAAGTACGGTTTTATTTTCTTTAGCTCATTTCAAGCTGCTCTGTGAACTGGACGGCAGCAACATAAGCAGTAAGTCGGCTCTTGGCGGGTATGCGCGACGCAGAGTTTACCTATACCTTATTTTTATTGCACATTGAATCGTACTATGCGCTCTGTGTTACTTTTCTTACTCATACACGAAGTGAAGGGAGTTATTGATTGTGTGAAAGGCCCGATATTTGTCACATATAATCATATATATACGTTTGTCTTGTTAAGCTGCGACAAATCGGGAATTGGCATGCCTTTTAGAACGTAAGCGCTCTTACTTAAAGTCATTTTTGAGCTACAGACTATTCATTTAAGACATCATTGGGTACACAATCATCAGATAGTTAGAGCCCAACATATTTCTTTTGAATCATAGTAGACTCAGTACTCAAAATATTCTCTGAAATACACATATGTATAAAGCATATACGTCTGCTCCAGATGATATGAAGCCGGCGTGCAGAACAAACATACGAATATCATATAAAATTTATATAGGTCAGAAGAAGCTTCCATTTGGCTTAGTGCACATTAGCACATTTGCAAAGCTTTGAATACGCCCGGTGATACGCGTTTTAATGGGTACGGAGTATTAACACAGCTACACTAATAAATATTGTGCAAGTGCCTGGCAAGCACGACCAGTCGATGCTCTGTAAAATGCTTGAAAGTGTTTGAGCTTCATACTCTGCCTGAACCTTGACAAATATATAGGAAAATAGGCACACCTATAGAGGTGGACGTACCATATAAAATGAGCAAAAGACAAGCATCGAATTGGATTAACTTCTGAAGATTATCTGGAGGCTATGTAAGGTATTATTTAGAACTTTTTTTAGAATTGTTTAGTTAAGGCCCATATAGCCCTTTTGACCCATTTAAATGATTAAAGGGTATAAGCGAATCATGTGATATTCGAATGGAAAATACCCTGCATTCGTATACGTATTCCTCATTGTTCCCACAATGTACTAAGATTTTTCAGGAAAGATCCATGAAAGCTTTTTAAATTAGTTTTGCAATATTTCTATAATGTATTAAGTTAATTCAATATTGAAGCAGTAAATCTATATATGACTACAGATTGTAGAATTACTTATCATGTGAAACAAGATAATAAATGGATTGTTAGATAAATTCAATCTAATGTATATATTCTGTTATCTACAATGCTTATATGCTGTTTGAAGCCATCTGGCGCATACAATTGGTTATACATCATCTGTTATAAGCAACATGTCTTACAAAATATATTATATGCAGCCTGTTATATATAATATCTGTTATATAGCATATTTTATGCGCAATCTGTTATATACAATCTTGTATACACAATCTGTTATATACAATATTTTATACATAAGCTGTTATATACCATATGTTAAATATCTACAATCTGTTATACACAATCTGTCATATGTAAAATCTGTTATATACAATCCGTTCTATACATTCGTTATACTTTCTCATACCCCATATGCAGTATATGCAGGGTATATACAACTTTACGTCGTTAACAATGGGGTAGCAATGCCGGCACTTTTACACACCGGTTGCTTCAGTAGTTGCAAATGTGCTTGATGGAGGTCTTAGATATTACATGGTAAATACAAACTTAACATTTTATAAAAGCTAAGCTTTTAAAGCTAGCGTACTTTAAGAGCAGCAAAAATGTTTTATTATCTTTTGCATTAACGTCAAAGTATAATTAAAAGAACCAGTTTTTGCTGACTAATTCTACAAAAAAGAATAAAACTGAAGGCTACTAGTACAAAGTATAAGCTGAGTAGTAAGTATATTTATTTAAGAAAAAAAATTTAATTACTAATACTATAGATCTAAATAAGTGAAACTTATATTCTAATAGTATTAATAAAATAATCATTGATTTATTAGTGGAGAAAATTTTATTTAATTTAAATTTGAAATTTAATTAGGACTGAAAAAGAAACTGAAAATATAGTTTCAAAATGACTAATATTGACTGATTAATACAATTTGAATAAGCTTATACATTAAAAGGTAAATAGCTTTTATTTTTCTTTGTTTATATAAAATATTTCAAAGTTTTTCCTGTTCTTTAACATTGCACATTGCACACTCACATATCCATAAAAAATGGCAATAACTTATGTTACGATCCACCCTCGAACAAATTGTGTAAAGCTTTGCGATTGCGCAGCTTGCTTGTATTTCACGTCTGCAACAATGCCACAACAATGACAAACAGCTAACCGACCAACCGAGCAAGCGAGCTACCGGCCACCCGACCGCCCGACCGCCCGCACGACCGCATCAACAATCGTCCGAACAACCAAACGAACGACCGAACGGCCAATCGGCCAACCAAGAAACCAACAAGCCGAACAGCCATCAGCAAACCAATCAACCTTATGGTGACGGTGGTGGTCGGTCGCTCGTTCGTTCGGTCGCTCGGTCGCGCCGTCGGTCGCTCGGTCGGTCGCTGCACACGCGCATTGCTGCGAACTTCTGTAAGGCAAGCGCCAGCAGAAAACCAGTTATAAGTCAACTTTCATTCCAAGCAGACGTGTCAGGCGTACGGATCGGAGCGCGTTTTAGTGTGTTGTGTTTGGCAACAGCGAACTCCGTTAAAAATACATATAAAAAAATATATATATATATATATATATATATATATAAATTCATATATATATATATATATTGTATATGTAAATATGCACATGCATGTGTATATACACGTTTAATAAATTCACGCTCATAGATAACCATTCATTTCAAAAGGTGCTCGCCAGTCCAAAAAGTATCTTTTTATTTATTTATTTATTATTTTTTAAGTTGTTTTTTTTTCGTGCTGTTGTTAAATGAAACGACTTGATCTCCCACACTCAACCTCTGGGAAGAGTAAAAGTAGAACATTTCAAGAAAGCGAAATCAATAAATAGTATACCCATATTTGTACCTGGTATATAATCATAAATATATCTGCATACAATATGCGCTACATATATATATTGAAGTGTGTGTGCGTGTGTGAATAAGTGTGTGTGACATAAAAAAACTGAAATGTGGATTACGTTTTGAAGTGAATTGCGACTAGTGACTGTGTGCGTTTGCCTGGCTCGGATATTGGTTCGGATTCGTATTCGGATTCGGAATCGGAATCGGAATCGGATTAAGTTTTGAATTCGGCTTGAGCGCATTGTACTTTCTCATATGGATTCAATTAACACATCGTATATCGAATTCATGAAACACTAACCAAAAAACTAATGAACCACAGAGACTTGTGGGGTTTTTTGGCCAGTAGCTATCGACGCACAACAAAGGCAACATCGTTGATAATTAGTGAAAGATACTAGTTAGATGTAACGAAAGTTGGAGAAACCGGTCAACGAAATGCCTAACTCAATAACAATTTATGTATAGATATATATATATATGCCTTCGCAGCTATTGCAAGTGATCTATGGCTGCATATGACAGGCATTTCCTTTTGTTTATTGCCTTTTGACCTATTTCTAAATGTATAGATATATATATACATATATATATATAATGGATTTCTTGAATAGACCGTTAGACAATAATCATATTTCGCTTGCACAGCCTTGCCGCTATGTCAGACACAAACAAACATTTGAAGGCCATAGGTTGAGATTTCAAAATAGACTGCAAAGAGTTCAGACCATAAACAGCCAACTTAGCCAAGAATGTGATTCCCATGGCAAAATACAGAAACAAAAACCACAGACGCTGCATAAAGTAAATCCAGTAAAGTGGTTTTCAGGCCCCAACATTCACATAATGCATAATATCTATGTAAGTGCTTCCCAAGCCAATCTACTATTGGGGAAGCCAACATATATTCACACACATGTGTGTGCGTGTGTATATGTTAATACGTATGTATGTATGTGTGGCTGCACTTACATGTTGAATGAATTTTTGGTTTCAAATAGTTTTGAGCTTCAAAGTCATTGCCCGGTTATTGTGATTTTCCTCTGCTTCTTCTTCGTGTTTAAATGCATTTGTTGTTGCTTTTTATGCACCATTACATACACACACACACACACACTGATACACTCTTACACATTCATATTCATGACTATATCAAGTGAAAATTTCAGTGTGAATGCAAAATGAAAATCTTGTGAGAGAGATCAAACTCATGGTTCATACACAGCGAGGCTTAGTTAGTTGTTGTGAATATTAATTAAATACATATGCTGCACATGCAATTACATACATAAATAAGTTGAAAACTAACTGTATATACGACTGCAACTAATCAACAGCTAATAACAGCAAAGAGCAAGCCATGTTTCGCTTTAGCCAGAGGTTATTGTTCGACTCGTCGGCAAACGATTTGCATAGAGCCATGGCCTCTACGAAACACTCACTCCTGGTAATGATGATGATGATGTCGCTAATAACATACGGAAATTGTCACGGTAAGTTCCTTATCAGCAGCGATGATGACGATGATTAAATGATTGAGAAAATAGTTTTATAACAAAGCAAAATGCAGCGAAGTCCTTCAATTATTATCGACTATTTAATTGCTGTTAAGTTTGCTGCATAAATATTGTAAATTAAATACTTATTGTCTACAGATTTCGAAATAAATATGCAATATTTATAAATCATTACAGTTTGATTAAGATTCTGAAATTAAACATTTCCAATTTCATTCTCAAATATTTAATTGATCTAAACATATTTTGGCAGAAGCATGAGCCAGAGCCAAATCTAGAGCAGAACAATTAGACACAATTCATATATATAATCTTTATATATGGATATACATATAAGTTTGTATAAGTCAAGCCAGAATTTGACGCTTTTCAATCAAGCTCACAAACCGCAAATCAATTAATGCTAAATTAAAAATCAAATCAAGTCAAATGCTATATATATCTATATATATACATATATTAGTCGAATTAGTATGTATTTTGATGTACAGCCAGGTCTACGCATCGAGAATTAGGCCAGCAAATGTTTGGCTCCAGCAGCTAAAACTGCTTTGTTGTTGCTGGCTTAGGGGCCAATAGCCCAGACCTAAAGTACACCTGCTTCATCTATCTATAGAAAATTGGCAAAATACACTTTCCTCTATTACTTATACAAGATGCATTTTTCTTGACCCATTTTGTTGTTCGACTTTTTCCAATTGTTCAACATTATTTAAATAATTTTTATAACGCTTATAATTGCCTGGGGCAAACGCATTTCGAATTTTGTTGACGACTTTCAAACATTGCATACACCTATGTATGTGATATGTTTATAAATGTCGCTTTTGTGTCGTAACGGAATTTAGATTCAACCTACCTACCCAGCTAGCCAGCTAGCTAACTACCTGGCTACCTCTACCTGTGCTGGCTGCCCCAGTTAGCGCAAATGTGAAGGTAGTTCATCTGTCTTTCAGACTCGTTCACTGAAATAAAAGGGTATATTAGCTACTTGATTCGTTCGGAAAGGCATCGCCGTCTTAGACAGAGCTCGATAATTATCGATCATTATCAAGTTGCTCGACAGATCAATCCAAATTTGTTTGTTTCCATAGCTACTTATAGGTATAGCCACTCATGTATGCATATTCACTGAACTCCCCACACATTTCGTATAAAAACTTTAATTTCAAGTCATTGCCATATTTGTTTGATTGGCCAACAACACATGCCAACAGGAATTGCTAATTGAAACGTATAATTTTTATTTATGTTTTATTTTTGTTTATTGTATCGCAATTTGATTGATCTATTACGTCAAGTTATAGGGAATTTGTCAAAGTTATTATCAAAGATTTCGTATCTGAAAGAAGCAAATAGGGTCGTAAACCTAAAGCCTATTCTAGTTTCCAGCTAAGATTCAGTAAGCCAAAAATACTTTGAAGTGCAAGCTTATTCTTGGCTATCAAATTTTATTGACCTTTGATTTTCTTGGTATTCAATAGGAAACAAGTCTTATGCTCATTAAATCTTAGGTCCACTTATATCTATTGATAAGAACAAGCAGCTAGGACGATTTTGTCGTCATTCTTTCTGTTTATCCGTCTGCATGAACACATCTTTCGCTGATCCTAATGGAGCTAAGCACGCGCTTAGATAATCGATAACTTGAATGAACTCGATGAAATCGCATAGGTCGAATGTGGCATGACAATTACCATATTTAGTACTCAGAGTACTTCACTTTTTGCTTAACAACTTGAATCCGCAAAAATCAGAAAAACAAACGTATTTTTAAGCAACGACGCGCGGTTCCGGGTATCTGCTAGTCGAGACTGCCTCTCTCCCTGCTCGCCGCACTCCGACTTATTTAAAAAATAGATGAAGCCAATAAAAATTGTGGCCAGTTCCGTCCAATTTCACGTGTACGGGTTTTACATCTTAAGACTGTGGGCCGCATACGAATAATTACAGTAATTATAATTGCATGATCTGATCTCCGCTGCTCTCGGGCTCTGACATATGGCGACAAATATGTAAATATTTTATAACGTATTATTTGAAATTTTTTCTTCCTTTCATAAATTTGCAATCGCTTTGTGAAACTTACAAATTCCGATTTGATGAATAAAATTACTTAAGTGGACAATATTTTTTGAAGCAGATAAAAAGGAAAATGGAAAAGACTGATTTAACTGTTTGCCTAGAGCTTTAATACATTTTCCCTAAGCAAAGTTAAAGAAATTGTTATAAAAAGTTGTTCAAGTTGAGGAAGTTAAACGGACAAGGAAACAACTTTTATTACTCTCAAATCGTATCATACACATGCGTCCTATATACATATGCCCACACAAACTGAAAGACCCATTGAAGTCATTTTATTACGTGTATGTATAATTGTTTAATCTAGATTTATGCGAGGTCTTCCATGAGTGTTCAGAGTTCTCTAAAAGATTCTAATGGCAGCGAAAGGAAAATGGTTAATAGACCAAAGATCGTAACTAGCTAATTGAAGTGAAGACTTCTTCACTTATAGGTCTAAAACGGAGAGTGAACGACCCTTGAGGCTATAAGTCAGATGGATATATATGTGGATATTAGTTATAAAACAGAACTCGATTTATTTTCAAGCTGTCCAGGTCTTATAGAGCTGAATAATTGCCTGGGAAAGGAATAGAGCTAATTGCGAATGATATGTCATGTGTTTTTATTGCACGCACAATGCAACTGGCAACCCTCGTATAAGTATGGATATCATAAGCACTGGTAAAACCGGATAAAGGCGATTGTTGTCTCATAACAATAACTGCTTTTTATACGGCTCTTGGGCATAAGAGCGAAAAATAACAAAATCATTGAAGTTAGCAACACTTTGCACAATTGCAACGTCGAGAAGGGAGAAACCTGACATCAACAGCTGCAACAGCGAACAACAAATGAAAAATTGAAACAGCTTAAAAACGATGCCAAACCCAGCCAAGGAACATATGCATATCAAATTTAAATACATTCAGCAATTGATGATAAAATACTCTATTCTCGGCTAAGCGACTTCATAGCTCAAATCAGCCTTAACTTTTGACCTTTTCATCTTGTGCTCGCACTGACATGCGATATCTTTTGAGGGGCTTATAGCTAATAGATATTCTAGCACGGTAGATCGAAAAACTATAGGAGTTATTGATGGCCATATGCCAATTCCGTATCATATGTGAATAATTTAGAGTTTGATCTTGGACTGGACGTTGATCGTGCCAATTATTAATTATATATCCACTTAGTCTCTATATTTGTATGAACGACAGCTCATATATATATAGATATATAAATAAACACGTATGTAAAAATATATATATTCATATATTTTAGATATTTCTAAGAGTCCAACTCGGTTTGTGTGTGTGGGAGAAATTTCGATTTGTTTTCGATCAAATCGAAGCTTGAAACTTGTTTTCTGCTTTTGTAGGAAAATGTTGATGGTAACATGAAATGCGGATTCCAGATGGTATGGGAATGTTTTAATATCTTAATGGGCATAAAACCCAGCTGAAGTCTAAAGCGAAAGAAAAGGCGAAAATAATGTTACAGTCGGCTGCAATTGCCAATGTAATATTTGCACATAATATCTATGCCAATAATAGGGCCCATATAAAGCTTGTACATATATACATACATACATATATATATATATATATATATATATATATATATATATTTGTGTATATAAGGTAGATGGTAGATAACAATAATGAGAGTTTTATTCTTAAATTGTTACAAAATTTGAATAACAAATTTTCGGCTGGAATTTATAGGCATACAAACGTACACATAAAACTTGTGAATATTTTAGCATTATGGGAAAACTGTAGAAAGAAACGGAAAAACTTTTAATTTGTTCGTTTACAAATTATGGTCTCTGGGAAAAAAGCCCAAATTTAAGTGATTATATATTATATGCAAATTAATTGAGTTCTTGTGTTCTAACAAAGGGAAATCAAGAAGAAGAAAAATGGGTAGGCAGCTACTTTCAGGGCATTGTGAAATTGCTGGACATTTTTCTAGCCATAAAGTAGTCGAGTGTTCAAAGCATAACTCCATATTTCTTATTGCTGTTTTTTTCCAATTTCTTATTTGATATTTGACTTTATTTCTTTAGTTTACCTTTAGACCATTTCTGTATTTTCTCTAAATTTTCAGTATTGGAATATATTTGAGCTCTTACTATATAAATATAAATATATATAGATATAGCTTACATATAGATGTAGATTGCATAAACCTGAGAGCTTGATGCATAATGATACTCATTTTCATATAAATAAAAAGATTTGGCTAAAAGTTTAAGTTATGCAAAGGCTCAGCATATAATGCATATAATACCTTATTCAGGCTCTGCTACTAAATGATTCAAAATCGAAATTCGATCACCGAAATGAACGAATTATAAACAACTTTTGGCTTTACAATTTCAACAGGCAACAAACCAAGACTTACACATACAAGCAAATAAATATGTTGTAAGTGTAAATGTTCATGATCGACTTGAATATGGTTTTAAGACGCGTCAACTTTTTGATACCCTTTCCAAGTAGCATGATGTAAAAGCTTGCACTTTGTGTGAGCGCGACAAATTTTTTAAACATTTTGCAATACTCTTTTCTCCAAAGGGAAGAAAAGGGAAGAAGAAATTGTGCACAGCTGCTTGTGCAAATGTATGTATACACGCATACATACACTTGAGAGAGAAGGGAGAGTAAGAAAAAGAAAATGGTGCATTGTGTGACCTGATGAGAGCATCGGATCTCTCGCTCGATTGCACGACGGTAGAAGAGTGTCGGCTTAGCCTTCGCTTAGGTGAGAACGCAGGAGAGAAAGGGTCAGCAAATACTGAGTTGTGTCATGTTTAAGAAAGTGTGTTCTAGTTGTCGCATCTATGCTTGAATATACATATGCACATATGTAAGTATATAAGAGTAAATAACGGCCTTTTGTGTATATATTTTTAGTATGTGGACCGCCGGCAGTGCCGCTAAATGCCAAAGTTCGGACAGTGTCCGGTGAGACGGGCATATCGGAAGCCCATTACACATGCGATGCCGGTTACGAGCTGTTTGGATCGCCGACAGTCAAATGTGACTCGCGAACCGGCTGGGAGCGAGAGCTGCCCTTCTGTGGTGTCAATGTCGCCTACCGGAAGCCAGTTAATCAGAGCTCCTATACGCGCAGTGGACCGGCCAGCTATGCAAATGATGGCAAGCCAGGCAATAAGGTAATTTATTATACATATATACATAAGTCAAGGCTGAATCAGACGTGGTGTATCTCATAGAACCCAGATGGGCAGGAGTGCTCAGAAACGCAAAAGGAACCATCGCCATGGTGGCGTGTGGATCTCTTGGCACCGCAAGCGGTGCATGTGGTGCGCATTACAACGCGAGGCTGCTGCGGCCATCAACCGTTGCAGGATCTGGAGATACGTGTGGGCAATAGCAGCGCGGATTTGCAGCGCAATCCACTGTGCGCCTGGTACCCGGGCACACTCGACGAGGGCATTGTGAAGACTTTCACTTGTGCCCGACCGCTAGTTGGCCAATATGTGGCCATACAGCTGGTTGGTGTCGAGGGCAGCTTGAGTTTGTGTGAGGTGGAGACATTTACAAATGATGAATTTTCGGTTGATCGCTGCTTGAGTCCCAAAATTGGCGTTGATACCGTTGTGACAACATTCTCAAAGACATGCTACGACTTTCATGTAACGAAAGGAGAAAGCTTCGAAAAAGCTCAAGACATATGCAAGCAAACAGGCAAGTATGCAGCTGACAAAAACTATCGATAAAATTATTAACGATAGCCGCCATCCTTTTTTCTCTCAACCAGGTGGCAATCTCGTGCACGAGTTTCGTGGCGCTACAAGTCAATACATTTTATCGGAATTGGAGCGTCGAAAGTCCGAGCTGAAACCGCAGTTGGTTTGGATTGGCGCACAAAAGGAACCGGGCATTACGTCTCGCACCTGGAAATGGGTGAATGGTATGACATTAAAAATAACTAACTTTTCCACAATGTATGCAACACCTAATGGCAATGCGAATTACAGGTGAAGTAGTGCAGAAGCCGGCATGGGGCAAGGACCAGCCAAATAATTACAATGGCGAACAAAATTGCGTTGTCTTCGACGGCGGACGCAATTGGCTCTGGAACGATGTTGGCTGCAATCTGGATTATCTGCATTTCATATGCCAACACAGTATGTTCAGCTAAATTTGAACAGCCAGCAACTGTCTATATGATTTTTCTTCTATTTATTCTATTTAGCACCTTTGTCCTGCGGCTCCCCGGATGCGAAGCAAAACACAACGGTACTGGGCAAAAAGTTTACACTGGGCGAAAAGATTCAATACGACTGTCCAAAGGGCCACTCGCTGCTCGGCCACGCAGAGCGCGAGTGCAAAACCGATGGCACTTGGAGCAACTCGGCTCCAAGCTGTAAATGTGTGTAGACCTCACTCGCAGAAACGACTCGATGTACTAATGCATTTTCTTGGCAGATGTTGACTGCGGCGCACTGCCAGAACTCAAATTTGGCTCGATACATCTGTCTGAGGATCGCACCAGCTACGGCGTGGTGGCCACGTACAGCTGCCACGAAAACTACACGTTGATTGGCAACGAAAACCGAACATGCTTGCAGGATGGCTGGAATGGCAAGCAGCCCGAGTGCCTGGTCGACTGGTGTCCAGATCCACAGCTGATAACGGGCGGCCATGTGAAGTTCAATGACAAACGAGCTGGCTCCACGGCCACGTATGTGTGTGAACCGGGCTACGTGCTCGTTGGCGAGGCCGTAAGTAGCTCAAATTGAGTCAGTATAATTACTTTATATTCACGTTCACAATGTGATACGAGTGTATTGGCATTGTCCAATGTACGTCTTGCCGTCCATCCGATTGTCCAGAGACTGCAATTTCGGAGTAGATGCTCAGGTGTTGCCTGCTCTTATAAGGTCTCATTTACAATAAATGATCAAAGCCAAAAACTGTGGCAATTGCTGAAACTATATCTCCTCTGCAGCATCTGCAATTTTTATGGATGATCTCTGCTAGACCTATAACTAACATTGGGTCAGCGATCTTTGGTTTTCCATGCTTTTATGTTCATATATGTTCATATATTATAGATCATTTCCTGTGGATTGGGTGGCGAATGGTCGAGCAAAACGCCATCGTGCAGATTTGTTGATTGCGGCGCACCCGCTCGTCCGGATCGTGGTATATCGATTCTACTGAACGGCAGCACGACCGTCGACTCTGTGGTCAAATACGAGTGCGACGAGGATCACTGGCTAGACGGGCCGTCGGAGCTGTACTGTACTAGGGACGGCAAATGGTCGGGAGAGGCGCCCGTCTGTGAGCTAGTCACATGTGAAACGCCGCAAGTGCCAGCCGGCTCCTTTGTCATCGGCTACGACTATAATGTACACTCGAAGATACAGTACAACTGTGACCCGGGCTATATAATGCATGGGAATCCAGTGCTTGAGTGCCTCGACACTGGCGATTGGAGCTCCGACGCGCCCTACTGTGAATGTAAGTATTCCGTATTACGGTAATGCAAACAGAATTTAATTTGCCTTATATCTACTGTGGCAGATATCGACTGCGGCACCATATTGCCCATACCCTATGGCACCCTCAAATATGTGTCCAACACAACGCATGTCGGCTCAGAGGTGATTTTCAGCTGCACGACATCCCACAAGCTGAGCGGCCCGCTCAAACGGAAATGTCTCGAATCGGGCATCTGGAGCGAATCCTCGCCCAAATGCGAAGGTAGCACTCACTATGGAATCGCATTTGAACACACATTACATTTAATCATGCCTTTGTTTATGAACTCTAGAAATTCGCTGTCACGAACCAATGTTGCCTACGCATAGCCTGTTGTCCGTCACCGGCAATGATCGCATGTACGGCCGTACTCTTATACGGACAGCAGATTCCACACAGAATACGGCCCAAACATACAAGTGAGTTGTCAACTCGGGTGTGCTCAACTAGAAGAGATTCTAATACAGTAACCAACTATGGGAGCTAAATGACCCTAGATGTACGACTTTAATGAAATTGCCTAAGTGCAAGAGTCCAAGCTTTCAAATTAATAATTAGTAATGAGAGAAGCTATCCAAAATCTGAAATTATCATTAGCTTTGCACTCCTTACAAGAGCTCACAGAGTAAATTTAATATCTATAGGTCTAGGATAGAGTTGAAGTTGAAGAAGTTGACTAGGCTGACTCAGCTCGTTCTCTTGATCGACAATAAGCCACCTCTTTCTCTGGCTGTTACATACATTATGGTCCGCTCACTCATTTTCAATGAATAGAAAGTTCGTTTCATAAGATGAAGCGAATATGAACTTTAACATTCATCATGTTTCTGTGTAAAGTTAGGCTATCGACAGCAAAATCATTTTGCTGAAAATAACATTTGTATACAATTTATATATTGTCTCACTTTGAATATGGAATTTCGCGTGAAATCTTGTATTGAAACCTGTTTGCTGAAATGTAATCAAGTTGTTGGCATTTCAGAATTGGAGCGCTGGCAAAATACCGTTGTGAGCGTGGGTATAAAATGGTGGGCGAGGCACTGGCTACCTGTACGGATAATGGCCAGTGGAGCGGCATAATACCAGAGTGTGTTTGTAAGTATACAGAACAGAAAACATAAGCGAAATACATCATCATTGAACACTTTCAGATGTGGAGTGTGGAGCTCCCGAAAATATAACAAACGGCAAGGTCACATTGGCAACGAATGTCACCTACTATGGAGCAGCTGTCCTCTATGAATGTAATGTCAATTACAAGCTGAACGGCGTCTCGCGACGCTTGTGCACAGAGCATGGCAACTGGAGCCACGAGGCGCCCAAATGCGTGGAGGTTGTCTGTGATATGCCAAATGTAAGCGATAGTCTAATTGTTGAGGCAGACACTCGGGCTGTCGGCTCGATGGCTCTGTTCAAGTGTGCCAAGGGTCGCATCTTGATGGGCAATGATACGCGCATCTGCCAAAAGAATGGCAAATGGTCGGGCAAGAATCCGACATGCAGACGTAAGCATTATCGATTTAGCTGTTCTGTGCTGTCTTTACAATTTGTATTAATGTGCTTTATTTACCAACTGAAACAGCTGTCGACTGCGGACGACCATTAGCCATTGACAACGGTCGCGTCATCGTGGTCAACGATTCCACTCTATACGGCGGCTCTGCTGAGTATCACTGCATTCCCAACTATCAGCGCATTGGCCAGTATTTGCGTAAATGTACCGAGGAAGGTGCTTGGAGCGGAAAACAGCCGCATTGTGAGCTGGCAGCTGTCGAGGGCCAAGAGAGTTCGGAACTGGGCACAGGTGTGGCAATAGGCGCCACAGTTATCGTCGGCTTGCTCGTCATCTTTGGCCTCATATTCCTGTATCGCAACAAGGCGAGGCCGGTGAAAAACACAGAGAATATTCAGGCAGCCGAAACGAAAGATGAGCGCAACGCTGCCGTCATGTCCTATTCAACGCTGGAGGCAAACAATCGCATGCACATGGATAACAATCCATCGGCGACATTCAACACATTTCAAGGGGGAGCTGCGCATCGGGGAGCTCGCAGTAATGACAACGCAGTGGACGGCGAACGAGTGAACAATCGCTCAGGTGCCTATTAAGACAGTTATTCATAATTATTTATTAACTTATTGAAACGTCTTTGCAGAGAACATTTACGACCAAATACCAAATGAACAGTTTTATGATGCACCTTACGAGATGCGAACCAATGATGAGGTATACGAGCCTGAGCCAGTATCCAATAATGTGATCACAATCAATGGCATTTCAGTGCGATAAAGAGCATGTAACATAGTTAGATAGATGGCTGGCTCGTTATAAGCATCAATATGCGCATGCATGCATCATTAATGTTAACTTGTGTTTATATATGTATATAGTAATTTTAGAAAGGACGTGAATAATTCGAAGTATTCGAATGACCATTTATCGCCTACTACCCATGCCAGACACACTAGACAACTGTCAACTCTTGTAATTGTAACACAATCTAGTGCAGGATGCTTCTCTGACCCGATACTATCTAATTTTTAATCAGACATGTGCACATGTCTGTCCGTCTGTCTGTTGTTTAAATATTAGCTAATGCATTTGGAATGTATTGCTTGCAGTATTGATAGTTCCTTTCACTATCCAGTAATTGATTACTTAAGATCCAGATCGATTTACATTCTGCGCTCTTATCTATACCACTCCGCTTTATCATAAGCGCACATTTGGGTGCCATATTTAAGCCCTGAAGACTTGGATTGGACTAAAAGCTAATGCTGAGAGAAGAAGATCGAGAAACTCTGATTGTGTTTATGTAGAAATGGAATGCCCGTCTGGCTGGGTACAGGGTATCTGTTAGTCGGCCGCCATCGACTAGAGCACTCTTATTTGTTTTTTTTTTTAAATTATTACTATATATAAATTTACATATATATATAAAGCGAAATATGTATGATCGGAATGTACAACTTTGTTATGCAATGTGTAAGTACTCGCTAATGCTTAAGTGAAAGAAAGAAACTATGTTGTACTGAAATAAATATGTGGTTAACTAATTTATTACGGGTCAGATAAACTGAATGAATGCATATGGCCATAAAGATAACATAATTCATATATAAAATAATACATATTCAATACTGGGTCACAAGGCAGTATCTGCCAGATTTATCGTTCGCGAAATGAGCTTCAGTGTTCGTCGATCTGTTTTGAAATTCTACAATATAATATGTATACTCCACGAAGCAAACAGAGTTTATTGGTGCGTCTTGTCCAAGCGAGCCATGCGGCAAGAGACTTGAAATTTGGAGCATGTAATTTGGCTGGTTGCTGGTTGGTGGCTTCATCTAATAAAGGCCGTTGAGGGGCGTGGCAAATAGGTAACTGGTGTATAAGAATTGCGATTGCTTAGGACGTTAGGTTAATGACATTTCTAATGCTGCCCACTGCCCTTGGGGGCGTGGCAAATCGCTTAGGCTGTAGCAAAAGCACTCCCAAAGTTTGACCAAAAGGCCGTGTCTGCGTCTGCTCACGCCCCCAACGCAAATCGAAAAACAACTATATTTTACTACAGACTCAAAAAAAAAGGCCATGAACGAGGCTAATGCAGTTGCTGGTTAAACCTTTTTGCCTTCAAGTATATTGAGACTATATAGTTATGTCTATTCAAGGCAAATCGGGCAAGTCTCCGGATAGCATAGTTGGTGTTGGCGTAAAGGAATAAAACCTCGCACCTTGAAGGTGAGGCTGAGAGAGGGAAGGCTTTGCTCCTACAGTTCTATAGTTGGTGCCCTATATGGACAAATAAGTTAGTAACCAACCGGAAGGTGCTGCAACCGAGGAGCCGTTGGCGCCTGAAAGACTCACGTCGTGGGCTAAGGCTGGCCCTGACTCTACTGCCCTGGTTAAGCTGCTCTACAAATAACCCCATGATGCCCATCGAATAGATGGGAGCGTGAACGAGCATCTTGCAGTTGCCAGGACTCGACTGCATCGCTTCTAATTGTTGCGTCAGGCACTTTAAACAAAATTGTTTGATCAATATTTCCTTGAGAAAGTGCTGTGTAGCTGCTAGGCCTGTGCCCAGAACAATAAATAGTTGTTCAGAACACACATTTCAACTTACAATATGCTTGATGCTAACAGAAATTTGGCTCTTTTTCAAAATTATTCTAAAGTATTTGGATGTTGAATCGCTTATGTATAAGTTTGGACGTAGGCGGAGTAGACCATGGCGAGGAGAGCTGGAGCACAGCAGCTGCAAACTGAAATCAGTACTGACGAAGATCTTGAGAAGTTCCTAACCCGCCCGGGACTGCTCAGTATATACATATATTTATATGTAATAGCCAGGAAGTTGTATTAATCTGATATTGATTTGCAGTTTTGGAAGTCTACTCGGAGTGGTGTGGACCATGTCTGGGAATGGTTGGCACGTTGCGCCGAGTTAAAATGGAATTGGGAGGCGATTTCTTGAGCCTGGCAATTGTATGTAGTTGCAGACCTCAGTTTTAACAATTGATTAGCTTAGTAAAGCCATTGCCCACAGTGTAAAGCAGATACCGTGACAGCTCTGAGGCGCTTTTACAAAAAGAGTGAGCCGACCTGGCTGTTCGCAATGGTAAGTCTAAGTCTCTTGCACTCGTACTGAATGATGTCTAAGCCCTGTCTTTGTTGTCGTCCCAAGAATGGCAGAGCTGTTAATTTGTTCTACGGGTCCGATGCTCCAAAACTGGTCTCCCTCATAATCAAAGAGTTAGAGAAGGCGCAGGCAAACGTCCCGCGACCAACTTACTCCATTGACGCCTTGCAGCCGATCGAAGCGGAAGCACTTAAAATCAAGAATGATGCAATTGCCAAGGCTGATCGGATTGAGCGGGAGAAGCAACATAAGAAGCGATTGGATTACCTTACCCATTGTACGGATCTCATAATGGAGAATTTGCCAGATATTGGTGTGACAATCTTTGGGCCACAAGTCTCTCGCGATATGTTTAAGAAACTCGCCGAGCCAGCCGATCACCTTAAGATGCAGTGCAAGGATCGAAAGTATCTTGAAGTGACCGCAGCGGACTTTGAAATCATCAACTTCGCTTGCAAGAATCCGTTATCGACCGACATCTTAGAACAATTGTATGGCAAGGAAATGCTTATATGCTTCTGGAAAATAGACGAGTCCGCTGGACCCATACCCCATGTGCTGGCGACCTATGCCCATGAGCTAACTAAGGAACGCGTGGCACCGGCCGATGATGATCACCCTGCGCCTTATCCAATTCCACCTATCATCTCCCCCCTGAAGGTCAAGTTCGAGGTGGAAGTGGAAGGTATGTCGATCGGGATGAGTGAAACTTGCGAAATCTATTTGTTTTTATTTTGTATATTCCTTTTTGCAGACGGCGAAGTGTGGGTTGAGGAGATCAGCTCCTCAGAGGAGGCCAGGCAAAAAGCAGCCGAGAAGAAGGCGGCTGAAAAAGCAAAGGCCGCTGCCCAACAGGACGAAGGCCGAAAGGAAGAAGTAGAGGACGATGGCGAGGAGGAGGGTAGCGAGGAAGAGGAGGTTGTGCAAGCTGCTCAACCAGCATTCCCGGGCATGCAACTCGACATGGATTTGGGACTGGACGATAACGTTGTCACCGAAGAGGAGGTCGAGGAAGAAGAAGAAGAGCCCCCGAAGGCTCTAACGCGCACAAAACGAGTCAAAATACCGCCCATATGGGTGGCTAACAATCGTCGCACCCATGCAGCTTTGATCTATGTGTTCTTCCGCAGTCAGACAAACGGATTTTTGCCTCCGGATCCACCACCAGAGCCACCACACATCATAATGGCATTCGAGGCGTCTAAGCGCGATGATATTTTGGAAGTGATGGAATCCATAAAAGAAGATGTCCCATTATACGGCTTCTTCACGAACGACACGCCCGGCGACGCGAAACTAATAACCAACTCGATATTCCGATACGACGAGAGTAAGGAGCAGACACCAGCCGACCGATTTGTCCTCAAAGTTAACAAGGTGCAATCGTATACGATGCTCTCGTTAGTTCAGTTTGAGCCGACCTATTGCAGTAGCAATGTTGAAAGTGGTCGTTTGGATGCACTCAAGTTCTTCCCGGAGGACTATAGGACTGACGAGGAGATACCACCAGACGTGACGCCGAAGCCGAAGAAGGTAAAGTTTATTTGCTTTGATTTTGTTCTTTCTTTTCTTGACTAACTTACCCATTTGTCTATACTTTGTGCAGCAAAAGAAGAAGCAAATGGTCGCAGAACCAGAGACCAAGCCACATAGATCGCGTGATGCATCTAGGGTGAAATCCGTAATAGCTCCAGAAGCTGAGGCTGCGGCAGCCGCATCAGAGGCTGCATCCAAGCCACCAGATGGTGAGGCTGCACCAGCCGAGGCACCCGCGGCCGAAGCGGCGCCAACTGATGCACCACCAGCCGCTGAAGCGGCGGCACCTGCACCAACAGAGGACGCACCACAACCTGCCGAAGCAGCACCCGCACCTGCACCGGAACCACCCAAGGAAGAAGCCCCTGCTGAGGCACCAGAGCCACCTCCAGCAGAGGCTCCAGCCCCACCTCCAGAAGCCCCAGCCGAGCCAGCACCAGCCGAATAGTTTGTCTCACATAAATTAATATATTTATATATTCATGTGTTTCGTGGCGGTGTACTAAGCTTATTGTCAACAACTTGCAAAATATTCATGAAATAGTCCATATCTATATTGCTACTACCTTTATTCAAGTCTACTACTATTCCTGTCCAGCTACTCTTATTATTGTGCTGTTTCTGGTAGTCTACTACTATTCTCCCACTATTCGAGTCTAGCTACTCCTCGAAGTCGTGTTATTCCTGTCTAGCAATTCTGGCTCTACATCTTAGATGACTGTTACTAATCTGGCCTAGCTAGTTACTCTTCTTACTCTACTCATCCTGATAGTCTACTGCTATTTCTGTCTAGCTACTCCTGGAAGTCTCCTACACTTTGAGATCTACAATTATTCCTATTTAATTGCTCCCCTTACTTTACTACTCTTCGATAGTTAATACCATTCGTGTCTACTACTGTTCCTGAAGTCTATTAATATTCTTGCCTAGCTACTCCTCTAAATCGATTCCTGCCTAACTTCTGTTCTTACTCCACTAATATTTTTACTTTATTTATAATGTTACTCAACTACTATTCTCACTATTATCTTCAACTGATATCTATTACTAATCTAACTGTAGGACTAGGTTTCCCGTTTTAATCTACTACTCTTTTTTCTACTAGTATTCTAACTCCAGTAATATTCTTATTTAACTACTACTCATTCTCTACTATTACTATTATTCTACTACCAGTCTTAAGCTACCTATGTTACTGTACTAATACATATGTTACTGTGCTAATACTGGATTTTTACTGCTATTACCTGTCTACTACTATTCTACTACTATTTTACTACTATTCTATAACTACAATTCTATTATTATTCTACAACTCTTTAACTACTCTACTACTATTATGTTACTATTTTTCTACTGCTCTACTATTTTTCTACTAATATTTTACTGGAGTTCTACTACTAGTAGTATAGCTATTATACTACTATTCAACTATTCTTTTACTACTATTCTAATATTATTGTACTACTTTTGTCATTTTACTACTACTCTTTTACTAGTACTACTATTCCTTAAGATATATTTTTTATTCACAATATCCAATAAAATTTAAAGCACTCGTTTCCATTTGTTAATTATATACAGGGTATAAGAAGCGTCATATAAAGCCCCTAGATTAAGTGAGTAAACATCTAATGATCCAATATTGTATGCATGTATGTATGTATGTATGTATGTCTATTATGCTCAAAACGTAAACAGAGAACGAAGCACGCGGTCCACAGATAATAGGTTTTGCGAATAAATAGGCTGGCTCATTAGGGTGGCTCAGAATTGTGTGACATGTTAAAGCTGAAATGAAAAATATATAATTTCTTATTCATATGTTACTTGATTTAAGTTAAGTTAAGATGGATGTCAAATATTTTATTGAACCTTGAACGAATTGAATAAAAATAAATAAATAAATAATAAATAATAATATAAATAATAAATAAATATTGTTTATGGAAATGACGTTTTTAAAATTTATTTCATATATATATATATAAATATATATTTCAGTAGATAGCAAGACTTTCTCGTTCGTCATAAATTAAAAGGCAAACTGCTGTGGCGTTGAGCCACCCTAATGCATATGGACGCGCTGATGTGAATATGAATGCAGCGCGAACAGAGAGAAGTGAGAAACGCATGATAAAGACGAACAGGTGACGATGAAAATGCATTTCACTACAATTTTACTGATATGCATCGAGCAATTTACTAAGGCTCTGGCCCAGGGCATGCCGGTTAGTCCGTGTCCGAAGGTCTTTCAATACAGGTTCGATGGCAGCGAGTGGTTCGGTCTCGCAGCCATACGGAATCCGGATGTCCAGGCACTGCAGATCCGCATAACACTCTCCATGCGCGGCAAGCCAACGACGGTGGGTGCTTGAGATGCTTGAGTAGTGATTCGAATTCAGTTTGCTGCCTTTCAGAACTACCTAGGTGAGATTGAATTGCTGACTCGCGGAAGGTTTACAAGCAATGCGCCTGTGCTCTACAAGATTCGCTTTCCCAAACATCACTTTCCACCCAAGCTGGTGCTCATTTCGGCAAATAATCAAGTTATCTGCATTGGATCTGGCGGTACATAGTATTACGATATATACACATATGTGGCATTATTTATAGTCTATCTATAGATCACAGCATATTTATGACTCAAATTCAATTGGAGCACACGCGAAAGCTAACCTTTGTACCCGAGAGTAACTCGTCGGGTCTCATGATGCCGCCAGCCGTTGAGGGAGACTTTGGTATGGTTGTTGGCAAGGAGTTGCCGGGAAATCACAAGCCTCTGCCGCCCATTCAGTTCAAGAAGTATGCATTAGGCTCGTGGTCTGTTAAATGTATATGTGTACCTGTAGTCCCTCATGCAGCGTGCATGGGAGATTACAACTAGAAGTGCCTTAATATCGTTGCAGAAAAAAGTTTCATACTCCGGGCGAAGTCTGCGGCCGGGTGGATGAGACCCTTGACTTTCGTTTGCCTAAGCGAAGGCAACGGAAAATGGTCTCAAGTCCCACTGCTGAGCCACACGAACTGAATCATACGCTTCGCTTTGAAGCTGAACAGTCCGGACAGCTGCCAGTTTTTGACTCGGACTACGACGACGCTGTGGATGAGGATGAGGATGAGGATGAGGATGATTCCATCGTTCTTGTGGATGGTCAAAATGATGCGACTGGCAATGCGATGCTGCCCTCGTTAACGCGCGGTGCTTGGCCCTGGCTGGCGGCGATTTACGTCAACAATCAAACATCTCTGAACTATCAGTGCGGAGGTACTCTCGTCTCCGCGCGCGTTGTCATTAGCTCAGCCCATTGCTTCCAGATGTTCAATCAGCGGTACACGGCCAACGAGGTGCTCGTCTTTCTGGGCAGGCACAACCTGAAGAACTGGAACGAGGATGGCTCCCTGGCAGCCCCAGTCGATGGCATCTACATACACTCCGACTACAACGGACAGTTGAGCAACTACGACGCGGACATAGCTGTTATTCTACTCAAGAATGAAGTGCGGTAAGCGGTGATCTCGCCCTCTCTCCCCTCTCTTTCTAACTCTAACTAATATAAACTAATAATAAATAATTTAACCATCCCTAGCTAGCCAGCTTATCCCAGCGAACTAGTCGACTGCATCATGTCAAAACTGTAACAATTTCTAAGTCAATTGTCAGGTATAACTTGTTCGGAAATATCCGACTAGGACATACCTTCTAGGGCACCCCAATTCCTCTTCTTATTGATAGTATATTATAGTATAGATATTTATGATATCTCAAGCTCATTTTTATTATAACTTAAATGAATTTGCTGCTTTAATTTGTATAGTCTTGAAAGTCATGTCTGATCGATAATTAGTAAATGAGCTGAGAAACGAGGTCGGACGGACAGAAGGACATGGCTGAGACCCTCATCTTGATCATGAATATATATATACATGTCTGCTTTCTGTCGATCATTTGCTCAAAACGTATATACCCCTTTTGTGATATATTGTTTTCGTTTTAGCTTCAATACATTTATACAGCCCGTCTGCCTGTGGTCGGGCTCCAGCAAAATGGAATATATCGTGGGCGAGCACGGCATTGTGATTGGATGGAGTTTCGATAGATCTACAAATGAAACAGCCAACTCGAAAAGTCCAGCATCCACAGCTGAATCGAAGTCCATACCAATTGTGGTAAAGGCGCCAATCGTTGCCAATGCGGATTGCTTCAAGGCCAATGAACACTTTCGCAGCCTCTCGTCGAATCGCACTTTCTGCGCGGGTTTCCTGCTGGGTGGCCACCGAGTGAATGGGCGCAAGGAGCTAGAGAGGCGCGGAGCTGGCACGGGTATCTCTGGTGCCGGACTGATGATACTCAAGAACAATCGCTGGATGCTGCGTGGCACAGTGTCGGCTGCCCTGCCCAGCGAAAAGAGCCCCAGCGGCGCATCAGCTCAATGCTGTATTAGTCAATATATAATCTACGCAGACGTCGCCAAGTTTATTGATTGGATAATGGCTTTTGTTATTTAATTTGTGTATGTATGTGTGAGAGAGTCTCTGGTCTAATGTAATGTAACGTGTGCCCGATTCAAATGCTAAGTTGAGTTTGAAGTAAATAACTGCTGTGATAACCCTCGATGGACGACATGCTACCAACTTGACACGTGATCAGGGCTACCTTGACCGCCCTGGGTGGGTTCGCAACGATCCCTTCTTACCTAAACAAACAAAGCCTGGGCTTAACTTCTTTTAAATTGCTTTTATGACCAGCTAATCCACTACCTAGCAAAGCCACAGGCCCGCGGGTTGCTTTACCTGACTGGGCACTGATTGTCAGGTGTGCGGTTGGCGCATATATAAATTTGAGTCGCAATATCCAATATTGCATCATTGTTAGTTTGAGCCTTGATTACTGCAGTAATGCTGAAGTTGGTGTTAATAATAGTTGGATTCGTTTCGGTGGCCGCCAACGATGATGGCTGCAATGAGATGGTCTGCGGCTCAGTGGTATCCAAGTGCCTGCTCACCCAGAGCTGTCAGTGCAAGCTGAACGACTGCCATTGCTGCAAGGATTGCTTGAATTGCTTGGGCGAACTGTATACGGAGTGTTGCGGCTGCTTGGATATGTGTCCGAAGCACAAGGACGTCTCGGCCGCATTGACGCTTCGCTCGGAGATAGGCGACGTCGATGGTGTACCCGAGCTGTTTGACACCCTAACTGCCGAGGACGACGATCAATGGTCGACCATTCGCATACCAATGCGTGTTGGCTTCAAGCAGCGCATGGAAGGTGAATCCAATCTGATCAGTCTGCCCAGGCACCGGCCAGCCGACACCGTCAACTGCACTGTCATCTATGTCAACTCGTGCATCCGATCGAACAAATGCAAGCAGCAGTGCGAGAGCATGGGTGCCAATAGCTATCGCTGGTTCCACGACGGCTGCTGCGAGTGCGTGGGTGCTCATTGTCTGAACTATGGCATCAACGAGAGCCGTTGCAGCTCCTGTCCGGAGCAGGATCTGCTCACAGCGGATGCTGCCAGCTCGGATGCTGAACAGGATCTGGAGCGCATATTTGGCTTTGAAGATGATGCGCCCAACGACATGTGGGACTATGTCGAGGACGAGGACATGGATTAGATTATGCCTAGCTGTTTCATTAACTGTTTTCTACTCATTTACACTGTCCAACAAATTGTACATAACCAAATAAACCAAACTTTTATCTCCTGCATATTGTATGAATGTTCTTCGTTATGTTTTTATAGCTAGAGACACACAAAATTTGTATCGGGCATTGTCAACTTCGAGCTAAACGGCCAATCTGGGCACATAATTGGGGTGTAGAGTATGAAGAAGTGACAGAACACTCATGTATTTCATATATATTCTTGAGCAGGCCAAGCTGAGTCGCTCTGACTGAAGCATTGAGGAATCATAAGCATAGATTCTTATGGAGTGCAAGCTTATCGCAGTCATTTTCTTAAAATCGATCAAAAATAGATAAAAATCGATAAGAAAAATTGATGAAAATCTATAAAAATCGATATATCTAATTGGTTTCCAGAGTATATCTTGAAAATTATAAAATATGAAGCTAATTTCATGAGCTATCTGATTCCCTTTATTCATACTCAAAAATTTGATTGACGAATAAAAAAATTGAAGTTTTGATCTTTTCAAATGGATATTTAATGAGTCAGTCAGTCAAAATTTATCGAAAGTCTAAGATTATAGAACTTATATATATATATAAATATATATATTTATATTGTGATGCAATCGATTCATTGAAACTTAAAATTCGAATCTGTCAAGTTTCGCTTTGTTAATTTGTCATTCGTTTTATTTTTTTTTTTATTTTATTATTACGTTTAATTACCTGGCTTTAATTTAGGCTTTTGCTTAAGTTTTAAACTCAGGTCACATAAAATAAGTAGCACAAGCACTTCCAGGCGCTAACTAATTAATGCGCATATGCTCGATGCTATCGAGCACGTCATCCTCCGCATCATCATCTGCTGTCCTCCGTCTGTTCGCTATTGTCATCATCAAAGCCCGCTACGTACATGCGCAAGTCTATCTCTATGTCTGTGGCGATGTGTGTGTGTGGGGCTCAGGTAAGTCGGCATGCCTTGCTGTACAGGTAGCACATCAGTTGAGCCCGAAAGGTGCCAGAGAATGCATCCAGCATCGGTCGCGTTTCAGATACGAATATGTTTGGTCTTTGGCTAAGGCTGATGCCAGATGCAGATCGTTTCAGTGCCTAAAAAATTATATTAAATATTATGATGTTTGGCAAAAGGGTTTTGGCCAGTGCAGTGCGTGGTACGTGTAGCAATAGTCGAGAACGGGTTCGGATACTAACGCATTGATCTCGGGGCAGGGCTTCCTCTATAAGAAACAGTAAGCTCTGTCATCTTTCATAGTCGTGTTGTCTTGTAATGTTTAATTAGTTTGGGGTGCGTGTGTGTTTTTTTTTTTTTTGAACTGTCAGGATGCTGGGTGGAGTGGGTGCTCGACGCGGTAGGGTCTCATCCCCGATGGGACGTTTGGCAAACGCAAATACCTTTAGTCTGGATGACAACATTGCCATCATTGGAGATGGCGTCACCAGGGGCGGCACACCGCCGGGTTCGCACCCACTTAACAAGCGCCGACGACCCCTAACAGCCGCTGGCCCGGACAATTGTGCACCATTACCAGCGCGTCTCAATTTGGGTGATATTATGTAAGTATGATCCATTTTGCCTTAAAACCATCCCTAAACCTACTGTGATTGCATCATATTTTATTAAAGATCTCGAATCCATTCGGTCGATACTTTGCTTCGTATATTTTTTACTTGAATCTCGTATATTTATTTGTTGAATATCGTATAATATCGTATATTTATCATTAGATTATGTTTCATTAAGCCCAATGTCTCAGTTGAAGTTGATCGACTTTTGGATTTCAATTCTAATCTAATTGAACAAAACTTGAACGTTCCAGGGATTTAAACTTTTCCAAAAATTATTACAAAATCGTATGAAAACTATTCGAATCTGTGCAAAAAGCAACCCAAAATAATAAATTCAAATGTTAAAATAAGAATCGAAAGCTTTCGGAACCAAGTTTTAGTCTAAGCGGTTAGTTAAAATCAATTTGATTTTTCGAAAAATATTTGAAATCTCAGTAAAAAATTTGAATTTTAGAAATAATATTTTGCTATTGGAGGAGCAGCCTTACGTCAAGTTAAGAATCGTATAGTTATGTTTGTACGTGGCAAATCGAATAAAACTATATCTTCTATAGTTTTGGAACTAGATCAAGCGGATTAAGTGTAAACCTCCCCTTTGTAGACTTCCATTACATAAAGTAATTGTTACACTCTTCACTATGCGCAGATTTCAAATTCACAAATTCTAATACATGACAAAGTTGTGTTGTTTCTTCATCTGAGTCAGATGGTCGACCCATTTATATGAGTTTGTACTGTACATTTGTTAAGTTTTGCTTTTGGTTTTTGGCAAATGGCCAAAACGCGCCACTTAACTGAATCTGTAGCTTGCAAGTTTTGCCAATAGATGGCGCCTTAGCATCAGCAGCCCTGGCCGAAAGTTAGTTGAGTAAATCGATAAGCGACTAGCGAGCATAATTGCTTGCCAGCTGTCAACATGCTTTGTTTTTTTGTGTTTCCTTTTTTGGTGAATCGTATGGCGTTTAGAGAGACCCTAAAACTGTGCGCCGAATTGCACGAATGGTGGATGAAAGCATCATGCGAAAGCTTAAAGCTCACGTCAATGCCATATGAGCAATAGAACAGGCACTATTGAGCATTGCTCTCGGGAAAGAACGCACAGCTATAGTAACGGCTCATATATGCATCTCTTTTGGTCGCACGCCGCAACGAAGACAGCGTCTTGGTTACATCAAGTGATGTGCAGTTTATTTGCGGCGGCAGTGCCTGCAAGTTCCGTGTGAAGCTTTTTTTTATGTTCGATCCAAAGCGCAGGACTGTTTGGTTAGCTGGCTGTGCGTGTAGTTGTAGTGTGTGTGTGTAATGTGTAAAGTGTAATACAAAGTCTTCATCGACTTGCGTTTGTTAAGTTTTTTCGTCCAACTGGTGAGACAAAGTCGGTAACTGGTCCGGAAAACATAGCGGTTTTTGTTTTTTATTTTTTGTAAACGAAAATCGAGCCTAGATAACGTCTACAGCCGCATTTAAAGTGCAAGATAAATTCATAAAACAAGCATTTTGGCCATTTATTTTAATTGGGGCTGAAAAACTCGACTTTTCGTGGTGGCATGTAGTCAAAAAAAAAAAAAAAAAAAAAAAAAAATCGGGTCGAGTGGTGAATATAAAGTTAGAAAAAGTTCAACCGAATAATTGCGAAATTGAAATTGAAATGGAAGCCATGAAATATACCTATGTATATATGAATATGTATATGTATATGTATATGTAATTGAAGTGAAATCGACGGAGAAGTGAATCCAAAGAAAATCATGCATTAATAATATTCGCTCGCCGCCCATTAAACAGTTCACAACCGCATCCATACACACACGCACACATACACTCACATATAAACCCAAACACAAGCACAAGCACAGCACCTGCTATTCCGAATAGCCGTAGCCGTAGCCGTTGCCGTTGCCGTTGCCGTTGCCGTTGCCGTCGCCTTTGCCTTTGCCGTACATCTTCAACAATGTTTGTCGCGCATCGTTCGTTGGTGTCGCTCAGTTGCTGTAATTGTTGAGTTGTCGCTAACATTTACAGTTAAATAGCCTCAATATACGCACTTGACGTGCATATATTCGTATATATATATCTATATATATGCCCACATATTTATGTATGCATATACATACATACATCCAGTTACAAATGCGGCTGTGAATGCGACAGTATGTGCGCGCATTTCCATGTGTGCGTGCGTGCCAGCCTGCCTGTGCGTCTGTGTGTGTGGGTAAATTGAGCTTGGGACTGGGTCAGCGGGTTGGTAGCACAACGGGTGGAATGTTGCGTGGGTGGTAACGGCGTCAGAGCCAGCGTCAGCGACAGTTTTTGACAACGCCAAGTGAATTTTTGTTTCTGTTTCGGTTTCTGGTTCGATTACAGCGGTTTTATGTTGTGACGCGTATGCGTCGCAAGGTGAATGAATTGTATTTAGCACCAGCAAAAGCAGAACACAAGCAGCAGCATCAAATTATTTACATTTATTACATGTATAAGTGCTTGTCTCTAAAATGGCTATAACCTATTTATATACATATGTAGTACATGTTCACTCATACATACAAATGTCAATATGCTAAGAAGAAGAAGAAGAAGCAAAAGAGTTAAGGCTAATTTTTGTTGTTTTTTGAATAGCCTCGAGAATGAAAATTGTATTTTCTGTGCTAATGGGATTTGTATAGCCATACAAATACACGCACATCCAAACATACACACATGCATACGTACATACATATGTTTACGTACATGCATACATACATAGATGTGCAGAAGCGCGTTAAATGAAAACAAAATTCAATAGCTTTTTCTGGCATGAGTAGGAATGTTATTATATATGCATTTACACTAGACAACAAGGCTGCGCTTGCCAAAATGTTAAATACTTTTTCCAGCGATTTTGCATCAAAGCGAAACGCGAAAGCGCAAATTGGCACCGTTACGTTTTTACATGCATATGTTTGTATGCGTGTGTGTATATATATATATATATACACTGCCCACATGCATATAAATATGTACTTGTGCATGCGTGCTATATATGTATGTATGTATGTATGTATGTATGTATTTATGCCTGTATGTATTTATGTACATGGTTGCAGGAGCAGTTGTTTGTGTTTATTTTGTTTTGTAGGCTTAAGTTGTTCTCTCTGTTCTGTTTTTGCCATTTCATGTTTTCTCGTTTGTCTTCCAGAGAAAAGGAAACACACAAAAAAGTAGATAACACGATGACGTCACTAAATGACATTTATTTGGTATTTCGTAGCCAGCATAGCACAACGAATTAGCTATTTTTAGTCGTACACTTAATATATGGATAATTCCAAGCCAATTATTTGCCTGACAATTTTCAGAAACTTGCGTTAGGAACTGTTAAGTTTTGCGCTCTATTCCAGTTACCAGAAATACTTCAAACATGAAGACTTCAAACAACAGAGAGAAAAGTAAAGTCTACTTTTCAGCGCTGGTATTTGATATAGAAAGTATCTCAATTTATCACTAATTTGCCACTTCGACAAATACCATGTACACATCAGTTAATAGTTTCTTCTTCTTCCTCTTTGTATATATTTAAATTTTTAATTTACATAGTACAAAGATTGCTTACACACGCATACCTTATTGGATGCAATAGTAAATTCTCTATATGGCGACAATTATTGGAAATTTGAAGGCATATTCGTTTTTATATTCATGTTCTCAGCATATATATGTATATATGGGTATATTAAAAAGTGTTAATTATAGAATTCATCGTTGTCCAAGGCGCCGCTGCTTATCCAAGCTCTTCCTTCATGCTCGCAGTAGCAGCGCAGTCACAGAATTTTTTTTCTGTTATTTACCATTCCACCCAACTCACCACAGCGTGTTGAACTTTTTCATGACCACACTTACGTATGTATGTACGTATGTCTGTGTCCGTTCGTGTGTCTGTTGGCGTGCTTGTGTATGGGTATGCAAGTGCCGAACGTTTCATCCCCTAACTTTTCATTCATATCGTGCTCCAGTAATAAAATGTTATACTGATGCCTCAAACTTTATTTACGTACATACAAAATTATACAGTGAACCACAAAACAAAAAGTGAAATGTTTTCTTATTATGAATTGATTTCATGTTATTTTTAACTGTGCTTGGACTCACACATACATGTATACATAATACAAAGCCACTCACATGCGTGTATTTTTGCAGTCTGTTCATGTGTCAAATGACATACATATATGCCTGCATATATACGAATGCATGCAAACGTGCATATACATATGTAGGTATGTATGTATGTATGTAGGCAAGCCTGCATATGTTTGGTGTGTGTATTTCGATAGGTCATGAACTGAATTGACCCGAACAAAAACAAAACCATCTTGCAGCGTGACATACTCATTAGTCCGAGTGAGCTGTTCTTCAATAACAAAAGGGATAAATAAATAGCTAAGCACAAATAATCAGAGCAATGTGATTAAAAAACCAAAACCGGTCTAATATCTGTGAACAAAAGTTAATGAAATCCAATTTCATTTGAAAAAATTCAATCCATTTTATGTGTCTCCCTGCAAATTAGCATTTCGTGCGATGATATAAAATATTACAAATAATAATAGTAAAAACAAGTTGAAAGCAAAAAGCAATAAGTAAATAAAAAAAGAAAAAGAAAAGTGAAGAAAGAGAAACAGGAAGAGAATATTGTGACCAAAAAGCTGACGAGTGAAATGCGCCTTGATATTATTACATATACGTACATACATACATAAGTACACACATACATACACACGTGTATATATATATATATACATACATATATATATATATATATACATTTATATATATATATATATATAAATATATATGTATATGTATATGTATATGTATATGTATATATATATATAACGGACAACCAAACCGGCCATTGCGAAATTATTGTGCAGCCTTTGGCTACCCAACTAAATGTCCGGTTGCCACATTTGTGCCATGCGGACGGCGTGTCACATCCGACAAATGCGTATTGTTGTTCATCTTGTGTAATATAATTATGGCCGAGCGGTCGTTACAAAAGTATCAAAAATTGGATATAGTGACGGTATGTATCATCAGCCGACAATATATATTATAGTATTTAAGGCAATGTTCTCTAGTGTCCCTAGAGATCTGTGAAAGATCGAATGCAACTTCATTCCTTAATTGTTTTTATCTTATATATATATATATATGACATAAATATATATATATATATTTATATACATATATATATATATTGAATGACTTATAAATGTGTTAAATTGTAGGTTGGAAGCAGCTCAGGAAGCAGTGCTAGCAGGGCATCAACAGGACTCCTTAGGCGGGGGGCACTTGGGTCGAAAGGGAGCCCATCGCTTAGCTGATAGAATGGGTGGCCCGAAAAAAGAGGAAAACCCACCAGGTGGTGGTCCGACGTCATTGTTTATCCTAACCGAGGATAACCCAATTAGAAAGTACACACGATTCATCATTGAATGGCCGCCCTTTGAGTACGCTGTGTTATTGACAATCATAGCCAACTGTGTTGTGTTGGCATTAGAAGAGCATTTGCCAGAGGGCGACAAGACAGTATTGGCTCAAAAATTGGTAAGAAATGTCTCTGTAATTTCGTTACGTAAATAATATAATACAAAACAAAAACACTAAATAATAATAATAACAATAATATTAATCAAAATTATAATAGCCGTAGTCATCATCGTAATAATATGTATTTTATTTATACATATCATTAATTCTCTGAATTCCTATGTTAACTATATATATTACTTCATTTGTGTATTCCTCTGCTAAAATTCAAAATAATAATAAATATTATTATTGATTAAACGTTACTCGACCTACATTTATGATACTTTTAAAGTATTCCTTATAAAGCTTAAAAAATTTTAGATATTAAAAAACTATTTTACGTTATTTTAATAATATTAAAATTAAGATCCATTAATACTTATAAAGGAAGAAAAATACATTTTGCTCAAAATTTCTTAAAAAATATTTTATTATGATTTATTTATTATAATTAGTTTATTCACTCATAATCAATATACAACAATTAAATTAAAACGAAAAAAAAATATAACAAACCGAAATATATAAATACCAATTAAAAAATACGAAATATAACTAATAAAGTAGCAGATAATATGATGTATATGATATATATTATATATATGATATACATATATTATATTTTATAATATATATTATATAAAATAACATTCGATTCTGAAATTCAAATAAATTCTCCTATAATTCCGAATATATACATATATTGTTTTTTAATCTTTGTTTAGGAAAAAACGGAGGCCTATTTTTTATGCATTTTCTGTGTAGAAGCATCGCTCAAGATCCTTGCCTTAGGGCTTGTTCTGCATAAACACTCCTATCTCAGGAATATTTGGAACATCATGGATTTTTTCGTTGTAGTGACGGGGTAAATATGTATTTTAATTGCTAAGCAGCAACAGCAAAACAGAACCATATATCTCTTAAATAATTACTGGTTCTGGCCATTATCAATTGTGGCCAAATCAAATGCAATTATTATTTCTTATTGTTAATTATTGTTTCAAATGTATTTATTCAGTTGCTCTTTAATAATTATTAAAATCAAATCAAAAAAACATTTCAAAACGCGCAACGTGGATAAAGTCGATATATTTATGGATATTAAATAGCTTGAAATGCCAGGATCTACAGAATCCATTATAAAACTGGGCGGTTTTAAGTGGTTTTTATTTTTAATTTTGAAAGGATCTTAAATCTTATTCGAAAGTAAATCAAAAATGTATAGTTTATTATAAATAATTTGAATATTTTTAAGAGTAATTTAAGAAAAAGCAAGCATTAAGAACTTTCGGAGAGCATTCTGCCACGCAAATGAATATGTCGGGCATATTAAGAGCTATCTCTATAAGTTAAGAAAAGTAGCATCTTTGCTGTAGTTTGACCCATTTGAAATGTGCAGCTTGATGGCTAGTTAATTAATTTGTTGTTCACACATATATATGTATATACCGACTTTTATATGGCAACTCCAATGCCGAACAGCGCCATGACGATATTTGCCGAGGCCAATATTGATGTTGACCTACGCATGTTGCGTTCGTTTCGTGTTTTACGGCCGCTGAAACTTGTATCCCGAATACCAAGTAAGAGACACTTTAGCTGCCGAATATATAGATTTAATATAACAATCAAATAACGATTCCTTAGGCCAGTTAAGTTTTATATCTGTCATTTAATGCAGTTAGTTCTCATGTACATTCAATTAGAGCTATAGATAATTTAGGAGCTAGTCAAAAAACAAATGACCAAATATTTTATTTTAAATGTTATCTATTCATATATATATATAACACATATTGGTTCCCTGGAGCACTTAGAGTTATTAGAAGCTCCAGGGCTCTACTTTATTATGGGTAATGGAAAATGTGTGTTTCATTGGTTTATAGCTTAGATAGCAAATTGGATAGAATTGTTGACTGCTTAGTTAAGTTACCCGAGTTTCTAAGCGATTGCCCAGTGGTGCCGATGCTGAGCGGAGTTTCGCCGCATACACTGTACTACATAATTCAAATTCTCATTTTCCTAAATTTGTTCAATCAAGTGATCAAAAGTGTACTTGGTTGACGAACACCAAATAGAGAATATAATTAAAACGGTTTCAATGTAATTCTACACTATACTACATATTTCAAATTTTCGGCTTCCTACATTCGAAGAGCGCTAAATATAGTACTTTCAATGACTTCAATATACGTATACACTGTACTGCATAATTCGAATTCAAATTCTCATTTTTGTACATATCTTTAATCTATTGATCAAAATTCTGCTGGGTCGACGAAGTATTTCTGAAGTATTTCTTCTTCATTTCATTCACTGACTGGACTCGGAAACATTGCCTTTTTCATAATAAGCAACAATTAAGAATTGTATATATATATAGATATATATATTATATAGTTTTAGTTCAATGTTAGAGTCTTAATTATTCATTTTCATATGAAGTTCTTAATATTCTTTTTTTAATTAACAGAGCCGTTAGGGCTTAGAGTGAAGATCTCTAATACACAGGCTAGCCAGATTTCGTAACCAAGATTGTTGTTGTTCTGCTCAATCTTTTATGAAATACAGTGAGATCAAAAATTAAGTTAAACTCAAGTAAAACTTTTTTGGTGTTTGAAAGATTAAATATTAGTTTTCCAACAATCTTGATTGTTGCCAGTTGCCTCGCATTTGGTAACTCTTTCCAGATTAGGAGCAAAGATTTTTTGAAAGATATTTTCAAGCACACAAATCAATGTTTAAGATAATATTTAAATACATTTTATCATGTCTTTTATCTAGACGATACACAACCGCAAAATTTATATCAAAAATATAGAATTACTCAAGTCCGCTTAGAATTCGGGCACGTTAAGAAACCATTGAAAAAGGCATAGTCTCATTATTGGCTTCTAAATTTAGACTCAATTTTGTTGGCCTGTGTACTATCGTAATATCTTTTTTTGTTAATATACTCTTAATACATATATCAAACTATTTCTACTTAATTAACGGAATGATAAACGAACAATGTACGTCTTACAGTCCGTATATATAGTATTACGTGTTTCAGGTTAATAAAAATAACTATTGGTAAATTTGTAATATTATAAAATAGATATCTGTAAACTCTGTGTATAAGTTTTCTATTTATCGATGGAGGAGATACGAATGTACTGAAACAAAGCTTAAAGAGATCTATCAAGTAGCATTCGATTACTTAATACAAATTAGCTGATAAGAAAATTGTGCTAATTAAAGAGGTAATCTTAGTAAGTGGGTACATACAAAGTGGGCACTAGATTAAATTTAGAAAGACATTAAATATTTATTATTTTAGATATAGGATTCGCATACATAGATGTGACTAATATATTATTTATACGTTAAAATTTAGCGAATATTAAGAACTAAAAACATTAAAAAATGCTTATTTTATTAATTATATTTATATAAAGTTACAAATAAATTATATATTACTTTTACATAGAAATATTTCTTTATATATGTTGATTCAGTTCAGTTGATTCCTTCTTCAAATCGCCGCTAGAGTTTCCTATATGAAAAAGTTAAGATATTTTCATATACGAAATATTGTTTATTTCCTTTTCTAGTAGAACCAATTGGAGCTACTATTTTTTATTTATTGATCATTTTAATATATAAATCTTGTATAAACAAATTAATTTGTAGAAAAGAAAATTTAAAAATATTTCTATAATAAAATACATTTTAGCATTTGTTAAAATACATGAATGTATTTATGTATATATACGATATATATATATCTATATGTATGTATATATTGATGTATATGAGCGAGTCAAAGCATTATACTTGATTTTACTATTATATATATGTTATATAAATTTTATTTTAATTTATGCTATGTTTAACGTTGTTTATGTTAATTAGTTATCGTAGCACAATTTAATGTCAATTTGATAACAATGTCCCTTCTCCTGTCCCCTTCCCAACTGCCACTCCCACTCCCACTTCCGATCCCTCTTTAATTGATTCATTGGAATATTGCTAATGAAATGCTCGCTTTGATCGCTTAACGTCTGCTAACAGATTCATGACACAGTACCCACAAATGGGGCCCGAGGTAGATCTAAGAACACTTAGAGCCATTCGTGTGCTACGGCCCTTAAAATTAGTGTCTGGAATTCCTAGTGAGTAGTCATACATTTTGTTCTTTTTACTTTCATAATTGTTAACAAAAACATAAATATATATATATATAACTTACGATACGGCTTAGCGTATGGTATTAGATATAAAAAAAAATAATAAAAAAATAAAAGCAAATAGTAATAAAAATTCTTTTTTTTTTGCATGCGCAAATAATGTTAACTTTTTGCATAGAAAAATGTATTATGTATACATGAAATATACATGTTTTTATTGTAGTTATTAGAGCTCTCATACATACATATATGTGAATATATATGCATGTATGTGCTACAGCAGTAATCTCTTGAGAAAATGTATTTTGATTCGTTTTGTTTTAATCAAATTGACTAATTCAATTCGTGTTCTTCCCAACTCTGCGTCTGCGACATCCGTGATCATGCGCCTTTGGAACGACGATCACTAATAATCCATAGGTTTACAAGTAGTTTTAAAATCTATAATCAAGGCGATGGCACCTTTACTGCAAATCGGACTCTTGGTGTTGTTTGCAATCGTAATATTTGCAATCATTGGACTCGAGTTTTATTCGGGCGCACTGCATAAGACTTGTTATAGCTTAGAAGATCCAAGTATAATCATCACTTTTGCCCCATTTATTTCCATCGAATTGCGAAAATAACATATTTCGTTTTCGTTCCCCACTCGATCAGACAAACTAGTGAAGGAAGGTGAATCGGAGACACCCTGCAACACTGATAACACCACAGAGAAAGCGGGAGGTTCCTATGTGTGTAATATTACGACAAGTATGTGTCTGGAGAAATGGGATGGACCAAATTCAGGCATAACAAGCTTTGATAATATTGGCTTCGCCATGCTGACGGTATTCCAATGTATTACCATGGAGGGCTGGACGTCAATACTATATTGGGTAAGATCACAATTGCATATAGAAGATTTCGATATATATTCTTATCGTTTTTTTTTTATTTTTTACAGACCAACGACGCATTAGGTTCATCATTTAATTGGATATATTTCGTGCCTCTTATAGTTATAGGCTCATTTTTTATGCTCAACTTAGTTCTTGGTGTCTTGAGTGGGTAAGTTGGTCCTGAAACCTAACCCTCGATACACAACACACAGTCTTCTGCCACAGTTTTCGTTTGAGTTTTTGATTTGATATCTGATTTCAAAATATATGTATGTATAAAGATAATTTAAAGAATTCCTGTGTGAAGTGAAACTTTGTGCTTCTGCAGTTAGAAGCGAATTACTCCAATTCGAACAGAATCCATTTTCAAAATGCTCTCGTCTCAATGTCAAAGTTGTGTATAATGTACAAAATACTTCATAGTTGTACAAATGTAGTCGATAACCGCACACTGTACATAGATATAAGAGCTGCCGGATGAGCTCGTTCGAGCATATTCAAAAAATATTGTGGCAAAATATTTGATGTAACTAAGAATGTTTCAACACACATTGAACTGCATACGTCTAATGATAATAACTTACTTGATTTCACATTTGATTTATTGATATATATACATATATAATTTGTATTTCTTCTTTATTGTTTCGAATTTTTGTTTTCGTTTTTAATGAAATGCTTTTGTTTGTTTGGAAAATTCAGAGAGTTTTCAAACGAGAGAAACCGCGTCGAGCGTCGCATGGAGTTTCAGAAATGCCGTTTTCGTGCTATGTTTCAAACAGCAATGGTCTCATATCTTGATTGGATAACGCAAGCAGGTTTTTAAATTGCAATTTAGCCAAATGCCATAACTATTCGTACAATCACAAATTGGCCAAATCTGTCATATCCTTAGACTATTCGAATCTCAACAAGAGATTTGCCCAACCTGTACCTCCTTCAACTTAGAAACGTTACTAACCAACCCCTCAACGTATATATCTCTACATATATATATTTACATATATACATATATATACGAACAACAAAAATAACTTAAATAAAAACTAGGCAAATACAAATACAATAACAATAACAATAACAATAACAATGTGTTAACAAATTAATACGATAGTTACCTATGATATTCTTAAAACAAAATAAAACCGCAAGCAAACTAATTCCTTCGGCAACAACATCATCTTTTGCTCTTGTCAACTAGTTACAACAACATATACTATATACTTTATATATATATAAATCTGCTGCTAATTGAGATAATGCAATAAAACTGTTATACGAAATGCTGTTTGGTCCTACCACCCAAAAGTCCCCATATACAAACTTATATAGAACAGAACCCAGTTCGTATTACATGCTACATATGTTAATTACTTAATTCTATGCAAACCTAGCTAATACAAACATACGTTAATCCCCATTTAACTAACTAACTACCTAACTAACTACCTATATAACTATATATCTAGTTTAATCCCAACTTCAATATATACATATATTTACTCTACAATCATACAAGGTACTTCCACACCAGTTTGTTATGCCATTTGCAATTATTGTTATCGTCTACTAGCATTAAATAATATAAACGATCCCGTATTTAACAATATCGACGATATGCTGCTGTGCTATGGTTAGAGAAACAAGTTCAGACTGTTCAAGTTTTCACACACACACATAGACTATATATAGATAGATATATCTACTCGACGCGTACCTCATGCTGTACTCTGGCTAGCTCGAAAAGGATCTGCGTCATATTGTTGTTTTTTTGTTCTTTTCGATGACACTAACATTAAAGCATATATGTATGCAGGCTACCGCAAGATGTATGTCTGCTATGGACCCACTCCACAATGGCATTCACATACTCAACTGTTGTCTTGGGTATTATTTTGAAACTGCTAAAGAGTTTTGCACAGTATGCTACCAAACTTACTTCTTCTATCTTCATTTCCACTTTGACTCTTCTTCTGTTTGTTTTCATCATGTTTACATCACATTCAATACATATAATATATATATATATGTATTTGTTTTTATTTGAATAATACTTACACTACTTATATACAAACAAATATCTCGAAAGGTAACAAAATGTGAAAATTGTTTTTTTGTAATGCAATATATCATATTTGTTCATTGGATCGTTCCTGTTTTCGGTTTATCATATTCTATTTAATTATTTTTTGTAGTGAATTCGCAAAAGAACGAGAAAAAGTAGAAAATAGACAAGAATTTCTTAAACTTAGAAGGCAGCAGCAACTAGAAAGAGAATTAAACGGCTATGTTGAATGGATTTGTAAAGCTGGTATAGTATTTACCCCTTTCTTTTGTAATCTATATAAAATATATATCTCTCTCTCTATCTCTCTATATATATAATTCAATTCCTTCTGCCTAACATACACCAATGCATACACATACACTCATACCTTTAAATATACAAACTATTAAATGTTATAAATAAAAGCAAGTCGAAAAGAAACCACGTAAGGCGGCTTTAGGCGGAAGTGCCCGACTAGCAAATACCCTGAACACTACAGGGACACATTATACAGCGGATTTTCTAATTATGCTCAGTTTATTTGACTATTGAATAACATATGCTCTTAACATTACATCTAAATCTGCTCTAACTGAAAAAGATTGTTTTGTAATGCTTGGGGCAATGGATGGACTTATCTAAATTATAAATTAATCTTCATAGGCTTGAAATCTCGATTGTTATCAATTATTCTCAAAAAGAAAGAGACGCAAAAGAAAAACTCTCTGTAAATACTCTTTGTAAATAAAAGAAATCTGAGACCGTACGAGCAGCCGCAAGCTGAAAAGATGTTGCTCCTTTCGCTCTTATAAATATTTAAATTGAATTTTAACATTTGGTACCTTTGATTCTCTCTTAGTCAAGACAAATACTGTGTTGCCAAGCTGATATTATCTAGAGCTGGAAGTCGATAAGTATCGATATGTATATAAACAATTTTTATTTGTCAGTTGAATTATTCGATTCTGGAAAAAATAAATTTGTTACAAGGGCTTAGCCACCTAAGAGTTGCTTCTGAGCACATTGAGCAGTGCCTTCCGTCCGGGTGTCTGAAAGTCGGGAGTGATGGACACAAAAGCTTTTCGACTTGCTTTCATAGTTAATACAAAAATGCACTTAAGACACTTTTGCTAGTTCCCTTATATAAAATACCAATCTAAAGAGCTCAAACAACAAACTGATTTACAGACACCACCACACTTAGTTATACTTCACACTTGCTTCCAACACAAGTACACCTATATACACAAGTAACTAAATAAAATGTAAGCTTCATGCTATACATGTACTCGAGAATCACCAGTTCATAGTAACATAAATACGTTAATCCTGCTTGTTAAAAAAAGATGAAAAACTCAGTCGCAAATCGTTTTTTTTGAGCATGCCATGAACATTTGACAATCCGTTTATCGTTCAAATATACTTACAGAGGAGGTTATATTAGCCGAAGAACGAACAACCGAGGAGGAGAAAATGCATATTATGGAAGGTTTGTTGACATCTCAGCTATGTAATTCTATGTAATGTGATTATCTATATATTGCCTTGTCTCGTTGTAGCTCGCAGGCGAAATGCAGCTAAGCGAAAAAAGCTGAAAAGCTTAGGAAAGTCTAAATCAACTGATACTGAAGAAGAAGAGGCTGAGGAGGACTATGGCGATGACGGTAAGAATAGCACAGATCGTAAGACCTACTCAAAACATAACAGAAACTTATATATTTTTATGTTTTTCGAGTGAAAAGAATTTTTGAAACAATCTACTTAGGTCTACTATGCTCTTTTGCCCACTGATAACGTGGCTAACAATTGCTAGCAATAGCTGATCTTTTCACAAATATATTTCAGTCACTGCACAATTTCTAATTAAAATGGTTATTAAAATTCAATTAAGAATTCAGGCGAATCCGAAAGCATAATACCCGGTTAAAGAAACCTTAAACTTTACAGATTAGAGGATTCATCTGCAAAATCTTACAAAGCTTTTCCTATGTTCCACTCCCTTCGGAATATATATATGGAGTACATATATAATGTTTATGGATCAGGTTTTCTTCTACGTTGTGCTACGTTCTCAGCAATGAGAAGTAGGTATAACTTTTAATAGGATATAAATATGAAATTTCTGATTGTGTTTATTCTCAATGCAAAAATATATCAGAATTTATGCATTGCAATGCGTATAGAAAGTTTTTCTTTTTTAGCTGCATCATAAATATTATGAAACAGCTCATTTCTCTCTTGGGTCAAATACAAATAGATTTGGTAACACAAACTAGACAAATGTTTATGTACAATTTTTCTTTTGTGAGCGTTATGTTATTCTGGTCCGATTTGATCTGTTAAGATATATATATATATATATAAATGATTTAGTTATAATTAATATTAAAAAATATTTTTATCAAAATCTTATTGGGGATGCTTATGTGGGATGTAGATACAACAGAATATTTTGTGGCTTAATACTTAACCAGGCTTAAGTTCTGTGGACTCTTTTTTCATGTACAAATATTGTTATACTGAAAACGTAGATCATAATTTCTGTGAGTGATTCTGAGATTCAGAAGATTTCGTGTTTGATGTGGGCTTCGCTTTAAGTTGAGTTCGAGCTGCGTGAATTTATCTAAAAAGCTTAATTAAGTTATTGTGTTTGAAACATATGTTTTAAATCGAATTAATTTACATTTTTCATTTTTTCTTAATTTGAATTTATGAATTTGAACAAAACGAAATTCTATATTGAAATCTATATTGAAAATGTGTAAGTAAACCACCACAATTCGATCAATAACTTGATTCCTATACAACTCAACATCATTCTCACAACATGCATACGGTAGCCATATAAATGTATTGAGCATTTTCAATGTATCAGTAACTGTATGTACATACACACATTGTACTAACTCTATGCCCATGTCGGGGATGTTGTGCATATCTCTCATATCGATATCATCTATGCTAGGCTCATAGTCTCTAATGGTTGTGCGTACGTATATGTATTTATCGTCCTATAAGCGACAATGCAATTCAGTTGCACTTCTCATTTATAGCTAAACTACCCAAGGCACCTTAACAACGCTGAGGCCCCAAACCCATGTATAAGATATATTATCATCTAGCAACTATTAGTCGGGAATGTACTGTTGAAGCCCGCCAGATGTTCTGCGATGCAAATACATTGAAAACTGTTCTAATTTAGCTATTTCCAGCATCAAGGTCAAAAGCATTTCAGAGGGATATGCCTACAAAAAACACCAAAATATCTTATTTTCCTATTTCTTAATGAATTTATGGTATATATTAATATATTGACTCGAGTACTTCTCAGAGTCACATCTTTCTTTTTTTTTTCATTTTGGTTTTCTTTATTCGTATGAGTGATAACTTGGGACAGTCAACTTTTCACATATAAGCAACATAATAGTAACCTTAAATGATCTTAACTATATATGCACTAAAATATCCTTTGCTCTTGGTGATTTAAAGCAAAATGGAAATATGAAAAGTAATTAAATTATAGCCTAAACACAAAATAATGTTCTGATGGGACAAACTAGAGATATTTGCTGAAATATAGAATAGTAATGCATAGTTCTATAGAAAAGGAATGTCGTAAAGGAAGATAAATTAACTATATCATTTGGATATTTACTGAAAGTATTTTAATGAATGAATCTCATGTTTACAATGCCAGACTAGAAGGCAACCGACATTCAGGCTGGAGTTGGCTTGATACATGCTTTCATAGATAGATATATATATACTTTAATACAGACGCATAATACTCGCTCAATAAGTCTACAGCTGTCACAGAAATTGACATTTAAAGGCTTGTCTCAAGCAGCGGTTAATCGAGTCTCTGTAAATTCAGAACTATAAAAATAGTATTGGAAATCGAACATTTCATGTATGTGTGTAATCATACTCGTAGATTACTGTGCTTGTAGTTACATCTTGTTCAGCGTATAGATATCGAGTTTGTATATACTAACTAGTACCAACAACAACAGCAACAACAACTACCACGATTATATCACAACGTACTCATATGCAGGATACACAATATATCTATGTGTGGCAATAATCGAAACACTTAGGCATAAGACTGTATACATATAGATAAGTTCATTCATCATGCAGCCTTACTGATCATACGCCAATGTCCTTTGACAGGTTACCTGAAAACCCGTTCAAAACCCCAAGGCAGCTGTACAGGATTTTGGCGAGCCGAGAAAAGATTTCGTTTCTGGATACGACATACAGTCAAGACGCAATGGTTCTATTGGTTCGTAATAGTGCTCGTCTTTCTCAACACTGTTTGCGTCGCTGTCGAACACTATGGCCAGCCAACATTTCTCACGGAATTTCTGTGTAAGTAATTGCTAAGGGTCTCGAGCTGTTGCTGGGGATTTACGATGATGTAATGCGAACTTTCATTGCAGACTATGCGGAATTTATCTTCCTGGGCCTGTTCATGTCCGAAATGTTTATCAAGATGTATGCACTGGGGCCACGCATTTACTTCGAGTCGTCGTTCAATCGTTTTGATTGTGTCGTCATTAGTGGTTCGATATTCGAGGTGATCTGGTCTGAAGTTAAGGGCGGCTCGTTCGGTCTGTCTGTGTTGCGTGCCCTCCGGCTGTTGCGCATCTTCAAAGTGACCAAATATTGGTCATCCTTACGTAATCTAGTTATATCATTGCTGAATTCGATGAGATCCATCATCTCATTGTTGTTCCTGCTCTTCTTGTTCATACTGATATTTGCATTGCTTGGCATGCAACTGTTTGGTGGGCAATTCAATTTGCCAGGAGGCACGCCCGAAACAAATTTTAACACATTTCCCATAGCACTCCTAACAGTGTTCCAAATCCTAACCGGCGAAGATTGGAATGAAGTTATGTATCAGGGTATTATATCGCAAGGTGGTGCAAAGAAAGGAATGATTTACTCTATGTAAGTTAACACGAATATTTATAAATCTTTTCGTTCTGTCGATATCTGATAAATTCATTGACATTACATATATTATTATAGTATTGCTAAGAACCATCGTAATGTAGAATCAAATAAAGTTCTTACAGTCGGTATGACCGACTATGCTATATTCGGCTCACAGTATTTTGTTTATCTTCTGTATTTATCTTATGTATCATTGAATCAATTACGAAAACTTGTTATAATTAATTCATACCTTTTACTTTGTAAGGCTTGAGCTCTTGCGTTTCTAATCAAAAAGCTACCAAGGTTCAACACACAAATCGTGAACAGCTTGTCTGTATAGCTGATTCAAGGACCTTCCGGTTCGACTGCTGCTTCGTCGTCTTCTTACTGAGCTGTAACCATTTGAGAATTGTATGGCTGCAGCCTGTGCAAAGACTGAGTGAGGCCAGCGTCCACTTTTTGTGTGTTTACCGAATGGCCAATGGCGTATAGCTGTGAAGTAAAGTGAGAGAGCTGCCATGAAATCCATTTTCATTTATAAATTCAATTCTGTTTTGTTTATGTATGTACAATTCTTATCACCAAAATCTAGATTTAATTTTGCTGTTTTACTATGTGAACCGAGTATACATCTTCTGGCTTTATCAATAGTTTAAGGAAGTCTGCTAGAAAGCGGGGCAATATTTTTTTAATTAAGTTTTTAGCTTGATTTGAAAATTGGAAAATTTTTATTTTATTACAAGTATATTTTTGTTGTTGTTTTTTTAATGTATATATGAGATTGGAAGGGGCGGGGTAATGTAGTTGGTATTCATTGAACGTCGAACCATTAATGTGTGCAATCTACCATAAAGATCCGGAACGTTGGAGTTTTGGTTTCACAATATATATATGCACATATATATAGATGTGAAAAGATTGGACTTTAGAGCTTGAAGAATTTAGTTTAGTTCGATTCTGAAATTCTGAAATTCTGCAAGCCAAGTCCATCCGGGTTTTCCCTAGTTGATGCAGTCTCTCTGCGTACTCGCTCGCAATCGACGTATAACGTAAGTGTATTTATTTAGATGTGCTAACTTCATTGATATCGCCCTTGCTTAACTCTATCTATCATTCATTTCTTTCAGCCATGCTATCTTTTGGATTAATTGTTGGCCTAACGGCACAATTGCTTAAGTATTATAACCGTTGAACACTAACTGCAATATATCCGCTACATTTTGCTCACATATATTAGACATGATTAACAATTAACTTCGGTATTCTGTTGAGATCAGTTACTGCTCCTGGTATTATCGACTGTACTCGCACTTGTGTGGGGATATATTCCACTTACTTGTAGCTGTGATCCGTTGAAACCCATTTGAAACTCATTTGATACGAATAGCATTCACACAATTATGGATTGCTCACAAAATTATTGACCACCAACACTTACCCGGATGCAAGATACAGAATAGAGTTTGGGCTTTACATCGAGCATTATCCAACATACTTTTAGCTGTGTTCGCATCGATTTGCAGTAGATCGCACTAATCCATTCGTGTTTCTTTTCCAACAGATACTTTATCGTTTTGGTACTCTTCGGTAATTATACGCTTTTAAATGTGTTCTTGGCTATCGCCGTCGATAATTTGGCGAATGCTCAAGAACTGACAGCAGCCGAAGAGGAACAAGTCGAAGAAGATAAAGAGAAACAGCTCCAAGAACTAGAAAAAGAAATGGAAGCCCTCCAAGGCGACGGTGTCCATCTGGAGAACGGCGATGGGGCCGTAGTCACCAGCAAAGGCAAAGGCAAAAAGAAGGAGGAAGAGAAAAAGGAGGAGGAAGAAGTCACCGAAGGGCCAAAGCCAATGTTGCCGTATTCCTCAATGTTCATATTATCACCAACAAATCCGTAAATATTATTCCCATATATACATCCAATCTGATATGCTATCTAATTACAGGGTGCCAGGGTGGCGGGGTGCTGTCCGGCGTTGCCCGGTCAATTTAACGTTGATTAAGTTAAAGAATATTTGAAGTAGAAGAGTTAAGCTATATATTTCCAAATGATATAATCCCATTATATCAAAAGCGACCTACTGTAGAATGTAATATCTTAAATATATGCTCAGACTACGCTTCAGTCAGCTTGAGTCAGTCCGTGAGTCGAGAACTCATAACCCTACCGAAGTCTGGCTTGACAGCAAAAATATATGAATTCAATTTAACATGCAGTGTAATCCATCAAAAATATATTCAGAGTTGTAGATAAATTGTCAACTGCAGCTGCTGAGTTTCAGGGGAACGGAAGAGCTCCACGGCGTGGCGTCAGTTGGCTAGGCAGGGATACGAATAAATATTGTCTTTGATTTCAGTTGCGTAAGTCTCGCATAGGTTCGTAAATGAAGGTTAAATCGTAGAACACTTGTATATATGATCCACTAATTGTCTTAATAACCGATAAACTTCTTTTTAGCCAATGATAATGCCAAATGTACTAACTTCTTTCACTTCTTTTTCTTTTACTTTTTCTTTTGGATTCGTTACAATTTTCTGTTGCACACTACAATGAAACAAATCAAATCGAATCAAATCAAATTAAATGAATTGAACTAAACTAAACTGATCCAATTTATATATATATATATATGATTATATATATTTGTAAATATTTGCACCACAAATATCGACGAATACTTCATTTGTATCCTCTATACCTTCAACTCAATCACCTTCATCACGAGCAACTGCAATTCATCTTATGAACCTCATCATCATCTTCAACTGTAACTTTTACAACACAACTACAACAACAAAACTACTACAACTACAACTATAACAATGACAACGACAAAACAAAATTTATAATTACTGCAAATAAAACCCGATTAAATAACAATTGGAAAACAAAAAAAAAAACAACTTCAATTAAATAAAACGGTTGACTAAACAAAAACGCAAAACGCAATCGAAAATCCCAAAAAAAAAAAAACAAACAAAAATTGATATCTATATAAAAATTGAATAACAAATGTAATAAACGAATTAATCGAATCTTGCAATTGTAAACGATAAACCAAAACAAAAACAAAAAACTTAATCTGAACTCTCCATGGCATTTATCTATTTATTGGAAAATCAAAATCAATCGAAACAAAAATTCAAAACCAACAAAAAAAACCAACCCAACCACCTATTGGTACAACAATCAATCAAATGACCTATATATATATCTGTCTGTCTATATATATATATGTATATACAGCATACGACGTGGCGCCCATTGGGTGGTTAATTTACCATATTTTGATTTCTTCATAATGGTCGTCATATCAATGTCATCAATAGCATTAGCAGCCGAAGATCCCGTTCGTGAGAACTCGAGGCGAAATAAGATCTTAAATTACTTTGATTATGCATTTACCGGCGTATTCACGATAGAAATGTTGCTGAAAATTGTAGACTTGGGTGTCATCCTACATCCTGGCAGCTATTTAAGAGAATTCTGGAATATTATGGATGCTGTGGTCGTTATATGCGCTGCTGTTAGTTTCGGTTTCGATATGAGCGGTAGCAGCGCTGGACAAAATTTGTCCACTATCAAATCGCTTCGGGTGCTGCGCGTCCTGCGTCCATTGAAGACAATTAAACGTGTTCCAAAATTGAAAGCCGTCTTCGATTGCGTCGTGAATTCATTAAAAAATGTTGTTAACATTCTAATCGTGTACATATTGTTTCAATTTATATTTTCTGTTATTGGTGTACAATTGTTCAATGGAAAGTTTTTTTATTGTACGGACGAGAGTAAACATACTTCCGAAGAGTGCCAGTAAGTAAACCTTTTCTTTCCGTATTCAGACATTGACAATTGTTTTAGTTTTCCTTTGATTTATGTTTTCTGTTTTCGGTTGTTTGTGTTCCTTTTGCTTTTCTTGTTCCGTTTCCGTTTCCGTTTCTTGTTGTATCTTTATTCGTTTGATTCTGTGTTCGTAAGCCATACAAATTGTTGTAAACGTTTAATTTATATAGTTTCTATTGCCTTATCATTTCATAGATCTTGTAAGCCAATTAATTATTTCTATATCTCTTAGACGCGTTACCCATTCATTTCGGTGTGGTCTCATATCTATGTATATGTATATGTATATGTATATGTATATGTATATATATATGTATATGTATATGTACATGCATATATATATATGTATATTTATATATAGTTTTTCTATACTATCAAACACTCTTGCTCTCTCTCTCCTTCTCTGTCTCTCCCACTTTTGTATTTATCTATTCGTTTCTCTATCTCTCGATAAACATGCATTTGAATGTATATATATATATATATATAAATATATATGTACACTTATATATATCTATACATTCATATGCTTTATATATATATATGTTAAATTAGACTGTTTCATATATATATATATATATATATATATATATATATATATATATGTATGTATATATATATATATATCAGTTATTGTCTCTGTGCTCCAATCCTTAGCTTGTTACAACTGTGTCTACAAAGCTTTTAAATACCTACATACATAACAATAGTTAATTGTGTACATGCCTAGCTTTCTTAAATCACAACACAAGTTACAATTTGATATATGTCTAACCTATATCTATATATATATATATTAGCATTTTAGGTAACTCTAAAGACTGAACATACATAGATGTACCATTGTTGTCTAAACTGTCTGTGCGTGTGCGTGTGTGCGTGTGTCACGGTGTGTGTGCGTGTGTGAGTGAGTGAGTGAGTGCTTGCTTGTGTGTACCGCACATAGGATGTGTTAACTAGTACTACGTTAGCTAGTACCTTGTTGTCTCTATGTATGTATACATCTCGATCCCTTTTATATATATATTTATATATGACTACTTACTCTACAGCATTAACTACGCTTGTTCAAAGAGCTAATCCGTTATACAACATACATACATACATACTCGTCCTGTTCCAACAGTTACCTCAGTTTACCTCAGTTCAGTTCAGTTGAGTTGTGATAAATGTTCAGATCAAACGGGAGAGTGAGCTGCAATCTTAAGTCAGGGAACAAGATTTTGAGCATAAACTGAAAGTTTGTCGCTTGCCATCGAATACTATATGCCTATATATATATACTTATATATATGTCTATATTGATGCAAGAGTGATGTAACTTTTTTACTCTTTTTGTTCGTTTTGGTCTCCTAACTATATCTTTTCCGATTGTTCATTATTTGAGTTAAATTTCTTTTTCTTTTCGGTTTGTTCTCATTTCGGTTTCTTCTGCGTTTTTCTGTTCTAAGAAGACAAAAAAGGTGCACTGATTTTACAGAATGTAAGAGTAGCATTTTAAAGTTTCTCGCCCAGTTTTCTTGCCTGAATTGTGCTTCCACCACAATCAAGCGAGTAAAAGGGCCAAAAACGAAAAAAAAAATTAAAAAAAAAAACAGAAGAAAAACCCAACGATAAACAAAAATAAATGATCTTAAAATTAATAACGAAACAAAAACGAGCGAATTACAAACAGCAAAAAAAAAAAAAAAACAAAACTCAACAAAAAAAGAAAAAAAAAACAGCAGCAAAAAAAATATTTAATTCATAGATCAGAACTGAAATGCGAAACTACAAATGCCACCTGAATGAAAGACCTTTCTAGTTTTATTCTATATAATTTTCTAGTTAATCCGTTAACTCGATCAATGTATTTTTCTGTATCTGTTGCCTTCTAACTACACAAAAATCCAAAGTCCAAAAATCAGACAAATCAAATCAATTCAATTCAATTCAAGAGTTTTCTGCCGATCGCGTTTAGCATGTAAATAACTATATATATATCTATATTATTTCTTAACAATTGGGTATTTTGCAATACCAAAGAGTCCATATTACTACCAGAAGATTTCTTAATAAGTCTGTATACGCGTACACGTACCAATAGAATCACAAATCGTTCAATTTTATGTAGATCTCGTCGTGTTCCAAGACAAAAAATCGTAGTACTACTCGTATATCATATGCCCCACCCCCAACCCTGATTGATCATATCGGAGACTAGCTTTCAATAATCTGCTCCCTGTGTTTTTTTTACCATTTCTCTCAACTTTTTCAATTTTTCTAACGTCTTTTTATACTTTCTCCATACATACTAAAATATATATATGTGTTTTCTATCTAATATTTCTTTATAAATATTATATGTTTAGAACTAGTCGCATATACAACCGATAAGCAGATTACAAAACAGTTCCCACACATAGTAAATAGTATTTACATTGGCAACGGGTCCAAAAGAGAAAAGAATGTTAAAACGCCTACGTTGAGTGTGCTGAGATCGAAATTGTCGAGAAGTGCGAATAAGAGAATCTTTTTTATTTGATGCTGCAGCTGTGCTGAGTTGCTCCCGACTGATTGACATTAAAATTGATACAAAAATGCATTACATATGTACACGAACATTCGTCTCATGCCCAAACATATTTACATGGATATATACTTACCTATATATGTATATCTGTCTCTCTCTATCTCTCTCTGTTCACGTAAATACGATTAGAGCACCTGTAGATCACGCTGATCGCTATGCAAAATTGCTTTTCGACCTCGTAAGCGCAGCTTTCTTGTTACACATCGCCGAGCAAACAAGCAGCCAAAACAACATTCAAACTACGAATAAGCTATACACTACCAATGCCAAGCCAATAACACTCACATAGTATGTAATGCGTACTAGCTTCAAGACGTACAGCAAAGGTGTCTGTGTCTGTGTCTGTGTCTGTGTCTGTATCTGTATCTGTATCACTATCTGCATCTGTATCTGAAAGATATGCTTTAGGTTTTCGAACATTTCTTTTATTTGTACGCCTTCTGAGATTGTGCAGTGTTGATTTGTATTGTTCTGGGCTTCAGCTAGACAAATTTAAATACTGTTACAAATACAATTGCTGAATACACGAATCACGCATCAACGGCATACATACGTACATAACTACCCACCTACTACCTACTTACCTACCAACTTACATCCTACGTACTACATGCAAACACAATGTTTATATTTTTGTTGTGCAATATTTACCTAAAGATGTCTCATCATTATCTTAATAGAAACTTATTTGCGCTATGTCTACTTAGATTTATGTATATATTCACACACACACAAACTCACACTCTCACACATAACTACTGAACTTTAGCAAATGTCTTTTCACATATACAATGAATGTTCTTCAATTGAATTTGACTTCAAGTTATTCAAACACTTTTATTTTATATATGTAGTGTGTTTTTATTTTTTACTTTATTGTATCGAATTTAATTTTTTATTCCGAATCCAATTAAATATAAAAAAAAAACAAATAATAACTAAATTCGATCACACCATAAACCAAACATCAACATATAATATATATGCAATCCATTGACAATCCAACAATCAACTCAACCCGAAAAATAAAGGGGTTCGTATTTCAAATACGAGGAAGATGAGCTGCTGCCCAAACAGGAGATGCGCGTGTGGAAGCCACGCAGCTTCCACTACGACAACGTCGCCGCTGCCATGTTGACGCTGTTCGCCGTACAGACCGGCGAAGGATGGCCACAGTAAGCTCCGTTTGCTCTAGTTGTGTCTAAGATTTGTTTCCTCTTTTGTTTTTGTTTATTATTTTTCCTGTCACTCACTGATAATTATAATGATAATGATAACGATAATGATTATGATATTGTGCTGATGCGTTAAGCAAGTGCGGATGGTGAATAATGAATTGTTACTTTTACTTTTTTGTTTGTTTTGTGCTATCTTCACACATAAATGTTGCTAAATGGTAACCGTCAAATAGGGTCTTGCAACACTCAATGGCTGCCACTTATGAAGATAGGGGTCCAATCCAAAATTTCCGGATCGAAATGTCCATCTTTTATATAGTATATTTTATTGTATTTCCATTCTTCTTCGTCAACATATTCGTCGCCTTGATTATCATAACATTTCAAGAGCAAGGCGAAGCTGAATTGCAAGATGGTGAAATTGACAAAAATCAGGTGAGCGAGTAAATCAAAATTTTTAAAAACAAAACCAAAACAAATCAAACCGAAATTCAGACAATGCTTTTATGTGTGTGTGTTCCATGTGTAATGTACTTACTCGTAAAATTGATAGTCGTTAACAATTATCTTTGTAACTGCACGTAAATGTACACACATACAACGATACCCATACATGTATACCTCTACTAGATAGTAACCCATACAAATATATATATATATAGATGTATGCGTATGCTAGCCAAACCTAAATACAATCAGTTACAATCAACACACAGATCGGCAAACATTGATTGCTCTGCCTAGGCTCGGCCTGCCCAACACCCAAAAATCGTTCCAATGTCTACCTTCTATATGCATATAATGTTTTGCCAACGCTACGATCTTTAACTATTGTCCAATCTCTCTGGCCCCAGCCCCTGCCCCTGCCCCTGCCCCAGACCCTGCCTCTGTCCCAGCCACTCGGATACATATTAGATATTGCGTTTAACATACGAGAGTTGTTTTTTATATTCGAAGTCCTTTGACAATATGCGATATCAACTATGCAATATTTACATATAATGAGACATTGAAAAATATAATATCAATGTATGAAATTATAAGGAACAGTTCTCGTTTGTAAATTCCTTAAGGAACTAAACGTAGCTTAGAACAAATAAAAAACTAATTTTTTGTTGTAATTTATACAAAACTAGTTTTTAACTCCAGATGTAAATACATCTAGCTAGCTATCATGGCATAGGCCTTAGGGCACATATAGTCGGGGTCGATATATCGATCGGAATCTGTATATAAACATCATTAGAGACCCTTTGAACATATATAGAGAGTGAACATTTACCGGAAAGTAGAGATTTTTGATAATACTCACGATAGTCCTTAAATATTCAGCATTGAATATTTAACGATTAATATCGTCAAGTCATAAGCTATATCAATTCGTTGCTGAATTTACAACACTAACGACACTGTAAGTATGCCATAAAGCCAGCAATATCTCCTATAAAGGCGACACCCGACATAATCAGTTGATATGCATTTCTATTATTTATTAGCTCAATTTCAAAACATATTAATTATTATTTCCAGTACGTATGTACATATAATCTAGCTAGTAAGGCACCAATACTCACATCTGGAATCGATTCAGCTATTGCACAACAAATGCAAAATTTATCCACTCAGTTGATATTGTTTTGATTGGCATGCATTTCATATAATAAATAGCTTATGAACAAACATCTTAATTAGGCAGATCAATTTTGCGTAACACTCATTAGCGAGCAGACTTTCCACATTCATGTTTATGCCCTGCGTCCACTGCGAATGGCTTCAGAGCTCGTTGCTATAAAATATAAATATTGAGTCCCAATCTGGTTCAACTGTCGCGTCGATCTAGCTATGAACTGTCTTACTATAGTAACTTTGTGCAGGGTATCTGTGAGTCGGACACTCCTTTCGATTTCGCAGCGCCAACAGAGTAGAGCGAATTAGTTATTAACTGACTGAAAACATGATTTCTCATCTTTTTCACTACTAAATGTTTTATATATAGATTTCTTCTGTAGTCAAACGATCTTTAATTTTAAATGTATTTCTATTGCTTAGGATTATCAGACGTGCGTTGTGAACTCAAAATTTCATTTAGAACAAAAGTATTTCAAAGTAGCTCTTAATACCGCGTGCTAATCTAAAATGAGCGTATTGAAAGTTGGATGTGTGGAGATATAGTTTTGATCTAGACATGAATATATATACATAAGTGTGTACTAATTCTGAAGAAAAGTATTTTTATTTTTTTAGAAAATCTCATGTTCACATTGCTTTGCAAATCGTTTAGATCAATCTAGGACTTAGCAGATTTTTGTGCCTGTAACAATTGTTTTGAATGAATTACAAATTGGCGGAGGCATTTACTATAGTAATGAAGTTAGTACTTCGAGTCAGACCGATGTATGAAGATCGACGTAGACTGGATTAGGAGGTTTTGTGGCCAACAACTAGACAAAGCTTTTATCACTCAGTTGTCCATTTGCAGTGGATGCTGGAGATAATCTATAGAAAATTGTAAAATGTTTAGCATTACACAATTTGGTATTAGTTATTATATGGTATTATTAATTGTTTTTCCCTTCCCACAGAAATCGTGTATTGATTTTACAATCGGAGCTCGACCACTGGAGCGATATATGCCCAAAAATCGAAATACTTTTAAGTATAAAGTGTGGCGTATCGTTGTCTCTACACCCTTCGAATACTTCATAATGATGCTGATTGTGTTCAATACGCTGCTGTTAATGATGAAGGTGAGTTTCTGAAGCCAGGGCCATACAAGTACAATATAGACGAAGGTATTCTGATGAGCAGCCCTATTCATAGCAATCAAAATGATTAAGTCTGTAGATAAACTGTCCTCTGTTGCAACTCTTTGAGCTTGTTGCTTGCTCTAAGCTTCTAAACAACTATTAAGATATTTAGAAGATAGATCCCATTTATAAATAAACTCGTTGAAATAGAAATCGAAATACGATTGGCCACAGCTGTGCCTTTGCCAAATCTGAATCTTCCATATATATATAGATATATTCCGAATGTATTTTAATGAGAGTCCAGAGTCGAACTGATCGTATTTGTAGTCAATTCAAAAATGTATTCAGGGCCTACCACAAAGACACACGACTTAGCTGTGCATGTCGACTTCTGAGAAGTAACAAAGTAGTGAAGGTATTGAAACTGAACTAATCATATACAAACATCATCTCAACAGTATCATAATCAAAGCGAGATGTATGAAAAGTCACTGAAATACATCAACATGGGATTCACAGGCATGTTCAGTGTTGAAACTGTTCTAAAGATAATTGGATTCGGTTTCAAGGTGAGTTATACATTATTCAAATCACTATTACCTATATATATTAAGTTTTATCGGAGAGATTGTCGAAGACAGAGAAGCTGGGTTCAAGTTAACCTGTACTGAAATAATATTCCAGAATAATTACAAATAGAATTAAATTCTATATATTGTTATATTTTACATACATTTCTTTATTGTTGGGAGTGCCTGACGAGAAGGTACCCGGTATTTCGTCCGAGCTCAGTCATACATATTACTCAAGTAATCTGATCTATATTGATGCGAATTGATATAATGATATCTGGAAAAAAGTTACTGATGGTCTGCTGCAAAGCTGGAGCAGACTCAGCTATAGCTGGACTTACAAATACAGCTCCTATGCAGACGAACAGACAGGCTATCTCTAAACTCTGATCTATGCTTTCTGATCTCTGCTCTCTGATCTCTGATATCTGATCTCTGCCCACTGTTCTCTGAGTTTTGATCTGTGATCAAGTATTAATAGACTTTAAGTGCACGGCGACGCCTCGTTGGGTACATGGGGAGATCTTTGATTATGCCTTTACCTTAGCAACTGTACGTAAAATAATATCTCTAAACATTTGTTTTGTAGAACTTTTTCAAGGATCCATGGAACATTTTTGATCTAATTACGGTATTGGGCAGCATTGTGGATGCTCTCTGGATGGAATTCGGGGTAATTATACGCCGTTGAGCAAGAGCTTAACCTATGAGCCATACATATTATTGTTGTGTTCGATTTATGTAGGCCGTTTTGCAAGACAAACAAACAATGTAATTCATAACTTAAACAACAAAGTATATATATATATTTTTCTTGGTTTTTTTGTTTGGTTCTTTTGCCAAGATACTCGAACCCGAACACGATTCATATGAATACCAAAAATCACAAATATGCAAACATATACACCCACACAAGATGTATATTTATATACACACGTCCACATATTAATGTGAACATACGTGCATATGTATTTAAGCCACATTTATATGCAATATACGGACTAGGGGTCAAGCGACTTATGATCTTAAACGAACGGACCAGAATACATATGAGTGAGAGTATATGACATATGCAAAATTTAATTTCCTATGCAAATTTTAAGTTGATTATTGATGAAAAACTGAAGTTGATTTGAGCCGATTGGGATTGTGGGTCAGAGTATATATCTGAAGCTTTGAGCCACGCATATACCATTTATATGGACAATATCAATGGAGGGCCAAAGCCTTTTTGGGGTAACTTTCTTGCGCATCAAATCGTAATTGCATACTAAATATTTTGGGATATGAGCGAAACAAAGGATCTTAAAGTGTTTATGTTATAGATGGACGTTTGAACTGCCTACCGCAGGGTTACTTGCAGTCCTTACGCCTTCTGTCTTCACAAAGGGACATAGACTACATCTGACACTGCCGTTTATATATGTATCTAAACACAGGCACACGAGCAATTGTTATTAACAAATTTACATTTGATTTGACACTAAAACAAAAAGCAAAAACAAAAAGAAAAACAAATAAAAAATTAATATTTCTTTTATAAACTCCCACGAAATACAGAAATTAATAATCATATTTCTTTTTGATTTCCTTTTTCATATTTATTTGTGTACGAAAACGAATACCAAATACGAAATGTGGTCTCAAAATCGGGAAAACCAAATCCGAATCAATCCAAAAAAAACCAAAAACAAAACGATGAATGCAAAAATATAATTAAATAAAACACTCACGCAATCAAACAACAATTTACACCCTTCACATATATTAATGTATGAATTATGTAACACATGCAAATCTATACGCCTTTATCACATGTCCATATATATATATATATATATATATATATGTATGTGCGCTATGTACATGCACATATGCATCTGCATGTATGTGTGTCTGCACACATATGTGCACTCATATATATGTATATATGTGTGCGTATGTAAACATCAATTATATTATACAAATGCCTCTATCAATAAATATTCCCACCTATAAATTGGCCATCGGGAAACAAAACATCACGTTTATCACTGCCCAACACGATATCAATAATAACAAAAATTATAAAAACGAAAACAAACAACAATAAAATAAACACCCACACATGTACTATGTAATTACAACACCAATGCCAAATACCAAATACCAATTACCAACTACCAAATGCAATGAATATGCAACTAACTCGTTCATCACAATCACAACTTGTATTAAACAAAAACAAAAACAAAAACAAAAACAAAAACAAAAACGAAAACGAAAAACAAATTCACCGAACAAAATTAATTGAAACAAAAAAAAAACTACCACAAAATGAAATATGAAACGAACCCAATCAACAAATTGAATTGTATTACAAACATGTTGTCATCCAACAATTACTGCTATGCATGTGTGTGTGTATGTGTATGTATGTGTTATCCAATGCACACACCAAACGACACACACATATGCATACGTATATATCTATCTATCTATATATTTATATATATATATATGTGTGCATATCTCAATATATATATATATATATATATATAACTCATCAACAACTACATCGACATGTACAACAAATTTCAACACCAACAGCACGATGTAAGTACGAAACACAATCTACACAGAAATTGCATTTTTCAAATCCTATGTGTAAAAAAGTCAATGATTTAGCTTTCGCTTTTACTGCTAAGCACTTTTCACTTACCTACAAACTAAGCTTTTTAGATTTTATATTTTCCCATTACATTTCCTCTTCATTTTCTCCCTCACCCCAACGACAACAGTTTTTCCACTCACATTTGTATTAAAGAGTTGCATTTATTTCTGCTATCATTTACCTGCGGCGAGTCTAACAATTTAATACTAACTTGCGTATTGCCCCAATTAACAAATATATTTAGCTATATTTCTATGTAAATGATTCTGATTCTGGTTCTGATTCTTAACTTTTATATTGCTTTGAAAACGAACTTAACTAAAACTTTTAAAGCTCGACTTATAAGTTCTTTATAAAAGATTTTCAGATCTCAAGAAATCTGTTTGCTTCTGGCACAAAAAAGTTCCATTGCCATATATATAGAGCTATATAATATAAGTGAAGCCCTTCATAGTTGCACTGAGTCAAAGACTTGATCAGAGAAATGCATTTTATATATTTCCAGTTTTGTTCTTTCTTTCTTTCTTAGTGTAGAGCAGCTCTCAAGATCAAAGCTATGCAACTTGGCATACATAACTGTTTAAATGTATATGATTGTAGGGGTATTTGGATTTTCGGTTCACCGAGGATAGTTCGTTCGCCTTGTTTCAATCAACTTCTTTGTTTCCTTCCGTTGCGCCTATATATATTTATATATACATAGTATATCTGTGATTTTTCCCATTTTCTGTTGCAAAGCACACGAATTGCGATTGTATCTACTTCTCTTTTAAATTGCGTGTCTAAGTCTGTAGTCAAGTTGGTAGATAAACTTGTAAAGCGGCTGGATGGGTGTCACTTTGTTTAGTTCTTCATTTCTTTATCATACTTTCTTGATTTGATTGGAACTTTGATTAATCAACTGCTTTGTGACGACTTGCATAACCTTCACACTATACAGAATAATGTTAATATCTAGACATTCAGTTAGCAGAAGTCCGATGCATAAGAAGAACAACAGATCCGAGGGTCTGCTGTAAGCATCAATTGAAACCACGAATATATCTATATATTTCTCTCAAGCTTCACTACAGTATTCAATCTGATTATTTATGAACACTCTCTTTGGCACTTGGCCAAAAGAGAATAGATAAGCAATTCAAATAAATATGTTAACAAATTGAAGACAAAGAGTAACTAAAGAAATGAAGCAGCTTTTCAGGCGTCTTACCTATAGTTCTGTGAAGTTATGCAACAGTTGTTATATTTCACATTCTTTTGCTCAGTATTTGCGCATGGATTTGATTGATCGATCTAAGAAACAAAACAAAAACTGCATTCTTTTGTTTGACATGATAAGAAACATGAAAACTTGCAATAAAAACTCAAAAACTCGAAACCTCGAAACTCGAAACTCGGTCAAAAGCATTGATGACACACCCACCCACATACACACCCACACACACAGAAAAAGCAATACTATACAAAGCCATAACTGAAACATCGATCCATTCAACAAAGATTGATTCGTAATGCGAACACGAACTCGATTGTGTCTAAGTGTGTAAGTGGAGTTATCTAGCTGACGAGAGTGGTGAATGTAAGTAATAGTAACATTGGCCGGCAGAGCAATATCTAAAGGTACTAACAAGGATTTCAGTTCTATGTGCACTCACAGACTTTCTTCAAATACCAAACATATACTTACGTATAGCCTCTATAAACTGTATATAGCAAACTTGTTCGCATGATGTAATGTCCATATGGATACTTAGAGTGCCTGGCTTCTCAGCACATGGCAAGAATATGAACATTGTATTCTTGCCTATTCTAACTACTTTTAACTACTTTAACTAGGTGCCTCGAACGTAGAGCTTTCCACTATCTCCTCTTTACCAACTACGGGTCTACAACCCCTTTCATTCTCTATCTCCTCTGAAGATTCTACCTCTACTTGACATACTTTCTTCAATAAGCCTGAACACGTTTTTTGCTGTTTTCATATGCCAAGACGCGACGGGACGAGACGAGACGATCGATCGATCGGTCCATCGAGCTGTTGGCCGATAGTAGCTAATAATAAACCGTAGTCCATAGTCTTATGTTATGATGCAAGAAGCATTGCTTAGATTGCTACGATGCATGCTGCAAATTGCTAAAGTTCTCTCTGAATGTACGAAGTACTCAATGGCAATTGAAGGCTATTGGGTGCTGTTAGGCTTATGCTGCTGCTTACATTTGCTTTGTTCACGTGATACTTTAAGAGATTCCCATACCTTCTATAGATGTATATGTATTTTTCGACAACTGCCTCAGGTATGTAAGGTTCATCATTCGGCATCATCATGTGATTCTAAACCCCTCACTAGATTGTAGGCAACACTCGATTCAGAGCCAGTTGATAAACAACAATACAATTATGCATACGTAGTATAAGCCCACGCTATATGGGACTGTAGAGACATACAAGGCTTAATAGAGCAGCAGCGTGAGAGAACTAAAAAGAGAAGCATAAACAATATTCTCGAAACACACTATACAACAAAACACACGAACACTAATTCTGTTCACAAATTTTCATTGATTTATATATATCTATATATTTGCAAACTGCAAGAAATTCAATTCAACTATTATTACTAATTTTCAACTCTACTTTAATTATTTCTTTGTTATTTTTTTCCTTGGAAAATAATAAAAATACTTAATCGACTGTCCTTAACGCCGCCAACAACGTCGTATGAAAACCGCAATTCGATTAAAATGACATAAAAAATATACCAATACGTACTCGTTATGGCAAATAAAATATTCTATATAATTCAATAATAAAAACAACAATTAAATGATAAAAAAAATAACACTTAATAAAATGAACAACAACAACCAAATATACCCATCTATATTACAAAATGAATCAACGTTCGACCACACTGCAAACACTGCAAATCACACATTTCATTATCGTTGAAACTGTCTTGAATCGAAACTCATCCTTTGGCTGCTGTCGAAATCGAAACCGAAACCGAAACCGAAACTTGAACCGAAACACTAAAAACTATCCGTGCAAATTTTGGATTTGCCGTTCTCGATATTGTTCCGAAATGCAAACAACTTGTCAACTTCGGTCGCAATGCGGTTGCCATGAGTTCTATAAATTGATTGTTGATTGATTCATGAATACCGAATCTGAATTGAATCTGAATCTGAATCCGAATCCACACAAATTTCAAATTGAACATGGTTTCTCTGACAATCCAACAGGATGTAAGTAAACAAACCAAAACTAAAACTAAAGAAATCTATTTCTTTTTTTGATTTTTTTTCCAATTATATTAACGTATCTATGAACAACAAAACCCGAAAAAAAAAATTAAAATCAAATTATATTTATTAGCAAATTAGCTAAACTTTTGCTTTACTATATCCAAACTATTCCAAACTATATTCACATCGCATCGTTGATGTTTTCTCTTCCGTAGTAAATCAACTAAATTCTTGATAATAACGAGAACACATACATATATATATATATACATAAGTATTGTATATGTATTTAGCTGCTCATTAGCTCAACATATTCTAGTGAACAGAAAATATCATAAACCTTATCATTTATCGTAGTGCTGTTACCCTTGGATATGGATATTGGCCAAGATACAATTAATGCCAAAATGTATACGAATCGTATTACTAAATATAGATATTTTTCATTAATAATGCTTACTTATATCCCATCATGTTAGAGGAGAATCGAATCGACTCGAATTTAATCGAATCGGCTCGAATCGAAGCGAATCGAATCCTGGTTTTCCCTTCCAATAGGCATCGACTAACTCTTTCCATGCAGATATTTGCCCATGTTTTTGAGTGTGTATACAGCGAACACATGCGTACTGCGGTTCGTCTCAATCTCAAGCTTAGTTTTCTCTCTTAATGTCATCATCTCGCACCATCTTCCTAACTGCTTCACTATAGCGATAGCAACAGAGCATTGTTGTAAACTACATCTATGTAAACACACCTGCATATACATATGTACATATTTATTCAACGACAATTGTACTACACACATACACTCACACACACACACACAGACGTTTATATATATATATATCTATAACTGTTTTATTTTTAATCTTAACTACTTACGTAGAGGCCACGTCGAGGCGGTATGCGTCCCCCCAGTCAGCGGGTTGCCAAAGCACTTATCCATACAAACGATCTGTCACGCTCACAGTCACTGCCACCGTCACAGTCACGGTGACAGCGCTCATAGCTGTGACTGACACGTTTGCATGTATCTGTGCATTGTTTGTAAATTATATTATGCAACAACAGCTGATTAGTAAAATATTTTGGTCAAAGTTTTTAAATCGGTTTTTTGTTTTTGGCCCCTCAAATGTCTACGAACACCGAACTAACAGCTTATCCATACTTCTTGACTGCTCTCTACATTCTTACATAACAAACTTACTTTTACACAAAAACAAAAAATGAATAATAATAATTTGAATAATGAAACGTGTACAAAAACAACAACAGAGAAGAGAAAAAGAAACAAATGAAAAAAATGTACATACAATAAAAAAAAAAACAAAAAAAAATATATATGGAAAGAAATTTTTTTTTAGTTTTTATTCGTAATTAAAATTTTCTTTGTGTATCTTATTATATCCTTATGCTTTTGTCTTTTTCCATTGCAATAAACTAAAACTCGCCCAGATAGTTTAGTACAGTATAAAAACCAAAACCAAAAACAATTTCAAATTTTGCTTAGAACTTTTCAACCCAAGGCCCAAATACTTGACACATTTTCAAAACTGTTTTGTAATTAGTATCAGCATCTTAAAAAACCAAAATACAAATGCACATGTTACGCTGTATTGGTGTGGTAGTCAACACCCACACACACACACACACATATACACACACAGACACAGACATACAGAAACAGACTACAGTTTACTTAAAACTGATACAAGAAATTTCTTAATAGTTTTTTGATAAAATTCAACACAAAAATTAAAAAAAAAACAAAAATTTCAATTCAATCAAAACATATGTATATTTGCATTTGCTGTATTTTGATTAAGGTACAAACAGTTCGAAACACATTTTATTTAGCATTTTGTCGGAAAGAATCTAAATTTTCTTTTATAATTATTATTATTATTATCCTATATATATACTAATATATATCGGAGTAAATATACCTATTATGCAAATTTGATTGTAATTATTTTGTAATTAATTCTTATATATATACATAGAAAAGGTAAATTTAAATTTCAACATTTTTACTAACCAATTCAAAATTAATTCAAATTATTCTTTAACGATTCGGTCATTGCTAACCAGTCAAACTACCCTATTAACTACTAATTTACTTAACTACCAATATGTATATGTATGTACTTTTTATTATGTACTAGCTACTAGTACCACCAACTACTAGAACCTACAACAGCTGCTACTACTGCACCACTACTAATATAACTTTTATACTACTAAAACTACTACTACTCTAACTAATACTACTACTACTACTACTACTACTGCTACTGCTACTGCTACTGCTACTACTACCACTACTACTACTACTACTACTACTACTACTACTACTACTACTACTACTATTACTACTACTACTACCACTACTATTACTATTACTACTAGCTGCTACTAAGAACTAACGAACCTATTTGAAAAAAAGAAGAAACTAAACTGAGACTATATTCGAAGGGTGCCGCAAGGCAGCTCGTCTCGAATATATCGTCTCGAATATATCTCATCGGTTTCTCAACGATACACCATCTCTCTAATCTACTCTCCTTATGTTGTGTTTTTCTGTTTTTTTTCTCTCTCTCTTCTCGCCCTTTGACCAATAATATTTTACAGTCGAACTCAATCAACGTTGGCTTCCTGCGTTTGTTTCGTGCGGCGCGTCTTATCAAATTGCTTCGACAAGGATATACAATACGAATTCTCCTGTGGACCTTTGTACAATCATTTAAAGCACTTCCATATGTTTGTTTGCTTATTGCAATGCTATTTTTTATATACGCCATTATTGGCATGCAGGTAAGTCTGTGTGTCCGCTCGCAAGCTCAATTTGTCTTTCGAGTGTTACGAGAGTCGAACCAAAAAGATAAAAAGAACAAAATATGTGAATCGCAAGTGAAACACGAATATATAACACATTAGAAAAGTTGTTGCTCATTATCAGATTTCGGGTTATATAGCCAACATCAGACTTGGGATCTATTGGGACACAGCCAAAGTCAGGAGACATACATGAGTTATCATTTAATCATCGTTTGGAAACACAATAATTTCTCTTTGTTTTCTCATTTCTTAAGACAAAAACAAAGATCGTCTCACTGCCACCACAATCTAATTTATATTTTTATAAGCATCATACAACACCTAGCAGTTAGTCTGAAATATTACAACCAAATCTAACTAATTTTACGAATACAACCTCTATGTATATAGCAAGATACGCACAATAGGGCGTAGAACCGATCTGTCAACATAGGAGAAGCTGAAATTTTTAATTAGGTTAGAGCTTAGCTGTAGTGCTTAGTGTTCTCTTCTTTGTTTCGTTTTTGTCTAGGTTAATGTTAGGTGTAGAAATATATTTAGACCACTCCAACTCCAAAGAGCCCATTCATTATATATATATACGTATGTGCTGAGATATATGTATATATGTAAATGATTTCTATTTGCTAAGACACATTTGGAATTGGTCAATTTAGGCCAACTTGACCAACTTGAAACTAGTCTTACAATATGTAATAAATAATCTAAACCAATTATAATATCTCACAAACTGAAAGGTATTCGGCAACATAAAGTATGATCCGGACACCCAACTGAATCGTCACAATAACTTCCAATCGTTCTCTGGAGGAATCATGCTGCTCTTTCGGTAAACGAAGAATACGGTTGTACCTTAGTATAACTAACTCTTAGTGTCTATTAACGATGGCACAACCAACAGACAAGCGCATACCTACATAACTAATTAACTCATTCATGTATTAGTGAAACTGTAACTTTAACTGTAACTATTATTAGTTTTGAATCGAAATCAAACTGAGAAGCTCAACACGTCCAGGAGGACATTCTCGTGCCTTAACTACTAAAAACATATGTATATTTATGCTTAAACAGTCAACAACAGTTGATTTCATGTTGAGCAAGTCACAAACGGTGAATGATTACCATTCGATATAAACAACATTTCTCACTGACTCAATCTGCCGTCCTTTGTGACTTGGGATGGCTGTAGTTAGCAACATTTATATATCTTACACTCACAAGCATAACTAAGTAATTTGACATCCATATGATCTGATGACACAATGCTCATTCATCACCAGCTTTATCTGTATGCAATCGTTGGAATTGAAATTGTAGCTACAGTTGTAGTTATAGTTATAGTTCTAGTTATAGTTATGGTTATAGTTATACTTTAAAGTTCGCGGTAGTTAATATAGCTAACTAGTTAGTACGATATCTTATACATCTTCATTTCTTATAATATTATTGTTGCAAGTTCTGCTCACAAGCATTCGTTCGACATTCAAGCAGTACAAATGTATAATACACTTGAAAAAATCAATATATGCCTAAGTTGTACAGCTGTACGAAACACTAGTTAAACATTTTACGGTTCGCTGCCTGCGGTTTGCGCCAGCTTTCACATTTGTAATCAATCTAGTGACTTGACATTTGCCAATTTATTATGTTGCGTTAGAATTCGGCTCAAGAAACCTCAATCCACATATTAACCCATGCAATTTCCCCGTAATTCATAGCAAAGTTCATTCGAGCTCAGTACGATTCAGGGAGCACCTTTCCAGTATCTGTTTTGATTTGTTTTGATTTACCCGCTAGAGAACATCTTTATGTCCATAAAAACATTTACATTGATATCATCTGCATTAGGAACCCTTGAACCTGTATCTCTGGCTAACAAAGCCTGTATTATATTCGCCCATTTCGTATGTAACGAGAGAAACTTGAAGTAGGTGGCTATATGAGTAATATGTTTCAGCAACTGTGGGTCACATACCTCCGATACAAACGGAGAGCTATGCAAGTCAATTAGGACATATGTGTGATATATTCCAAGGGCGAAACTGTGTTATGTGTTCCAGGACATTTTCATATCTTATAGCTACAAATACACACTCAAATAATTAATATTACTTACCGATATTTAAATCGTGCATAGGTATTCGGAAATATCAAACTAGGTACAGTGGAAAATTCTATTACTAGGCACAACAACTTCCAGTCATTTGAACAAGGCGTCATGTTGCTTTTCAGGTATGTAAATCTTAAAAACATTTCCGACTAATCGCATAGACTTAAATAAAACTAAACTGTTTGTTAAGCAAATTTTCGATTTTCCATAGTTAAGACAAACAATAAGTATACCTATTTATACCTATACATATATCTATATATATAGCTTATAGTATATATATATGTATGTATATGTATATTCATATACATAGTTATATTCCCACATTTAATATACAAGCTACCTTAGCATTAATGAATAAACATATAATAATATTTAATAGAATTCTGTTCTCGTGTTACACGAGTCGTATACGTGATGCAGTTGGCTGGCCAACCCCACTGTAGTATTTTATTACATATATTTCTAAACTATTAATGGGAAACTAAGAATTATTCGTTCTAGCATTAGATAGCATCAATTAACTTAGGCAAGTTTATCCTAAAACTTAACTTAGATTCTTAGCGACAACAAACGTGGTCAGGTGTTAAGCCGACAATTACAATGACAAGACGCCCGCCACCCACGCCGAAAAGCAATAGAGTACACAGAGTAGTCGACTCGATGGGATGTCAAATTGTTGTACATTTCGATCCCTTAACAAACTATTTATCACTGCGACAATCAAACCTTTTTGCCAGTGCGTAAGTAAACTTAGCTCGGTGCAAACGTCTTGATTGTGTTGGGCAGTGTAGCCGTAGTAGAAGTTTCATCATGCAGCAACTATATATATATATAATGTACATACATAACTAGATTTCACATCCAGCTTTACTTTTTGTTTCTCGTAGTAACTAATTTATACTCAAAAAACTTAAGTAAAAGAAATGAATCAAAACATACCTCGGGCATTTACCAGCTCTCTGATCAATAGCTAGGGACAAATGGTTATTCTGCTAGACAAGTGATTTGCTAAGTCCGAATATGTATTCTGAAGATACGAAAGACCTAAACTGAAAGCCATTAGTCTGAGCTGCTGTAACCTCTGTGCCCATGTTCTCTTAGCGATATTAAAGTAACTGAAAATACTACTCCTGCCCATTAAATATTTCATAAAAGTTTCTCTTTGAAAATTTTTACCAACTCAATGAGTGAGCAGCCAGCTGACCCTCGGCAGGCCTGTCTCAGCTAAAAAGTAATTTGAAAACGTATTTCAGATCTGTATAATTGAAATCTCCGGTAGCATAAGATTCCTTTTGATATTACAATTCTAATTAGATATATTCTATAATTTAAAAATAAAGAAATACATTTTATTTCTTTGCTCAAATGTCGCTCTTCCGTTTAAGCTTTAGCTGCATCAATTGAGGCTGCTCAACTGGGTTTCTTGGCCAGTTGAAAGCTCGTAAATGCCCCCAGCATAAGCCTCTATGTATGTATGTACTACAAGGCAGTAAATACTATTCGTAGCAACACAATTCCGGCAAGTCGGACTTATGGTAGCTTGACTATAATACATACATACATAACTGTATACTAGTAACATGAGAGCTCATTAGCCTTCGACAGCGCATTTCCACTCAAGTATCTTTTTTTATCCTTTTTTGTGTTTGTGTGAAAGGAGTCGAAAGTTGAGGACTTCAAGTGATTTGAGTACAATTTTGATTATTGCAAATATGTTAGAACCAAAAACCAAAAATAGTTGAGAATTTCGTCCCTGTGTATATAGATCATTGCTAGCGTTGTTTCAGATATGGTATTATGTAACCAAACTGTTCCCCTGTATGTATGTATGTATGTATGTGTGTGTCTTTCCAAAAGCAAAAACAAAAACAAAAACAATTTATCAAACGCAATTTTAATTGGCAAAGTTCTGCACTTTTATTGTTGGCGTTGCAGTTGTTGCAGTTGCAGTTGCAGTTGCAATTAAGTTGATTGAGCTAAGTTATTTTTAGTTTTTGACAAATGTTTCTCACAGTAGTTATGCTAAATACTTGGTAACTGTATGAACAGCGAGGACAACACCCATAAAATAATAGAAAAAAAATAAAAATATATAAATATAAGTAGATGCATATGTATGTACATATATACAAACAACATAGACCTACAAATACTTACTGAAACATGGCTGTCCCCCCAGATCTAAGATACTTTAAAACTGGGCTCATGCTATCTCCTAGCCGAACCTTTGAACATTCCAAACAATAGCAAGTCCTTTAGTTTCCTCTATTGTCCTTTATAAGGTCTAAAGTCAAAGATAGCAGATTTTCTGTTACAGAACTCGTGCCTAGATGTGATAAGTTCAGATTAAGATTTATTTCTATTGTTTCGGCACTTCAAAAATGTATTTTATAGTTAGAATTTGACTTATTTAAATGCCACATGGCTTTCGTATTATTTTATAGTTCTTAGTGCCATATTCTAAAATCAGACAAGTATAAATATTTATCAGTTTCAGCTTTAAGAAGCATATGCTAATGAGAGAGAATGAGGATTCACAACTACCTAGATATAATCGTATACATCTGAAATTGGTTCTGTTTTTTTCTGGCTGAATAGGAAAATAAAGTTCTTATATTCAACATTTTCTTGAATATAAAGTTGTTCGCATATAGAGGAATAATTATTAAAGTTGTAGATTAGTGTAATCTTAGATCTTATAGCAGAACAAAACTATGTAAATTCTTGATCAAACCCAATGAAAGTTGAGCTTTTTCGTAGTGAAGTATTTATTGACTAGATTATTTTTTGCTCTAAGCAAGTACGCATAGATATATAATCTATTTACATTTACATATGCTTATAATATACCTATATAAGAAACATTTTATCGAAAACTTTGATAGACTTTAATATTATCTGTTGACTAAAGTAAGACAGGATTAAAGTTGTAGTTGAAAACTTTTCTAATTAGAGTATATATGTGTAAGTAAAATGCTCGACTAGGATATATCCTATAGCCAATGATAAAGTATCCTAGAACACACATAATCACTCACATATATATATATATATATATATATATATATATATTTATGTATATATCTATATATATTTATATATATATATATATATATATATATATACATATACTACATTCATCTGTGATATATATATATTTATTTATATATATATATATATATATATATATATGATATGTATGTATTGCGTATTTAGTATGTATTCAAATTATAATTATACAACTATATTAAACAAATTGAGCATATACGTATGTATGTATTGAGTTAACTGTAAATACACATGTACATACACCCACATGTATAACATGAGAACAAGCGAAAAAGCAAACCAATACGTACTTAGTTAATTACTAAATGCCACTATCATGCATACATAAGTAAATCAGCATTTACGTAGAACATACTATAACTGACTCGAATCCTCGGGAAAGGCACGATAGACATAAAAATTGATTGCAATCTTTTGGTATACTTATCGTTCACGTTTGCTCTCACCTGTCGACGACCACCTACCACCCTCGAAGATGTGCGACGGGCGAGGCGTGGCCAAATATAATGCTGGCCTGCCTGAAGGGAAAGGCCTGCGACGACGATGCCGAGAAGGGTGCTGGAGAGTACTGCGGCTCGACTTTGGCCTACGCCTATTTCGTATCGTTTATATTCTTTTGTTCGTTTCTAATGTTGAATCTGTTCGTGGCCGTCATCATGGATAATTTTGATTATCTAACGAGGGACTCCAGTATATTGGGTGCTCATCACTTAGACGAATTTGTGCGCATATGGGCGGAATATGATCCAAATGCGACGTAATTATCAGTTTAATATATATATGTCTAAATATATGTATATAACTACATTCATTTCTCAGTATACCCAACGATAGTTCCCATGTGATTTTCCTTTCTTCCGAACCTAACACCCGAACCCCGTTTAATTTCGTTGATTTTCCTTTCTACTTCACACTTTTACACTCGATTCGCACTCTCAACAAATATTAAATGATTATTATTTGATCGTATTTGTTTCATATCAATTCCGTTCGAGGGTCTTAACACAGCTACGCGTGCACACAGATAATTATTTCTATTTGGTTAATACACAAGTCTCTCGGACTCTATTATAACTAAACATCTGCAAATTGATATGACTAAATTTCGATATCGTATTTCGACTTTGGCTATAATGCCATAACTTACCCTGCCAGCAGTAACTGTCTTTGTCTTTCGTTTAAATCCTTTTACTATATATCAACATTTGATCTTCAGAGATCGACAGTCCCCAACAGTGTTTTTGTTTTTTTTTTCGCCTTCGAACTCATTTGTTTATTACAGAAACTTTACAGTCTATATTTTGAGTTTTCGTCCCTCTGTGTCTCTGTTTCGTTGTTGATATTGTTGTCCCTCACAAGACTCTTGCAACAAGATCTTGTGTTTCCGTGTACTTGGGGTTCGGTTACATCGAATAGATTGTCTTGGTCTGCCCATTTGAAAGTGAAGAACTGATTATGTTTCTTTCTGATTGTGCTGTTGGTTGGCAACACATAAAAACAATATTTATATAGTGGTAGAATTCATTACACGGAAATGTATGACATGCTGAAAAATATGGATCCTCCATTGGGTTTCGGTAATAAGTGTCCCAACCGGCTTGCCTACAAGAAACTAATACGGATGAATATGCCATTGGACGATGAATTGAGAGTCCAATTCACGACGACGTTATTTGCTCTGATTCGGGAGAATCTTAGCATTAAAATGCGAGCGCGTAAGTTGAAAGAGAGAAAAGCAAATATATTTCATAAAATATTTCTATTATTTTGGCTATCATGTAGCTGAGGAAATGGACCAGGCGGACCTAGAGCTCAGGGAAACCATCACCAACATCTGGCCATTGCAGGCCAAGAAAATGTTGAATCTGCTCGTTCCACCCATCGATCAGTTGAACAAGGGCAAACTGTCAGTTGGTAAAATCTATGCAGGTTTTCTCATATTGGAATCCTGGAGAAATACAAGATTCGGCCAGATTGATTCAGGCATGCCGGTAAGTTGCCCCATATCGTATATACCTAAAGCCAAAGACCGCGAAATTCGTACTCCAGCTACTTAGCCTAACAATAAGAGCAATCAGCCCAGCCCAGCGCAGCTCAGCCCAGCCTAGCCCAGCCCAATGGTTGCGAAAACAAAAAGATTCTGCTTGCTTAGCCTTATGATTTCAATGACTCGCAGGGCTAAAGTATCACAATATTCACAGTCACCTGTGATCAAGTAACAATACGTATTTTAAGGGATCTGTGCCTAGGTATAAAAGAAAAAACTTAAGTTTCATTTCCAAGACGTCGTCAGATGTCGCTTTACTATATTATATCTACAATAAATTACAATTACGATTTCTTTTGGCTATTTATTTCTGTCACTGTTACACCATCATTCAAGATTGTGTCCTGTCTGTTTAATTGTCATTAATCAAGTATGAATATATGTACACACAGCTGTATGTATATGTGTATAGATTATGTCTAATCACTCTAAATGAAATCTCAACTCACGCTCAACGCAAAAAAAAACACTTTAGGCCAACTACAAGGACATTGCATATTAATAATAAAAGAGAACGATTCAGCTTGACATGGATTGGATCCTCTATTGATATGTAAGCTCTATAAGCTCTAATCTTAAATATCAAGTCAACTAAAACACGAACTAAACGGAAATCCAACCAAGTAATTCAATTCATTCGTAAAATTCATTTGACTTATGAGAGAAATCCAATTATAGGATCCAATCTAGGCCACTGAGTCGACTACAAATAAGCACATTTAATTCAATGAAATATTTGATTAATAAATATTATGATTTCTCTTCTCATATGTTTTTAACAATGAACTCTCGAACATAACTTAAAACAATACAATTAAATGTACGACAACAACAAATACTGATAATTTTGCTTAACTAATAATAAATGCAGAATTGGAAGGAGGTATATAATCAATTTATATGCAACCTCACGCTTAACACATTTGTAAATGTATCTGTTGAGACACATATGTATCTAATCTAAAACAAAAAAAAGAAATCAAAAAAAACAAACAAAAAAACTTTTCGCATACTTTTCTTTTCAAACCAAACATAATCAGCAAATGCAACGAAATGAAAAATCGATAAGCCACACAATTAGAACTTTTTCCATCTCTCGATGAACTTTTGTGGTTCATGTGATCCGATCGATAATAAAGTGGGAAATCGAAAGTCAATTAAAAATCGATTGCCACAAATCTATTATTCTGCAAAAAGAAGTTGAGAGCGATTAGAAGTTTCTCTCTTGAACTTTTAGATAGCAACACTTCAGCTTCAACTTCAGCTTCAGCTACTTTCGACGTTCGAGACCTGATAAAAATTCAATTTCTCACAATTTTAGCTAATTTACTTCAGATATCTTCAGTGCTCGTTATCACTTCAACTATTAATCTTTCGTGTTATTTCCTGAACTGAAGAAAATAAATTATTTTATATAAAATTTAAAAATATTTTTCAGAGAAAATTTGCATTGAAATGAAAATAAAATCGATGTATTTTAAATATTTATATTCAAAATTTTAATTTATTTTCCTTGCCAGTACCTTAAAGCAAAATTGAGATTGAGTTTTGATAATCAATAATTTTTCTAATTAAGAATTTTAAAATATTATTTTATTTTAATTCATAATTTAAACTAACTCTAATTTGCTTTTAATTACACAATTTAACACAATGTTCTAGTAAGAAATTCGTGCAGTTCTTAAACATATTTATTTATTATTAACTTAAATTTATATTTAGTTTTTATAAAAAAGAAAGAAAGAAAATTTAATTCTTTGATATCAATTTCCATATGAAATTTAAAAAATGTTTTCCAACGAGAGAGTTTCCTCCTTCGACTAGGAGAACAAAACGAATAAGAAAAAAATTGAGCAGCTGAGTGATGGAAAAAGTCGTGTGCTTTTCTTTTGCGTTTCACATTTGTGTTTTTCCCCAAGTAATGCACTTTGGCTGCACTTGAAGGCAGTCGCATTGGCTAACGAAAAGATAATAATTGATATGAAAATAAACGTGGTGCATTTTTCGGAGAGAACATCATTTGGCTACAAACATTCGATCCAAACTGATATGAATTGAAGCGAAAAATAATTATTCGTAGTCAAATACATATATTGGTAGAGTTAAAGAGTTGATATATATTTGATTGTCAAGTTTGTAACTGACTCTCGTATGTTTGCTGTTCTTTTAGGTAACTGTAGAATAAATTAATTCATTACTTGACTTAATCCATAGATTAACAATTATCAATATTCACTTAAGTTATTTGGGCTAAGACCAGAAAAGCAAAAAAAAAAAAAACAAAAAGATTCTCAGTTTCGTATATTGCGTATATTTCGTATATTTATTATTTTTTTTATGATGGTTGATCACGTTCCCCATAGAAGGCATATGTAATTGTAAAGTCACAGTCCATTCATTAAAAGTATGAAAAATCAAGAATTCGTTGAGCGCCTTAAGAGAGAAACAAAAGTAATTAAATTACATACATTGTTTTATTCTTGTTAACTGCACAAACAATCGAAAAATTAACACTGACTAATTGACAAAAATTGCAAATTGTCGTTGAATACTTGTAATTGGATAATTGGGCAAATGATAGCGGAAGAAGCCCGAAGATGATGATGATCGTAAATATAGCCCAACGGCCGTCGAGGAGCCGGTATATAATCTATTTAAATACAAAATATCTTTCGCTTGATTTTACTTTGCCTTTTATAAGCTCCTATTTCACCGTTTTGCCATTTTACAACTTTCTGCAAGTAACAAATACCAACAATTTCGGCTAGAGGCATGTGTACATACTCGCATAGGAACGTGCATAACTAACTAACTATATATAAATATAGGCATCAACATACACTAGTTTACATGCATTATGCGATACTTTTCTTCATAGACACCCAACTAATTTCTAAATATCTAGTTATCAAAACAAAAAACCAACTACAATTACAACACCTATGTAACAAATCTTTACAATGCAATGGTTATGTTTTCGCTTACAAAACTCCACACAAATTACTTTTTTGCTCCACTCACTCGCTCACCAATCTAGGTTCGAAATAAGCTTCAATTCGGGTTCGAGACCTTACCAACCCTTTAACAATAATCCAATTGCCAATTGCCAGTTGCCAATGGCCTAGGCCATTCGAGTCAACTCCAACTATCTGAATTTTTCAATTTCCTCCCCGATTATGATCACAACTACGTATAGTTAACGAATCGATGTACAGCAATCAAACTATATACACATAAATTACCCTCTGTGCAAACAACTTGAGTAAAACCAAGATACAAGAAACAAATCAACTGAGCTACCCTTGCAGACCCCACGCAAGCGCTAACCTGCTCCAATTCATACTTTAAATTTGTATGGTGTCGGGCGTAGCCGACTGCCCAATACTCGTTCGAATTGGCTTACGTTCCATAATGTCTGTTCGGGCCAGGCAATGTAGAGCATCCAGATGCAGGATGAGCACCTACTGAGCGTAGCTATATGACATTGATATTCCTATATGACAATTCTTCATTGAAATTCCTAATTTCCCACGTCTAGCTAAAGACGTGAATATCTAACAGATATGGGATCGGTATATATCGGATGATTTATACATATACACCCATTTAATCCAAAAGGTACAGTAATTACTGATGTACCACGCCCCCAACACCTGGGAGTAATTTCAAGTCTCTAGCTTCAGTAGGAATGCCCTGTGTGCTCGTGCAAAGACTGATGACGCGGATATACTCTCTTTGACTTCGTGAACGAGTACATCGTATATATATATGAAGATCTCAATGCGTAGCGCACCGTCTTATATAGTTCCAAAAAGTCGTCTGCAAGGGTAGGCCAGAGTACACTATTGAGTAGAACGATAATTATCACCGGCTTGACGAATCTTTTTTATAAATATGATTTTCATTTGCATAACGACAAAATTCAAGTTGAAATTCGGTATCTGAATTGATTTTAACAGTTTTTTGACAAATTTCTTAATCGGAATCGAATTGAAATCGCACCTAAACCCATTTAGACTTAGATCATTCTCTACCCCACAGCAAGTATGCCCTATCTCAGATCTAAGCAGCCCTGGGCTGCCTAGAGCAGATGTGAATTGCTGTTTATAAGTCCACAATGATTATAGAATTGTTTGTATCATTTCACTTTGCCGATTTGCATTCGCGAGTCTTGTTAATATCGCACAATTTAATCCATTTTCGAATAAAGTTCTGCACCGTTTCATATTTGTATGCATAGAGCGGCATTGTGCTGCAACCTATTAACCTATATACCTTATATATATACCCACACAAATCAGTATATCTAATTAGGATAATTCCAGTCTAAGCCCTATATATATATACATATAGTGCTTAAGATGGCGGCCATCAAAATACATTTGAATACAAGCGAAAGCAAACGCAAATTACATAACGAATTAACAAAATGATTAAATAAAAAAAACCAAAGAAAAGAAAGCAAAGAAAACAAAAAACAGAGAATCTAAAATGAAGTAGTACGAGTAGTTGTTCGAACAACAGAACAACAATGGCAAATGTCCTATATTTAACATATATTTTTATTTGATTCACAAGTTGTGCCGTTGAGTTTCCTATACCATTTTATATGACGATAGGCATGCAAAACAAAACCATCTACATAAGTCTTAAGTTAGGTAACAAATTCAACTGTTTGCATATCTAATCTAACCATAGAACTTAACTAAACTAAACAAACAACCTTGGCATGCATAAAAACCAACAATAAAAATAAACTCATAATAATTATAAATAAGCTGGAAATGTGATCAAAATGCAACCAAAAAACTTAGATACCTTTTCGATACTTATCTTTTGTGTTGAACATTTACCATCTACTAGACACCCACACCACGCTAAGCAAAACTCAATAACAAAAACAATCTAAAACGATAAATGATTTTCTTTGCAAATACAATATCAAACTCTATTTACTTGCCCGGTCCACCTTTCTACAAATTGGCACTCATAATTCTCATACTCAAATATATACACAGATACTTCTTAGATTTTCTTCAAAAACCTAGTGAGTTGTAAAAATGTTTGCGCATGTTTTTACCACATCAATTGAAATATAAAAAAACAAAAACAAAAAATTAAACAAAAAACTCTCTTGATATGCGAAAGCATCACACACACACACACATGTACACATTTCTAAAATGCATAGAGCTTTAAACATCTCTAAATGGTATACTCTACTACATATACGTATCAATGAAATCAGCAGAAAACCCGCTATTTGCCCATTACTATAATATAAACATATGTTACTTATATATATATATACATATATATCTATAATAATACGTAAACAAATATACTTTTTAGAATATAAAAAAAAACAACTTTTATATTAATATATATATATTTATATATAAATATATATATTTTCATATCTGTATATATATATATCTATATATAAACTTAAATCTTTTTTTGTTATGTATCTCTAATTTGTTATGTAACTACTTATTACATTTTCAATTATTCTATAATAATTCTTACATTCCATTTTAATGCTTGAACACAAATCAAAATCCTAATGCGTTGCAATGTAACATGACTCTTTATACTCACCACTCACCCAACAAATCTACAATGAAAACTGAAAATTGAACTTGCAACAACGTTTGATCTCTACATACAACCAACGAACCAACCAAACCAACAATTGAAACAAATCGAATCGAATCGAATCGAATCGAATGAAAATACAATTAAAAATCAACAACAAAATAATAACAAAATCAAAACACACACACACACTTACTCGAAACTGTCTCTATACTCATGAAACAATCACAAAATAACAAACAAAAATGATAAAATCGAACCTCAAATCTGGCACGAACGGCACTGCAAAACGAAACAAAACAAAACCAAAACCAAAACCAAAACCAAACGAAACGAAACAAAATAGAAACAATCATTCTTTAATTGCCTGCTCGATATGGCAGCCCTTGACAAAGGAGGATCGCGACAGGGCTCGATAAGTTTTGAGCCAAATGGGGAAGGAGGCGCCAACTCACAAACACATTTGTTAGCAAGCACTTATCACGCTAATGGTGATGTCGAACACAACAGTTTGGCAACACTAGCACGTCGGAGTACGATCAGAAAGCGATCAGTTAGGTAATTTAAAAACAAACAACACCTAAACTTTAACATGTCCAGTGCATAGTATTGCTAACGTCACTCTTCATTCATCACTCATCATTCACCCGGTATCAGTCATTAGTCATCAGTCATCACTCTTCAGTCATCAGTCATCAGTCATCAGTCGTCATTCACCACTCATCGGTTCAGTCATCCCAGCATCGTATGAGCCACAAATTTACTTAGCTCTTGTACATTTATGACCCTCTTGTTGTCAAGGTCATATCCATACGTATTGCTAATTAGAAGCTCTCTGATTCCTACCCAGATGTAATACCTGAAAAGAAGAGCTTATCGTATACCCTGTATATTTTCAATCCTTCTATAAGGCATAATATATTATCAAATCTTTTGGATATTGATCTTAAGTCTTAGAGCCTTTGAGATCGATAGTTGGTTCACTGAAGGTAATTACATTTTCAACTGAAATCAAAAGCCTTGCCGAGCCCAAAAGTATGCCACAGCTCTGCAATTTTCTAGGAAAAAGTAAGACCATTTGCTGAGCAACAAGTGGACGCGGCACGTGCCGATCTCAAAACTTACACCAAGAACGTCCGAGTTTTCTCACTCCAGAAAATAATTTTTTAGAAGCTCCCATGATCCCTAAGCCATTTTAAAAATGTAATTGGCAAAACTAAATTCTTGATTTTCCGTTCGTATGGAGCAGCCATGGACTCATACAGGAGTTCTGTGCATTTTAGCCAATACAACTTATATTATAAGTGAAGATCATTCTTCCAGTTTCGGTATTCCAAAGCTTTCAATCAAATGTTCTCTAACAACTGGCTCTACATGACGTACACACACATACGCCAGGCACATACATACATCATAAGTTATATATACGTGTTTCTGTATGCCTCGTACTCATCCCAATCGCACATTTGCCACACATTATACATATATAAAGTTAAAGAACAAGCATGCTACATACATATACATATATTTGATGGATAAATGAATTCGAAAATCAGATGATATGATATGTATAGGTCTGCAAACTCTAACGACTTTCTTTGTTTTCAATGTTTGATTTGTTTCCTTTTTTAACTCACAAAATAACACAACAACAAACGCCAACAAACACCAACAACCACCAACAACAACAACAAACACTAACAACTTTTTGTGCTTTGTACATTTACATAAGTAAATTGTTTTTTTCTAATTTTTAAATAATTTCAGAAACAAAAAGGTGAATAAGTTTGATAAACTCCAAGCGGTAAACCAAAAAGAAATTATCAATCAAATTTAAAAACTTAAACAAGAATAAATAATTGTGTATATTATCTATGAATATATGTGAATACTCTTTGTGTCCATAATCCGTTTCCGATATAAATGTTGTTCAAAAAACCAAATTACTTAAGTCGAAGTAAAACACTAGTACCTTTGAAAGTATACGCTCACTCATCTACATACACAAATATACACATGTATATATATATATATATGTCAATATGTATATATATATATATGTGTGTGTGCGATATATGAGTTAATGTATGTATGTAACAGTATAAGTATTAATGTATGTACATCTAGAATCTAAATGTGTGTACATGCGTGCGATGTAACTTAATTTAAGCAATTTAGCAACTTACATACATGCCTTAACATATACATGCGTACATACATACATATATATATATATAAAGAAATATATATATACATATATATGTATGTGTTGCATAGCCATTATTGAACAGTTTAGAGAAGCAAATCTTCGCTTAGTATTCATACTAAATGTTGTAATTTGATCGTTGATCGTTGATCGTATGTATAAGTACTTAATTACTTACATGTACGTAAGCATTCCTTCGGCAATTTAACAGAGTTTCGCATCGCATTGCTCTAAGAGCGCAATTGTCTCTTTCAATATCATGGAACAATGTTCAAATTGCAATTAAATAATCTATAGTCCAAGAGGCCAGCGCGACTGAGCAACCCATGCAAACTCTGATAAAGCACAAAGAAAAGAAAAACAAGTAAACTTATTGCAGTCGGGTCCAACCGACTGCATGATACTCGTTCACGCTCGAAAACTAATTTTTAGAAAATTTAATAAGCATCGATAGGTCCCATTCGAAATGTGGAATATATAGTTTCATAGCAATAGACAAGATCGACAGTGATGTACTTATTTTCCGATTTGCCACGCCTCCTCGACTAGGCGTATGCAAAAAACTTTGATGCCTCACCTTTGAAGGGATCGTATAGTTCGAGTTTCCGAGTCTCGTGTCACTGATATACAAGCTGTTAGCATAGTCTCAACCCTTCAGAAGACGAGGATACGCTCTTCTATATATTCCAGATATTACTAATTCAGCTAAGACGACCCATATGATCTCCTTGATTGCTTGAACGAGTATAACAAAATACAAGGGAAGCACACTCGCAGAACAATTGTGTAAACGTTTTCTGACTTCGGGAAGTTCTAGTGTTAATATAGAGTAATGTGCTTAGGATACTTTAAAGCAGAAGCATTTTATTCATTTAACTATAGTATATGTTATTGTGTCCCAATTACCATATGGAAAGTAAATTATTCTTCTTCTTTTCTATTTTTGTGTTGATAACTTAGGACCTTTATACCGTACTCTTAAGTAGTTTCAAACTCAAAACACGTATTCAATTTGCAAAAAAAAAAAACAATTAATTACTTTTTACTATTATTTAAAATTTTCGTGCCGATTCGCACACATCTGTCCCAAGATAAGAGAACAAAGTTTTTGATACCGAACTGGTATCCGCCCTAAGGCAGAACACACTAATGAAGACTCTACTGAATTGTTTATTGTTTGAAAGTCCACAAAGTAGGTTAGTTGAAGCGTGGTAAGTAAGTCGGGCTCATTACCTGACCGATGGACATTTGGACAGGTCACCCGCTCAGCTGCACATCCACCAGAACTTGAAATCAGAAACCAACAGAATAATCTTATATATGTACCCCACAAACAAATGCACACAACTAGAACAACTATCCGTAGAATGCATGACATATATATAGATCTATATATTTATATATATATGTATACTTAGATCTGTAGTTGCTGAAATGTAAATATTCACACACGCTTAGTTCTTACATAACTTCTATCTGTACACGCTGCTTGGATCGAACTATCTTTTCTATTGATGTATATTTGTAGATAAGTCTCAGATAGCACACTGTACATATTTATTTATTTGTAGAATATCTGTACTGTAAATATATGTGTACAATTGCAGTATTAACATCATTTGTCAGCTACAATAGTTATAATATTTCTTGACTTTAAGTTTCGTATCTTTCACATTTACTTATATTTGATTCAGTTGAACAATATATCACTTGGTTTTACATAAATATAGGACAATATGTAGATGAATCTGGGTATTAAATGATTGGCACATCAATAAAACGAAAAGTAAAACAAAAATGAAAAACTCGAAAAAAAAAACAATAAAAAAACTTACTTAAATGAGCTAGAAAAACAAATAGAAATAAAAATACAAACAAAAGAGAAACAAAAACAAAATCAAAATCAAAAAAAAAAAATGATCTAAATTAATTTAAAAGTGTTCAAGTATGTAAACATACATGTATACTCTTAAGTAGTGTATGGAATTGTTTAAATGTTTCACGCCCTAAACTAGGTAATCCTGCATTTAAGAACCTTTCGATACTTCAACCTAGTGCAATTGAAATTCGCATTTGGATATGTATTTTGTTGCAGTGAAGTATATATATATATATATACATATATATATATATATATATATATATATATATATATATATATTCTTCTTTTTTTGTTTTTCTTAACATATTATATGTATATGTATATCCCTTTACGAATACTCACGCAAAACGAATATATTTACATATTCCAATATATGCATATGTGAATATATTTGATTTGTCGCTTTTGTTTATACGTATATATATTATATTATATTATATTATATTATATTATATTATATTATATTCCCTGCGCTCCAGTACGGAGCATTGGTAACATTTGTAGCTTTTATTGTATACCCAAAATCAAATACAAATTATATACATATATACCCCATTGAAATGAAGGAATGAATGAATTCATTTGAATGTCGTCAGCTTGCGAGAGACACAAGTGCCCCCAATCAGATCCAAAAGAAATTCAACTATTAAATATTTGAATGTTTATTCGGGCGTCCATGCCGCGGCTGATTTCAAATGGTATCATTCATTTTTATCCCGCTGTTTCACTAACTGACTTAACTACGTTTCTTAACTAGATGCTGGATCTGCAAGATTCGTCGAGACATCCATCGCAGGAATCGCTGACCGGTCCCGATGCTGGCCATTTACATCCTGGACATTCGTATATCAATGGCCATCGGCACTCGCCTAGCTTGAGGTTAGTTATTTTGCTATGAGCACACATTTCTCCAAAAGATCAATTCTAAGATTGGAAACGCTGGCTGGAAACTGTGCTGATGACTGGCTTTCATAATCTCTTACAGACACAACGGCTCTCCTTTGGCCAGATCGCCAAGTCCCAGACGACGCGGCCATCAATACATACATCATGATATCGGATTCTCCGATACCGTATCTAATGTTGTAGAGATGGTCAAGGAGACTCGACATCCTAGGCACGGCAACAATCATCCACGGTATCCAAGAGGTATTTAACAATCAAATCACACATTCCTTTATACTTATCTATGTATGTACTATATTATGTATGTATATTTAATGCACTTATGATTTTTATGTGTGAGCCGATCGCTAAAACTAATATATATATATTATTTGTTTTAAAGCGCTCCATTACATTATTTTTGATCCCACTACAGAAGATAAGAAAATAAGAAAGAAAACAGAAAACCAAAAAATGTCTGCCGCGCTTAGAAATGTGTTTTTACAATTGCCTGAATAACTTTTGTTTAAGATTCAAATTTGAAATTCAACTATACCCAATAAGTTCCCTTAGGTGTATCAGTCCTAACCTTAACCTCAATATCGTATCGAACGAAGACAGCAGATTGTGTATGAACTCACGTCTGAGAAGAGAACACTTATGTTATATATAAAAGTGCATACATTCGGATTCGGAGCTGCCGAAGTTTTATCTAAAAAATGTTGTAGTATCCTAGTAAAATACATCATTATGATTATATGTCTACAGTTAATTAGCATTAAAAGATGACTTTTATTCCATTTGATTTCTTGATTTTCTGTACGTTTCGTTTTCGGTTTTCTTTTTCTCGTTTTTAAATACCAAAATTAGATATGAAATTTTCATTATGATAAAACCAAAAACAAAAACAAAAACAAAACAAAAACAGCTTTTTGCAATTAAAGAAAAAAGAAAATAAAACAAAAACCAAAAACAAAAACAAAAACAAACACGATACGATTTTTACGATACGTAAACTGTTGTGCCCCGACATCCTTAATTATTGTTGTTTTTCTTTATTATTGTTGTTATATGTACAATATAGGTTCATGGTCAGCATCGACAAGTCCGGCCCGTTCGCCCTCGCCTTCTCGTTATGGTGGTCATTTGTCTCGCAGTAAACGCACTCAACTGCCTTATCCCACATATGGGACAACAAGTTTATGTCAAAGATCACGATCGCCGAGTCCCGCTCGACTTCAGGAGATGCGTGAACGAGACAGACTTGGTTATGGGATTGATATGGGTACATCTTTGGCACATGTTAACTAAAGCTGACAATTCAAACAAAATCAAAATCAAAATCAAAATCAAAACCAAATCAAAAAACTACCAACCACACCACGAAAAACAATCAAAATCAATAAGAAAACAAAAAGAAAAACACACACTCACACAAATAAAAACATAATTAACATGTTTTCTATATAATGCTAGTACTTTCTTCTACACAAATTTCTTCAAACATTTCTACATCAGATATAAATATCAAATATCAATTATCAACTATCAAATATCAAATATCAGACATGCTTACTCGTACACAGCTGCTAAAATGCTTAACATGTACATGTATTGTCATGCCATGAGACGTTCCATTAAAAGCTTTCAATAATCAAATAGTTTTCTATTCTAACTAATACAACTACTACTACCACTACCACCACTACTACTCTACTACTACTACTACTACTACTACTACTACTACTACTACAAAAATCATAAACTTACACTCAGCTCTCAGTTTTGTTAGCGTTTCACCATTTGAACCATCTGAACAATATACCTTTGTATGTATGTATGTATGTACTTGTACTCGAACTCAAATATTCGTATTAGCAGCGTTCATTTCATAACTCCATTTCTCTAGTGCCCATACACTTAATTACAACTACAACTATAGCCACAACTACAACTACAACTACAACTAGAACTATGTACAAACATTCATCCGCATCAAAAAACACGAAAACAATTTGGCAACAAATAACTTTTCACTAAACGGTTGTAAGATATTATATGCATACAGCACAACTTTAAGACTATATATATATATAATTTACAAATTATTTCGCCATACCAAGCATAGAGATAGAGAGAGAGGGAGAGAGGGAGAGTGGGAGAGTGGGAGAGAGGGAGAGAGGAAAGAGGGACGGGTGTTTTTTGGTTGAGCCGTCTTCGACTGACGACGAACAAGCCGACTGCTGAAATCCATTTGCAAATTTAACTTGGGTTGATTTTGATCATATGCATACTTATGGAGTTTACTTTGAGTCTATGTTAGGGCAGTGTTCGTCTTAACTTATCTTCAAACTAAGCCCAATCAACTGACCAAGAATCTATGTGCCTCAACTTTATATTAATTTCACACTGATTTATGCCCGACGACAATATGAAAAGTATCTAGGCGTCTGCTACATTAAGGGGATTCCCAATTTCTCATTTCATATTTTTTTGTCCTCATTTCGAGTCAAAGACGTGGGTGGATTTGTTTAATGTTTAGTTGTTCTTGTTGTTGTTGTTGTTGTCGTTGTTGTCGCTGTTGTTGGTGTTGCTGTTATTGCCGTTGTCGTTTCCACTCGCAGAAGAAAAGAAAATTTAAGAAAACAACAAATTTAGTTTACGATTTGCATTCATGGTTATCATTCAGGTTGCAGTTGTTATATATATACATATATATATTTATATATATATATATATATATGTCTATACATGTTGTATATGTATGTGTATACACGATCATGTATGTATATATATGTATATCTTTCGTACTTTTTGCACTGTTACGTTTATCCAAGTTTCATTCTTTCTGTCTGGAATATACTCAAAACTCTCTCGATTTAAAACCTGTATCTATAGCTCACAGTCATGCATGCAATCGCAATTGTTTACTTTTACTCGGAATCATCTTAAGTATATCTGCATCTTGATGCAAAAATAATACGTAGCACTCATTTTTTGTGTTCCACATGGACATTCGATAAATCAAAACATAGTATATATAACATAACATATATATACATCTTGTAGTATCTATTTAATGTCCATTTAGGTTCAGTATGTGCGAATGTTCAGAAAGCTAACTAGATTAAAACATCAAAATATGAAATTCTTAAAGATATATAAATATATATCATTTCGTCAGCTGAACATTCGAGCAAAACAACAAACACTCAAACAATATATTTTCATTATATGTTATGTATGTATGGTTTCAGACGACTATTGCCCTTGTTAGACTTATTAGGCTCATACATTGCTTATATCATGACATTTTGATTGGTTACAAACTCGCCGATCTGCCATAAAAACAACTAATATGTTTTCGTCTCTGTGTGTCCCCGTTTACCTTAGGTGGCGCCCATGTACAGCACAGCTACCCAACGTTGGCCTCTCGTCGTGCTGGCATCGGACGACGCCTACCACCGACTCCGAGCAAACCGTCAACCCTTCAGCTTAAGCCAACCAACATTAATTTTCCAAAGCTGAATGCGAGTCCAACCCACGTAAGTGCAAATCACATCAACTAGCGATCGTTGCCACGATCAGTTGATTACTTTTACGTAATCCATAAAAAGGTAGAAACTCTCATTTATTTTATATTATCAATACATATCAAATTTTAGATTGATTTTTAAGGAATATCTTAATGCTCATAAAAGCTAGCTAGCTCAAAATGTAGTATTTCGATTATATAATATAATATATAATATTTTACTCAATAAATAAAAAAGTTTTGTTCGAATCGTAGAATCTTGGTCTTTGGAATGCGTACATTTATATTCCAAATTTATAACTTGAAAAGTTAATCAAAAGCGTGCAATCTAGAAGCGAAGTTGTTAGGGAACAAACAGCGTCAGCTGATGGTAGCAGCAGAACATGGCGCAGAGTTCAGGGTATATCCTAGTCGGGCACTCCCTATAAGAGCCCTGCGCTTAAATTTAAAGCATATCAATTTAAAACTTATGACCTCTCAAATATTGCATTAGTATTTCGAAATGCTTGGAGCAAATAGTTTTCTATTTAGCTCCAGTCAGTTGGAAGGAGCACAGCAGACGGTTTATATGAACCATTTTTAACGTTAAATTTATTTAAACTGTTTTCAGACGCATCACTCAACACCCCACAGTGTTCACTCGCTGCCGCATCACCGAGATCTTTTGCGGGATCCGAGAGACGTGTATTATAGTAGTAGAGAGCGAGAACGTGATCGGGAACGTTTCAGAGATCGAGATCGGTTGCACGAGTACGACGTGCGTTACGAGTATCGGGATCGGGAACGAGAGTTGTACGAACGTGAACGAGACCGTGAGCGGGAAGTGGAAAGAGAAAGGTAATATCGGATCAATTTGATTTTCTCATAATTATCTACAATTGTTATTTGCCTTCAGACTGGAATATATAGCACCGTTGTCCTTTGAGCAAGCGTTAGCTATGGGCCGAACGGGTCGTGTACTGCCATCTCCAGTTCTAAATGGTTTTAAGCCAAAGAGCGGACTTAATACTCGACACTCCGATTCGGATGAGGAGGATTGGTGCTAGCAAAGGCTTTGATTGCGATCGCGTAATCCAAACGAACAGATCTGGGTATAGCATCAGGCCAATTGGTCATCGTTATCAGCACCAAACTTAGATCACAATTTTGATACGATACGAAATAAATGTATTCGACATACAGCAACACAAGGAACATCAGAAGCAAGAGCATTCGATATGAATCCAGCTCCAGACAGCACATCAGCATATGCTTTGAACCCAAATCGACAGCCGCAATCGCAACAATTCTTAACACAACAACAGCAACAACAACAACAACAGCCAGACACATGCTACAAGTACTCGCATAGCGATGCTTCACTGCTATCAATGCCAGTTCCAATGGCACTGTCCTTGCCCGGAACACGAACAACATCGCCCCTATCGGATATACTAGTAAGCAGGAAATTACGATCAGCAACAGCAACAGGAACAGGAACAGCACCAACAATACCAATAGCAATACCAATGACACCAACTAATCAAAGAATGATATTACCAATTTCAATACCAGCATCAGTTGCAGCTATTCAGAGAGTTTATTCAGATAACGATATTAACTATAATGCAGTCAGTGAAAATTATAGATTTGCGTTATCTGGCGATACGATCGAGCAACATTATTGCCAACATAAACCTTATCAAGATCACGAAGACCAGCAACAACATTCGTATCATACACTTTAAATGCAGAAGCCCGCTTAACTGTAAACAAGATCTTCAACAAAAGAAAAAGAAGAAGAAAATGAAAAAGAAAAAGACGAATAAGAAAAAGAAGAAAAATAAAAATAAATATACAAATAAATAAAGGATTAACTCGAATGTCATTAAAGTAAAAGATGTGAAACGTATTGTATGTAAGGCGTAAAAATATTTCGAATAATTGTAGCATACATAGTCTAAGTAGGTAGTATCTCTCTCTCTCTATAGATACATACATACATACACACACATATAGGTAGCATGAGTGTATATGCATGTATGCATGTGTGTATGTATGTATGTATGTATGTATGTATACATGTGTAGGTACACGCATACATCGTAAGTTATTTAGTATATATTTACATACATAACTCGATGAATCTGTAATCCATTTGCAAGCGTTTTTGTCTTGTTTATATTTAAAGTTAATAATTCAATTATGTACATTTAAATGCCGAACTATCTTTATTATTATACGATTGTGCATATTATCAAATATTATTGTAGATATCAAATTTTTGTATGTAATGTATTTATCTACGACTACGACTACGACTACGACTACGATTATATTATAGCTAAAGCTAAACCCCCAATGCGGATGAATCGGATATTTAATGCCTGAAATACTGTTATGTGCGTGTGCGTGTGTGTGAGTGATAGTCTCAATTTTTTGCAACTGTATGTGTGCGTGTGTGTGTGTCTGCATATAAGTGTCTTAAGATCCATTGTTATTATACTAAAGAATAGAAAAAGAAAAAAGAAAATAAAATTCAGCTAGATTCAATTCCATGTGCATAATAGTAATAATATATATATATATATATATATATATAGAAATACGTAGCATAAGGTATTTCCAATTTATGTTGCTGGTCTACAAACATTATGGCTTGATCGATTTTTGTCTTCCTTTCTTGCATACCGAGATAAAGCGAATGCACTCTCAGCAGATTATATCTATGTTTCCTGTACATATGTATAGATACTTCAATTATTCTCGGGTATTCCATATGAAGTTCTTGAATTTATTTCCTTTTCTGTTTCATATTTGCATATATACATATTTTTCCGATTGATATAAACTATATATATATGTATAGATATATATATGCTTGGATAGAAAAACATATTACGATATGCATGCATATGTATATAAGTATTTAGGTACATAGACAGCCATGACATTATTGAGCGAGTCTGACAATAGATTTTCCCTAGGAGATAACCAATAGCAACAACAGATATACATACATATATAAAGAGCCTGCTGACAAAATATAAGAGACATTTAGATCACATATATATACATATATATATATATATATACATATAAATATATATATATATAGATATATATATATATATATATATATATATATATATATATATATATATATATATACTATGTACACACACACTAGAAACATTCCAAATCAAAAACAAAAAAAAAAAAAAACAAAACAAAACCAGTTAGCGTTTAGATAGTTCAAATCTGTGAATCAATATGTAGAAGTTTTGGATGTGGGAGGGGATATTGAAGAGCGCACAAATATTGTAATTTAAATAAATGAATCCATAACTTAAGTTAAAATTAAAACCGCTGAGCATTAATGCGAATTTACACAATATATATATATATATATATATATACATATATGCATATATACATATATATATATATATCTATATATATATATATATATATATAAATAGATGAAAGTGTCCTGCGAACACCAACAAAAATGTAAGGATCGACTTTAAATAGTGCATACGATACGATATTTAAATAGTTTGTATGTATGTAGGTTAGTCTAATACTACTTTTACATTATGAACACACACACATACACACACTACTTGAAAGAGAGAGAGCGAAATACGTACATACATAAATCAAGCATTAATCTTTTTTAGACTTCAACGCAGCTACGTACACACATACAAACACTGCATACATGCTAGCATATTTAACTATATATATATATGTATATATATATACATATATATATATATATATATATATATATATATATATATATATATATATATATGGAATGGAGTATAACATAGCATCCATAGCTAAATCAATCCTACTTTATTACAAATTTACTGTTATGTAAGCAAACAAAGAAACAAACAAAAATAATGGCATATGACCTTTTGCCTTTACTCTCCAATAATATGTACATTTACATAGATCTATGGGTTACCATTTACCTCTCAACATTTTTATTGTTATACTTTAAATGTCTTAACACGGTTCAATATATATATTTATATATTTATATATATATAAATATATATATATATACTCTCTTTAGTATATCTACAATGATATGTTCATGCATGGACATTCAGCTAAGCATCATTAATCGAGTTCACAGTTCGCTCGCAAACGGCTTCATATTAAATAATTAGCCCAAATTTAAAAAAACAAAAACAAAAATACACGAAAAAAACAAACAATCTGCAAATCCATGCAGTCACCTAAATGCCAAAAAAAAAAAAAAAAAATAAAAAATTAAAAAAAAAACTCAAGAAGAAGACAAAAACATAAGAATCGACCTATTAAGTACAAAATTAACAACTATAAAATCAATTGACAAAATTCAATTATTTTATTAAATTAATTTTTTAATTGATTCTTAGACCATCTAAATATTTATTTACCTCTTTTTTTGTAGTAATATTGGCCTAGTTATATTTATATATTTTGTTTTTCTGTGAAACTTTTCTGAAACTAATAGCTGATGTTTTCGCTAGCCGTGAACTCATTTTTTTCTTTCTGAAAAGAAAGTTAAGATCTCAATAGAAAACTTTTAGACTCATGTTATTAGATCTCTGATTCATCTAGGAAAATTGGTTGAAAGCAACGTCCATATGCCCTTCTTGCCATGAGTTCGAGTAGAACGCTTAAGTACTTAAATATCTTAACATGCATATTTGACATACTCGAGTTCGGTTTACTCTTCCAAGCTCCAGAACTCCAGAACTAAGCTCTCACAATTTGTAAATACCAAAGAAAACAAAAAAAGAACATTTCGTAATTATAATCAGACTAATCGAACCAACAATTCTGCCAATTCATTTCGATGCTTTGTACCTATTGATATTGGAATACCTATTGATCTGGAATGGGTATGCACTCTAGTTCTGTGCATATATACGTCTGCTACAGACAGAATAGAAGCTATACTTGGCGGGAAGCTATACTGAGTCGTCTGTCTGTCCGTCCATGCGTCTGCACAAGTATGGGAAATAATATATATCTGTGCAGAAATCATGTTTATGCTTCTTTTTTATAATTTATCAAAACTTGGAAGATAGCAAGAGCTACTGATCAGCGATAATCAGATAAATAGAGATATATAAAACATGCTTTTTCTTTTGCTTTTGGAATATTCACACACTTGGCTTTTATGTTCTGAAAGTCTGAAACGATCCAGAGTTGGGAGAAGAGAGTCACATCCGCTTTAAGAAATAATATCTAACTGTGAACTTGTGTGCATGTGTGTGTGTGTGTGCGTCCGTATGTGCGTGTGTGCGTGAGTGTGCAGTGTGACGTAGTAAAAATGGAACGCTGATAGGTAAAGGACAGCAGCTCATAGGTGGGTACAGGGTATCTGCTAATCGGGTACGCCCGACTAGAGCAATCTTAATTGTTTCCAAATGTTATTGCTCATCTGATGGCGTTAGTGTATTATGATGTTACGAGGCGATTCGCGATGTTTTTTTCCTACTATAATTGTAAATTTGGCTTGTTCAATAAATGTCTGCAATGAAAGTCACATGGGAAATCTAAAATTAAATCTAAACAGCTCTTCATTTTTACAAGAAAAGTGCAACATAAAGAAAAACAGTGAAGTCAAGGAAATCGTAATATAGATCAACTTAAAATAGTAAAGGCAAACCATTTAATTATAATAACTATATATATATATATATATACATATACATATATATATATATATATATATACATATATATATATATATACATATATATATATATATATATATATATATACATATATATATATATACATATATAAATTATCTTAACTGAGTACACTAAGTAATAATGAAGTTTAAATATTAAATATAATATTAAGAAACGCTAGAGTAAAAGATAACTGAAGTAAATTTAATAATTAATAATTATGAAAGAAAACAAAACCATAAGGAAAAAACAAAAACAAAAAACGACTTGTAATTTATATACAAGATATACACAAACAAACATATAACATAAATACCTGCCTTCAACAAATTTGTTAATAAAACCTATTAATACTTTCTTATTTTACACAAAGTAAAGGAATTACATAATAATAAAAACTAAACAAAATGAATGCCAGAAATTACAAAACTTAATTCAAATTGAAGTATTTTCATTATTTTGGCCACGAATATGAACCGAGACAGTTACAGAGCATTTGGGATTGGACACGGAGTAACATTTCTTGAGCCACTGAGCCCAGTATCAACCGGAGTTCACTGGTGTGACACTGGCCAACCAAATTTGACTACCAATAATCAGACTGTAACTGAAAACACGAATCTGAGACGGAAAAGCCAAGTTTTCATTTTTGAGTTTTGAATACTTAGCCAAGCGTTTTAAAGAAATTGGTTCGGTATCTGAAAGTAATCCTCATTACCTTCAAAACGTGTTTCGGTTATTTTTTAAAATCATATTTTGTCGCTAAGATATCGTCTATTAAACTTATTTAGTAGCTTTCGTATGCTCTCCCTTTCCCACTTCCTTTCTGTCTCCTTCACTTCTATTTTCTTAACACTCTCATTTCCTCTTCTGTCTTATTCTTTTCAATTTTTTCTCTCCCTCTCTTTCTCTCTTCTTTCTCAACTCTATCCCTTCGGCAAGTGATTTTCAGCAGAATATTTCCCGAGGCAAAAATAAGATTTTTGACATTTTTTTTAACTTTTATTTTGAAACTATTTGAAACTCTCTTTTAAAGAAATGAAGTGAAGAATGATTTTTACAGAACCCAAAGTTCTGGAGGTCAGAAATCTAATGCAATACTTCTATTCTGGGTTTATTGCCAAATAAAGCGAATAAAATATTTTCGGGGAAAGCAAAGTCTGATAATTTTAACTGTGCGCACCTAGGAGAGAGATGCAATATATACCAGGTAATCCCGTCTAACTTTATTGATTGAAATAAGTTTTAGTTCAGTCCAATCGACTTAATACGACCTTCAAAGCCTTTCCTAAATTTATAGAAAACTTTATTAGATTTTTGTACTTTTTTCAGAAAACATCTATAACATCTATATTTTCTTTAAATAAATTGCAGCTGAGGAGAAGTTCTTGACTTTTCTGGAAATTTTATGGCTATTTGCATCTGCTGAACAGCTGTTTGGATTGTACAGAAAAACAAAAAGTGGTAACAATATAGAAAGCAGCTGACTTTAAGGGACATGCGCATTAGTAGGATAGGATATTGATTATTTAAACAGCGCATTCAGTAATACACTAAGAAAATAACTGAATTCCCCATTCGTGTGGGGCATAAATTTGACAAGAATAGTCCAAGTTCGAGGCAAACTAAAAGGCAAAAAGGAAAAAGGAAGCATCTAGCACTCCAATGGATGGAGTGGCACTCGTAATACTCTATAGTCGACCTGTGTACACATTGACGACGATGTCTGATACAGTTGTATGTACAAACAGTTAGACAGGTGTAACTGAAAAGACTGCAACTGATTACAAACGGGTTGACAACAAAAAAACAAAACAAAACAAATAAAAAACAAGATAATTCTTCAGACGATAGTTCCAACATGGAGATACCCATTTCCAATGTGTTGTTGCTCTGCCTGATATTCCTGCTAATCGGCGGAGTCATTATGATACTTCTTCAGTATTTGCTTTTTATCAAATTTTCCAATTTGCCCGATGAGAGCGAAGAGCAAAAGCAAATGAATGCCAAGTACACCTTGCCACTGGTAAGCTGATTCCACAAGTCCTACAATGCATATGTACCAAAGCAGTTTCTCTCTTCTAGAATATTAAGCAAACCGCTCGGGACTTGAATACGGCGCAAACTGATGGTGGAGCCTGTGAGATGCATCCGAATAATGATCACGGCTCGTCGACTTTGGTATCGTTGAATTTCGTTATGCAGTTCCTGTTCCATGAGTTCAAAAACTCGAATCGTGTTCGCAAATGGTTCTACCGAAAACTGTCCATTGAGCTGGATGAGCTGATAACAAAGACAACGACGGGCAAGCTATTGGACAAACTGACGGTGCGGGCAATCAATTGGGTGCCAATCAATCAGTCAAATTGGAATGAAACTTCATTCTGTCCGTTTTTCTTTCAGATCAGGGAACTTGAGCTGGGCGATCAATTTCCAAATATCAGATCCCTTTCAGTGCATAATGTGCAGCTGGACGACGCTGAGCAGCGTATCGAGAACTTAGATCTACTGCTGGACATCAACTATATTGGAAACTTCTCAACATCGATCGATGCGGATATGGTGCTGGGCAAGAAGGGTTCCATAATGCTGAAAGGTAATGTCCACACAGAAGTATTTAACTGGATCGATAGATTGATTGAATTCCGCTTTCATCAACAGTTAAACAACTTTCGGGCATGGCCCGATTGCAGTTCACTCGAAAGCCTTACACACACTGGTCCCTCAGCTTCTTGGGCGATCCAGAACTCAACTTAGTCATCGAATCGAAGTATCAAGGGCGACAAATGCAGTCCAATATTACTAACCTCATTTCGAATCAAATACGCAAGGCAGTGCGACGCAAACATACCCTACCCAACTATAAGCTACGCTATAAGCCCTTCTTCCATTGGGCGGCCGACGAGGAGATAACCGACTGTGACATACAGCCTAATGGAGGGCTGACTGTGCGCGTGGCCGAGCTGTCGCGACTGATGGCCTGGCCGGGCACCAGCAGCGTCTACTGCACGATTACCCTGGCGCCAGTGCCATTCATTGAGGCGCATCAGAAGGACCATCGTCACGTGCTAATCTCCATGGATGTGATCATACACAAGGCAAAGAATCAACAGATAGGCATTGTGTTCAAGCAAAGCAGCAGCCAGGTGGTCAAGATTGAGTCCATATTGCCGAATACGCCCGCTTGCAAGAGCAATCTAATGTCAGGTGATGCGCTTGTTTCCATCGAGGGCAAGCAGGTGACAACTATTCAGCAAATTGCCAAGGTGGTAAAGAGTCTGCAGTCGACGGTCTGCTGCCTGCGCATCGAACGCATAATACCGGGCATCATACGCAACGATGCGATACTTGAGGATCTGGAGAAGTATGACGATTTGTGCGATATTCCTGCAAGCATTAGGCATGAGCCCGATGAGACCGAAGCAGTGTCCAAGCATTTAGCAGCTAAGGCCAGTCATAGTCGCAACTCCAACGAGTCCAGTCTAAGCGCCACACCAACGAACTCACCTAAGAAGTCTAACATCATTGCGAAAGCCATCAAGAAGACGATTAGCCGGGACAGCGGCGATAGTCAAAAGGAAAAGGACAAACCAAAGCTGGATGAGACGCCGGTGAAAGTGTCCTACCAGAGCCAATCCGACGACAAGTACCCCAGTGCAAGCGACAGACCACTGGATGAAGTCAACTATTTCTATCAGCACTCGACAATCGACTGCCCCTTCAGCCCTCTCATCCACATGGATGATCTGTCCAACTTTCAGCTGGACGCCAATAGTCGCTATCTGAATGTATCCGTGTTCGGCAAGTGCGCAGGCGAGAGCATACTGCTTGGCTACTACAACATACAGGTCAGTCAGATATTGGTCGAGTGCAGCGAAACGAGTCTGAATCAATGTCTTAGGCAGATAGCCATAAACCCAGCAACCCTTTTGCCAGTGTGAGTTGCAAGAAACAGCCTACAAATTCAATATTATAATATCACTTGACTCTTGTCTATAGTAAATCACATCCGTTGTCCAATCAATCTGGCTTCAATCCCAGCCTTTGCTTTGGAGATATTTTGTTTGGCTTCATTTGGAATGGCAATCCAAATGCTACCACCAATGAGAACACGATTAGGAATACATCAAAGTCCACATCGACAGCCAGGTATACTTTGATACTGAATCTAATTGCATGAAATAAACATTTCTTGTTTTTGGTAAAGTCAATCAATGACCAGCGACAGGCAGCAGGAGGAGAGCAGCGCAGAGACAGCGTCATTGAAGTCATCCAACGTTTCCAGCGATTGCTCGACTTCTGGAGTTGGTAATACAACGTCAGCATCGAAGGCTCACAACTTTATACGCACGCACTTTCAACGTGCCACACAGTGTGATTTTTGTGGCAAGAAGATTTGGCTAAAGGATGCCATGCAATGCAAAGACTGCACCATGTGCTGCCACAAGAAATGCATTGCAAAGTGCCAGAGCGCCACGGTGTGTGGGCCTGTTGACTACGGTGGATCGATACCAAATACGCCCTCAGCATTGCCAGTGGTGGTCAAGCCCGAGTTTACAATCACTCAGCCGGAATATCTTGACGTTTCTGCAAGTTCGCTGCCAACGGAGGATATCGCTGAGCAGATGCCGCAAGCTAATCTGGATGTGCACAGAGCCAGTTTGACGGGCATGCTGACACAGGGTATAAAGCGACAAGCTAGCAACCTAGATATACCCGGTATAGTCTCGTCCCTTTCCGGCAATAGCTCGCAGATGAATTCGAAAAGTTTGCCGCCAAGTCCTCAGCATACGCCATCGCGGTGAATATACAGCTATCATATTAAAGCTCTAACTTAACTATAATTTGAATTTTATACGATTCAGAAAGCCATCGATATCAGAAGAAGTCAGTCCCAATCCCTTTGTGAGAGTCACACAGCATTTAGAGGCCCTGCCCGTAGAGTGTTCAGCCTTGAGCTTTGAGCAGGTGATGCTGATCACGGAGCCAATCATTGGACATTCTCGAAACGAGGACCTGATGAATCTGGCCAAGAGCGACAGCAAGCTGCTCTATGCGGAGATACCGCCCAGCGAGAGGGTTACCAAAATAAATGAACTGGTCAGTCCAACTCAACTGCTCTCGAACAATTCCCATAACCGTTTCATCTCTCTTATTAAAGCTAACCAAACTGAAGGGGGCATTGGATGCGGAAACAAAGGGCTATACGTTGCTAAGCTACACTGAGAAGGCGACTACACACAGAATGGACACGGAGTCGCCATGGAAATCAATGGCCACAACGAAAATCAAGTCCGAAGAACGCGTTCAGGCCTTAAGCATCATTATGCTCTATTTGTGCACGGGTCTGCAGCATGCACAGGGCTCCGCAATGCAGTAATCCAAAGGAGCACCGTAAATTACATATAATTAGTATTTGTTATGTATTTGACTGTAAATGTGTTAGTGAACCTATGGGCATTTTTTAATTGTGCTACGGCACTTAACATATTCTTAAGACGATTATTCCGATGAAACAAAAACCAAAAACCTAAAATAACAAACAAACTATGTATTTGCGTGTTAGAAAACTTGTCAAATTAATACAATTTCACTAAGCATATAAGAGATATCAATGAATTATACATAATTATTTTCAACTTTGATCGAAGTAAACAAGTTTTTTAAACTGCTATGATACACTTTCAATTTAGACATCATTTAATCAAGGAGTCGCCATGCTTCAATGTTATCATTTACAGATATTTAATATTATTATTATAGTGGACATGGTTAGGAGTTACTTCAGGACCGAGTGCTCCTGTACTACACGTTATAGAGCAACCGAAGGAAGATCGATTTTGGGACCAGACCTCTGGTTTCGGAGGCTGAAAAAGATACCTTTATCTCTATTTTTAAAACCCCTGATACCATTTAAAATGGGAAATCAGGATATAATGGTTTTGTGCAAATGTATGTAACAGGCAGAATGAGGTGTGGCAGAGCTAGAGAACTAGAGATTTTAAATTAGCTTGTTTCAAATATTCGATAGCTAATCCCGTTTTATTGTATTTATTTATTTATTGTATTTAGTTTTATTAATATTTTATGCAATTTTGATTTTTATTGGATTTTGAATAGCTGCTCCATATTTCTCCGAAAATCTAAGTTCAGTTGGAAATGGGGCCAATAGTTAAAGGAGTTTGCATTTCTACCAAGCCAATGGAATATTAAATCATACGCTGAACATTTCAATAAAATCCATTAAGTAAAACAGAAGTTATTAAACAAAACATTTGGCCAATTTGTAAAAGCACACGTCAAACAGCGCCAAGCGCACGCATTTTTGCTGTGTGTAGACACATACATTCTTTTCTATTCAAAGAATCGAAATTACGGTTGAATTGTGCATGAATTATCAGCGCTACTTAACTTCAAAATAGCGACTTATTGTTGTGGCGGTGCTGGTAGAGGCGGCGCACATAAGCAATAAACTCTGGGTTCGAGCCTGGCGGCGAAGGAATATTTTTTGTTTTTTTTATTTTTTAATTTTTTTTTAATGAAGTGGCGGTGTTGTTAGAGATGATGCGCGTTGCTTAGATAATGTGGGTTCGAATCTTGCTGTCGTTTTTTTATTTATTTTTTTTTATTTTTTCTTAATATTCGATACAATCTATGAAAAATATTTAAAAACGCAGATAATACTGGGAAGAGGTTTCTCCTAGTCGGGCACCCCGACTTGAGGTTTCTTACTTATTTCTTTTACGCATACAATGTGCAAGCCATGCTACCCTGCCACACAAGCTTTTAGAGGGTATCGTCTATAAATATCTAACAATATATTGCGTGTAAGCTTATTGAGGAAAATGCTTGGAAATGCTAAAGCACAAAAGCATTCATCGTTTCTTATACCCTTCATCGGAGAGGTATAATAATTTCATCACAAACTCTGTAACGCATTATCCATTAACTATTTTTATACAGATCCAAGTTCCTATTCATTCAATTCGTATATACATATATATATATATATATATATATATTTATATATATATATATATTTATATAGCTTTTCCAGTTGGCAGATTAACATATTCACATACATATATCATAATTGCATCGAATCACTAGTTTTATTCATATTTTATTAAATGACAAGTACCTGAACATTTTGAATGCGTGAAACGTACGTTTCACGTTTCTATAGGTATTTTGATCAGTAACAACTCAAGAAACAATCGCTCCGATATAAACACATCTCATAAAGGGATGGCAATGCACTATGCCTACAAGGGCTTACGTATGTATATATGATCTTAAGCGTTCCCTACTAGAATATAGGCAAGAGTATGTGTATATGTCTATACATACATATATATGCAATGACATTTGGCAAGTGTGCGGAAAATGTATACAATAGTTCCGTTATCCAAACATCGCAATTAATGCGTCAGAGCTTCGGCATATATACATAGATATATTCATATATATGAGTATATTTTGAACGAATACGCATCAATTTCGCATTGATTTATTGTCTCTCGCTCTAGTTCGCGCTCTGGTTCTCGCTGTCGCTATCGCTCTCGCTCTTTTTTGGTCTCTCTATTCCTCTCTATGTTTCTCTCGATCCCGATGAGTTTGAACTTTTACACTTTTCCGTTGTCAGAACCGAGTAGACCAAGAGAAAGACTGTTTATAACAGGGGGTATTGCTCTTACGATGACAAGACAAGATTTTGTAGTATGCCATATAATACCCTCACTGCGCACGAGCCACAATGCTATGACAGTATTTATGTAACAGAACACGCAGGAAACGGCAATGTAATATCCCAGGCCGATTTGAATGACTTCACATTATATATGTATAATAGAACATCAAAGCAACTTATGAAAGTCTTATGTCAATCAATATAATAATTCAAAATTTAATCTAATCCCACATTTTTTTCCGTATGACTGGCACACATACAAATTATATGTTTTCCAGTCCTGTGGTGACTGAAAGTTAGGTTGAGAGGCGACTGTGCCTCTTATTGCTGGCCTCGGGCTCAGACAATGAAATAAGCCATTTAACGAGCAAATGACGGAGTGAATATTTATTTAAGCGGTTTACTGGAAGAACGCTTTTTAACCCTGCTTTTAATTGTTCTTTTTTTGAATAATCGAAACAGTTAATTTTATTGGTTTTTCTTATTATATTCACTATTTTTAGTTTTACTTATATGACACCAATTTTTAGCATGTCCTATCAGTACGAGTTAAAACACGAGACTGATCTATATTTTTACAAATCATAGCCTCACCGGCGTAAGTAGAGTTGCTCTTGCCAGGGCTGTTCCTTAACTTGTCTAGCACCCGATAATAAGTGTTGAATAATACCTTATATTAAGTGTTATAAGCTAACTAAGTGTTATAAGTTAACTACCCCCCCCTCAAGTGTAAGGTCGTCCTCGACCGACCCAATTCCAGCGACGACTCCTCGCAAGTGCTTCGCGGACTTCTTTGCGTCGATGATCCACCAAAGAGTGAGGCCAATGCAGATTAAAGTACAGCATATGGCTCCTCTTTCGGAGTGCCGTACAACGACACATCATCAAAGTGCACCATTTCGGTTCCTTGGTCGCATATTAGCAGCGGTGACCAGCGAGTCGGTGCAGGTGTTCTCGAATGAAATCCGCAAGTCGTTCTCATTCACATTCAATACGGAGCAGTATGAGCAGCGTACTGATTCTTCGCTATCGCCGTTCAGCAGGCGCTTACTAAGCTTGCTCTTGCGCCTACGTATGTGGCGTCTGTTGAAGCTGTTGGTGCCCGACGTGGACGTGAGCCTTGGCATCGGATGATGCACACCAAAGTTGTGCAGCTGCAGCGACTTGAGTGTGGCTGGCGCCGTCGATGACTGGCCGTGCACGTGCCCGTGATGGCCGTGATGACTGTGTCCCACCACTCCAGCGATGCTATGAGCCGTTACTGGACGAGTGATGTGTGTAGTCTGTTGGCGCGCTCAGCTGGCGATTGAATTCGGCCTTGCGGCGCGTCAAGTCCGTCAGGCAGTATTTGTTCAGATGGCCGTTGCTGGAGACAGGGCTCTTGGGCGATGATGCCAGATGCTGCGTATAGGCCGAAGGAGTTGCTGCTCACGCTTAGCTTATTGCCGGCGTTGTGCAGCAGATTGTTACAGTTCTTGCCGCTGATCTTGGCCGACTTTTGCCCGTCGTCGGTATCGTGTTGCTGCTGCTGCTAGCCGCCCTGTACTCCTTGTCGTCGCTCTCGCTGCGCACCGATGCTCGATACGCAGGAAATGTCTTCGTCTTGCTCTTCAGAGAGCCGTTCAGCAGTAGCTGCTGTTGCCGTGCGGCAACTGCCGACAATGCCGGCAGCTGCAGTTGACGTGATGCCGCTGCCGATGAGGATGAGGATGAGCCGGCAGCCGTGGCAGGTGTCGACAGAGATGGGCAGCGGTTGGAGCAACCTGTGGCTGTGAAACTTCTTGAATTAATGCAGTTGGCGGTGTTTTGGGGATTTCTTGACTTGGTTCTAGTATGGATGAAGAGTCGCTTGGCTCTGCCGCCGCGAAGAGTTCGTTAGTTGTTGCTGGCTGATGAGCTTCTACTGTTGGTGGTGGTGCCGTGAACAAGGGGGTTTCCTCAACGATTCCGCTTGTAGATTTGCATGCTGTGGTTCTGGCTTAGCATCCAACTATGGGGCGAATAGAGCTGTTGCTGGTTCTTGTGGACGACAGGATAAATCGTAATTTTTCTGCAGGCTTTTTTAATTTTTGGGAATTTGGTTATAAAATGTATAGTGTTGATGGATTCCTCTAGCCAAATTGATTTTAAATCTGAGGAGTCCAAAATGTTTGGGCTAACAATGAGCCTTCGCGAGAGTAATAGCAAGCATTAAACTTTGCAACTCCATCGTCCGCATTCTGTTTCTGGACAGTGTTTCAGTGTTTCAAATAAATAAATCAATAAAATCAATTTGTGAGTTTTGGCTATCCCGAGAACTCCACTGACAGCAAATGTTAACTGGTTAAGTTGGTCTTGAACCTCAGTGTTTACTTCTATCCGTCTACTGTTGGCATTCATTAGTCGCATTTCAGTGGACCTAGTCTGCTCTAAATCACCAGCATCGGGTGTACCCGCCACCAAAATGTTTTATAAAAACTATGCCAAGTGGCTAAAGGTAAATAGAAAACTATATCTAACTTATTCGAAATTGCCTAGCGGCTTAAAAAAAAGGTGTAATAAAAAAAACAAGGGAGTCATCTTAGGTTGTCCTTGTGGACCACCCTTCCTTTAATGAGGACCTCGGTCCCCAGGTCTGCTTCCACGGCCTTCTCGACACATAAAGGTGTGAGTTTGTTTCCGAGCCGTCGGTTGGACTTGACCAAAACCTTGTCACCAACATCGAAGACTCTATTCTGCCGCTTTGCGTTCTCCCTAGCTCTGAGCGTCGTCTGAGCGTTTCTGATCTTTTCTTCTATCTTCTCTTGTGGCTCATCAGAGTGCGCCTGAACCACATCAACTGGTCTCTGGTCGATGACCGAATGGATCGACTTATTGTATTCGGTTGTGGCCAGTAAAATGACTTCTACGGTGTCATTTATGCCTTTGTCGATCTTTAGGCATCTGGCTAGCTCTAACAGAGTGCTGTGAAAGCGCTCAACCTGTCCATTCGATATGCTATGCAATGGTGGTGCATTTGAAATGCTGACCCCATAGTTGTTTGTGAGCATAGTCATGATGGTCTCTGAATTCAATGACGGTTCATTGTCACAGTAAATGGATCTGGCTTTTGGAAAAAAATTCATAAGTTGCATTACGGCTGGCTTCAGATCCACAATGGTTCTTGAAGCGACCGGTTGGACGATAGCAAACTTAGAGAACTTGTCGATGCAAGTGAGAAAGTATTTCTTGTCAGTGGAGAAAATGTCTATGTGTAACATCTCTCCTACATGTGAGGGGATCGGTGTCTCTCCAAGCTCTTGTTTTTTGGGGTGTCTATCATACTTAGCCCTAGCACATGTTTTGCAGTTTTGTACTATTTCCTTGGCAATTTTTGCCATCCGTGGAAAGTAGTACTCGGAGAGTACCTGCTTAACATTTTCCTGTGCAGACCTATGGGCCCTATTATGCTCGACTGTGAGGATTTCCCTTCCTTCTCCAACCGCAAATATGTCCACTACGCGATTTTTGCAATGCCAGAACTTTGTGGCTGGGTATCTTCGCACCAATGCATCTTGTATCATTGCAAGCGTGTGTAAATTACAGTGGAGAGCATTTACGCATTTGGGTGAGACTACATCTTCGAGCTCGTCTAGCAGCGATTCGACGCATGTATAGCTGATCAAGTAGCGTTTCTTATTTCCAAAAAGAATAAAACTTCGTTTTAAGGGGAAACGCGCCTCTTCTAGCACTATCTGGTTTTGAAAACAGTTCAAGGGTTTGTCTGTCGTCTCAATGGTGTTGGTGAGAGATACCTCACTGTGGATCGTTGCTGCGCAGGACTCAATTTCTTGCTCATTTATAGCGTTGAGCTGCTGTCTTGACAAGGCATCCGCAACCAGATTGTCCTTGCCAGGTTTATAGAAGATACGTGCATTAGACTCGTCAATGCGCGCTTTCCACCTTTTGATTTTCGCATTTGGATTAGATTCCGAAACTGCGAAGGTCAAGGGTTGATGGTCAGTGAAGATATTAATGTCTTTCACCCCATACAAATAGTGCCTTAATTTGGCAAGTGACCATACAATGGCCAATAACTCTCTCTCATTGGTTGCATAGTTAACCTCACTGTCCTTCAATGTTCTTGAAATCATTGTTATAGGACGACCCTCTTGAGACAAAACTGCACCTATGCCGTGAGCCGAAGCATCGGTCGTTAGATCGAATGGCTTCTTAAAATCGGGGTACCTGAGCATTACATTCTCGGATGACAAAATATCGCGCAACTTCTGAAATGCCCTCTGCTGCACTTCAGAGAATTGAACCTTTATATTTCTGGACCTATGCTTACTGACTGTTCCATTTTCACCCTTTAGGATATTCGAGATGGGTCTTGCTATTGCGGCGAAGTCCCTAATGAAACATCTGTAATAACTTGCGAGGCCTAGAAATGATCTAACCTCGAACAGCGTTTTTGGTTCTGGATACTCCTGTATTGCCCTAACCTTTTCAGGATCCGTCGTGGTGCCAGTGCTGGTGACTACGAAACCAAGAAAGTTCACGCTTTTCTTAAAAAAACGTGACTTTTTGACGGAGACCCTCATGTTTGCTTTGTATAAGCTTTTTAGGACCCGATCCACGTGTTTAATGTGGGATTCCTCATCTTCTGAAAAGATGATTACGTCATTGACATCAACATAGCAAAATTTGCCAATCTGCTCTCGCAGTATGTCGTCGATGGTTCTTTGAAAAATGCTTGCTGCATTCTTTAATCCAAAGGGGAGTCTTTTGAACTCGTATTTCCCCCCGTTCACAGAGAAAGAGGTTTTTTCACGGTCGCGTTCAGCGAGTATGATCTGGTGATAACCAGACTTGAGGTCTAATGTTGAAAAGAATTTGGCTCTCCCCAAATTCCCCAATATCATTGATATATTTGGCATAGGGTATTTGTCCGGCACGGTTTTTTCGTTAAGTTTACGAAAGTCCATTACCAACCTCATTTTCCTATTGCCCGCTTCATCAGTGCCCTTCTTGTCTACTACCCATATTGGGTTATTGTAGGGAGAGACGGACTTTTGAATTATATCATTCTTTAGTAGATCTTTGATTTCTTTATTAACGAAATCAGCCGCTCCCATTGGATATGGGTAAAGCTTGGTATAGATCGGTTGCTCATCTATGGTCCTAATGGTAGCCACGACTGATGTGTTATACGGCAACGTCTCGTCTGGGTCTGCAAAGGCCTTTTGTCTGGTCTTCAGCATTTTCAAAAAAGAACTTCTAACTAATGGGGATGCATCTGCTATTTGTTCAGCTAACTCATTAATTTTTTGAGTCCATGCATGCTCCCTCTGCTGGTTTACAGCAGCCTGTTCGGCTAAAGCTTTGCTGATAGCCGTCCTTATTACTTCCGTAAGCTGATCTACATCCATTCTACCTGATGGTGGGAGAACTGCACAGTCGGAATCTGAGTCGCTAGACTGCCTGCGAGGGTTTCTCTATTGGTTGAACCGAGACATGCGCAGGTCAGTGGTCGCGAAAAATAAAACGGACCGTCAGAAGATGGGTCGAATTACGTCACAGCTCTGAACTACGAGAACTGCATGCACAACTTCAGACACACAGAAAGTAACACAATGTAATTTTATTGACGATCTGAATGATCAATTGCTGCCACTAAAATTCCCAAAGTAGTCACTCTCACTTGGTTCTGATCATTAATTTTTTTTTTTTTTTTACATGCAATTGCAATATAAAATACTCGCTAGTCCTAGGTATTTTTTTATAAAATAAATTTTAACACTTTTTGTGTTTGAAGAAAAATTTTGGCTAGAGTATCCACTTACAAGATTCAACTAACACAAAACAAAAAAAAAAAAATCCCTTTATAAGATCTGTCAATTGCAGCTCCCGCGCTGCTGTCTTAATTGTTGTTGGTTGTGGAGTCCGACCACTAGTTGGGCGCCAATTATATGTTTTCCAGTCCTGTGGTGACTGAAAGTTAGGTTGAGAGGCGACTGTGCCTCTTATTGCTGGCCTCGGGCTCAGACAATGAAATAAGCCATTTAACGAGCAAATGACGGAGTGAATATTTATTTAAGCGGTTTACTGGAAGAACGCTTTTTAACCCTGCTTTTAATTGTTCTTTTTTTGAATAATCGAAACAGTTAATTTTATTGGTTTTTCTTATTATATTCACTATTTTTAGTTTTACTTATATGACACCAATTTTTAGCATGTCCTATCAGTACGAGTTAAAACACGAGACTGATCTATATTTTTACAAATCATAGCCTCACCGGCGTAAGTAGAGTTGCTCTTGCCAGGGCTGTTCCTTAACTTGTCTAGCACCCGATAATAAGTGTTGAATAATACCTTATATTAAGTGTTATAAGCTAACTAAGTGTTATAAGTTAACTTACACACATATATCCATATATTACCACATGCTAACTTACAAATTTTAGTTGTTTTTACATGCAAGCTAAGGTTGTTTTTGGAAAGAGTATAGATATGTTTCCTGTCGATTGCAGTCCCAATTTGTTGCTTTTCTTGCCATTTTATTTTATTTTTCATTTGTTTTGTTGTGCGCAATTTTTCTTTCTTCTTCCGTGCTATAAAAACCGAAAGTAAAACGAATTTTCAATATTTCAATGCGCAAGAGAGTGCCGTTCAGTTGGTTATTGAAGAGTTCGCGATTTTATTTCAAAACTGTTTTCCTTTAATTAAATTGCATGAATTGATCGTGTTACAGCAATATAATAATAATAATAATAATATAAAATACCCAATCGAATCACTGAATTGTTTTTTTCCTATTTTTTTAATTGAAGTTTAAGTGAAATAATTGATAATTCCGGTGACAACAAACCAATTAAAAAAAAAAAACAAAAAACATTGTTGACTAAAAAAACGGAATCAATAAACAACTCTGAAATATGCGCCCTTTCGGCAACGATATCACAAACATCTCCAATAACAATGGAGCTGGCAATGGTGAGGATCGGTCAAATGGCAATGGAAATGGCAATGGCAACAATCCCGTCAATAGAGACAGCGTCGAGTCAGACTCCAACTCTTCCACAAATGAGTTAGCCTTGGACACAGAAACAGACCCACGCATTCCTCCACATATAGCCAGAATAGGAGGCATTGGCGCATTCCCGCCGATCGCCGGACGTGGAGTTATACGAGTGGTGCGCCGTTGCGAGGACGCCAAGGAGAACCACAAGCTAGGTAAGATCGACGATCAAAAGGCTTTCGATTATTCATTCTAGGCAATGGGTGGACTAACCACTTACAATTGGCAGTTATATATGGTCCACAGATATACCACTTGACTTCACTGATTTGCTATACCACTTAACTATGGAGTATATAGGTAGATAGAATATTTGTGAAAAGTACATTTATGTTTCATTTATACATTTGAATTTCGACTTTACAATATTATACATAACTATTTATACTAGTGTGTATTTTCATTTTTTTTTTACATTTACATTTTATATACTTCATTTCAGTGTTATTTTCAACTTCATTCATGTTTTTAATTTCACTCTGATTTCTCAATATATACAAAGAAGAAGACTGACTAGAATATCCTGTTTCAGCATATGTTATATATTAGAGCTATTAGAGCTCCTATCTAGGTCTCTAAATCATATGGATATACATATGTATGTATGCATGTCGATACATACATCCATATGCATGTATATACATACGGCCAACTCTAGCCGTTACACATTTTTGTTCATTTGTAAAATCACATGTACATATATATGTATATATTTTTGAAAGCAGATCAAAAATTGGCCAAATGCCAATTTCAGTTATTGCGCACTGAGTTTTGTTAGAATGATAAACTATATAGTAGATGCGTAGATAGATATAATATGTAAATGTCTATAATGTATATATCGTCTGGTTTCTCCTTCAGTGGTCCAGAGTGCGTCGAATTAAATTAATATAGAACGCATTACATTGTTAATGTTGTTTACTTATTTATTCCAATTAAAAATAATTAACAACAAATACAAGCAGCTCGACAAAGCTTAAATACTCTTCTGCATATGCATATGGTCCTCCAAAAATATGAATAATACATATAAAATAAAAATGATTCAATATACACATCCTAATATGGTGTTGTAGTATTCATATCGAATGCTTTTAAAATGTTTCTTTTTGTAATACATCAGTGCAGTTGTACGAATTCTATAGGCTTATCAAAGCTCATAAAGCGTTATCAAAATGATATTGCCAAACCGATCACAACAATAACATTTAGCAATATCTGCTCATTATCTTTGACTTTCATTGATAAGTCAAGATAATTGAAAGAAACTCACTTAGCTACATGTGCATGCACAACACACACACATACATATATTATTACGATAAAAAGTATTAATCATAATGAGTGTGAATCATAATGATCAGTAGTAGCAGTAGCTAACAAGTAAGAAAGCTCTAGTCGGGTTGCCCGACTAGGAGATACCCTGATCCCAGTCCCATTTGCGTTTATTAATATTTTCCGTAGTTTGTATCGAGTATTCAAAAAAAAAAGAAAACAAATAAAAAACGACATTACGAGACCAGGACTCGAACCCGGATTGTTTGTGCAACGTGCACCAACTCTGCCAACACCACCACTTCATAATTAAAAAAAAAAAAAATAAAACAAAAAAAATATTTCATCCCCACCGATCTCGAACGCTGGGTCTAGCTGCATACGAGCTCCGCCTCTACCAACGCAGCCACTGCACCTATTGCAAGAAGAGTTGCAAATTTGAATTGAGTAGCAGCTGAGAATACAAGCAGTATTCAATCACAATTTCGATTCTTGGAATAGAAAAGAATACACGCATTTGTCTAGCTCTTAAGACGTTCGAGATATAATTTATTTACTGCATTTCAATAATGTTTTTATTCGATAACAATTAAATGTGTATAGTTATCGAATATTTGAAACAAACTTGACCTGCGCGTGCTATACACGGACCTACAAAAATTTCAAGTCTCTCGCTCTTATAGATGCTGAGATCCACGCGTTCACACATACGGACAGACGGACGGACAGACAGACGGACAGGGCTCAATCAACTCGGCTTGTCGTCCTAGTCAAGAATCTATATACTTTATGGGGTCTGCCACGCCTCCTTATGCCTGTTACATACATTTGCACAAAACCATTATACCCTGATTTCCCATTTTCAATGGGATCAGGGTATAAAAACCAAAACACGTCTATAAACTTAGAGCTGATACCAAAGCACATTGTTATTTATACAAACATACGCATACACACACGCACACACACACAGACACACACACATATTCGGTTATGTGTGCCTTCAAGTTGTACACAGAGAACAATTAAGTTTAACTTCCATATGGATTGCACTTGGTTTTGTTAACCAAAACAGAGAAAAGCACAAAAATTTACCGTTTTATTAGTCTGGAGGGCAAGGAAACAATTGAGAACACAACATGGTGGACTGACCCATTCATTTATGGGTTGACATTTGCTTCTGTATTAAGTTTATTTAGTTCAGTGCAAGTGCCAAGAGACGTGTGAAGATGAGATAAAAGAGAGTGCAAATACGTAATGTTGATGTTCAGTGTTGCCTTGTTCGCTTTTTTCCAGCTAGATTTTGTTTCTAGTTATAATCGTTGCATGTCAGGAAGTTTAGTGATATTATGATTTTATTTTTTCCGTATTTTTATTATATGTTAAAATATTATGTATACTAATACAAACCCAACTTCAATTGTTGACTGCATAAAATGTGTTATAAGCTGTGATAAATTGCTTATGTAGCTACTCTTCATAAATAAATAAATAATTTTTTTAGCCGCCAAACCAGTGCTTCCCAACTAAAAGCCAAAGTAGCTTTTTTAATGTTGTTTTGTTTTTCTCTTTATTAAATGTCATCACTGATAGTCTCTGTGCTGGCTGAAGATTATGTGTCTGCTATTCGTTGAGTTTGTTGAAAACTCATGGCTCACTCTTTCGCGATCTTGCTCTCTCTCTCTCTCTCTTTCTCACTCTCTTGCAGACATTCGCTTTGCGCTGTGGCAATATCAAAATATTAAGCATTTTTAGTGCTTGGCAAGATTGTAGGGCGTTAGGTGCTCTTCTTCCGTTATGGATAAATTGGCTTGCGGCTAGCGGCTATCGGCTGCTCGCTGCTGACACATGCGTGCGCATATACACACGACTACTCATTTCAGTAGATCTTCCCGCATTTATTATTCAATCACATTTGTATAAGCAAAAGTGCAGAGCAAAGGCAAGCGTGTGTGCAGTGAAACATACATATGCGCATTTCGAACATATGGTACGGAAATGGCGCACTTGGTGGTTCAAGTAATAGAGCGGTGCGAAAATGCAACCGAAAATGCACATTTAGGTAAGGGTTGACCTTCATATAATAATATATACATAAATAAATATATATAGGCACATGCCTATAGGCATTTGAATGTTCACGTATTTCTATAGAAATGCGTGTTGTGTATGTATGTGTCATAAATAGCTATAAATTTGGTGGCAATACATACATACATACATACATTTGTATGTATGATGAAATTGTCGTGCTATATACTACATACATGTAATAAATTCATATTTATATACTTTCATATTAGATACAATCTTTTATGTAAAGGTCTACGTAATATTAAAACTTAACAATATTAATGTTCCACATGGGTATGCCTGACTAGAGAATACCCTAATTCACTGAGTGCTTTTATTCTAAGAATGCCTGACTAAAGAATAATTCATAGAGTACTCGCTGTCGAACTGTCTTAGAATGCCTGACTAAAGAATACCCTAATTTAATGAAATCTCGTTCCTTTTGAGAATGCTAAATGCTAGACTAGAGAATACCCTAATTCATTAGGTGCCCACTGTCGTTGTACTATCTGAGACTGCCTGACTAGAGAATACCAACCTAATGTTTTTAGTTATTATAGCTTAGTAATAAAAGTTTATATTACATTCCATCAAAATCGTGTAATGCATAGTATATTCCGTAATCACGTTATATTTATATTGAATGAACAAGAATATTATATATAAGTGTGTATATAGTCTCTACATAGGTGCGTACGTCATATATTGATCAATTTGTAATTATCTTTTCAGATTTATCACAATGTGAACTCATGCAAATACCAGATGCAGTGTATCACTTGATGCGGAATACAGAACTACAAACTTGTAACCTTAGTGGCAACGTGCTGAAGAAGATGACGCCAAAGTTTGCGCTGAAGTTTAGCACAATTACGGGTAAATATTCAGATTAATATATACATATATTTATAATGCAAAGTTTAATCGAATTTCTTTTCATTTTCAGATCTCAATCTCTCATATAATCAGTTGACAAAGCTGCCAGACGAATTTGCCAATCTGAGTGCCTTAACCAATCTAAATATCTCTCACAATTCGTTTATTGTATTACCTCAAGTCATCTTTAGGCTTCAGAAGCTAGCCACTTTGGATGCTCAGCATAATGCCATTTTAGGTAAGTACTTAGCAGCACCACTTAGCAGCAAGAGATTCATAAACATTTCTGTAAATTGCCCATTTCAGAGATTGATACGGACGAAGCAATTAGCAGTGACTGCCTGGCTGTGGTGGATCTGCGCAATAATCCGCTGAGCAGAAATTGTCGTCGCAAATTGGAAGATTTCGTCACCAGCTTTCGCTTAGAGATTTCACAGGAAGTTGAGGACGATTGGTGATCGACTGGGAATATTTTAAATAAGTTCATCGTTATCTATAGAAGAAACTACTTGCTGTAATGTTTTTAATCACTTTATTAAATTCGTTTATTTAATGAATTCAATTAGCTAACAATTAATTATCATTCTTATAGCAAAGCTGGCTTGAACCACAAACTCGCAGATATCCATTAGATTAGTTTCTATGAACTGTTTGGAATTAGACATACTCAAAACTAGGACCTAATTTCCAGACTGCGATCACATAACGATCATTATCATCGTTGATCGAACCTCTCGACTTTAATTATATTGGGTGGTTCACTTTTGACCCTTAAACCTAACTCTCCCAGTCTGGGATTTCGATTCTGACTCTTTTTAATTTGCATAATCATTATGATTGTATGACAGTCAAATGACTTTGAAGCTAGATGAATCTTGGAAAAAGGTAAAATTCATATGCAATATTTACTGCATAACATACGTAAATAATACTTTCAATATTAGATTATTTATATATAATATCAATTTTACCTTAGCGTTTGGAGAAATCTTTATCATTTATAGGGTTACAATTAGAGTTTTGAATAGTTTCGATAAAGATCAGAATAATTACGGCTATAATTCTCTATCCAGAATTTTGAATGACATGGAAATACCACAATCAGCTCAGTATTTTATTTAAAGATTTATATATATTTCTACTAAATGTAATGTCAAATAGACTTTTAAAAAAAGCTAGAGCTTCCGCTATTTATACTGCCGTCGGGTTAGGCTCTGGTCATGCAATATAGCTCGTCAACTCCAATTGATACAGTTCAGGTGAATGTGTTACTTTGAAGTATTGTAATCAATTCACACCTGAATCTTGTGCCTGCGTTTATACTAACTACAGGAACTGAGAGTCTATTCGGAAACACGCCTTACATTTAACACCCATATATTGGTCGATCCCCGATCCCCGATCCCCGATCCTCAATAGCAGAAACAAATATATCACTATTACTACTGTTTCTACTTTACAAAACTATAATTGGTCCTGATTGGTATTAATGAGTGCAGCTCTATGAAATTGCTAGCCAACACAATAAGCAATTGCAGGTCTCATAAGCTGCCGAGCCACTGGCCACATTGAGCGACCAAAGCCACCCTAATATAAAACCACGCTTCAAAGGATGAACTTGCATGCAGAGACGAGTGGAAAGGCTACATTCAGCGTAGTTCATATTATGGTTTATTTATATATATAAAAATTACTAAAGTTATACGATATTTATATAGTTAATTTTCAAAGTTACTCTCACGCAATTTGGAATCATGAAATCAAGATATTTATTTAAAATTTATCCCATTTTGTTCTATTTTTTATACTCTTTCACGATGTGCAGTGCGTAGATTGGTTTTATCCAATGTCCGCCTTACTGTCCATCCGTCTGTCTGTACAGAAGCAAACCATTTCGTTGTTGTAGCCAGAGAAACTTGGAAGATAAAGTGTTAAGATTTTCTCGATACGCGCACTAGGGACGTGGCAAATTGGGAAATACCAAGTCATGTCATGAGTCTTGGGGGCATGGCAAATCGGGTAGAACTGTATCTCCAACAGCTTAAGCCAAAATTTGGCAGGAGGGTTAGGGTGGGATTTTCTATAGATTGACGAACAAATTATATATTTATGATCACTCGCTCGTGGGAAATCATATTTGACTATATAGTATTTTGTACTAATATTAGTGTTAGAGAGTTGAGTACAACCAACAGCAACAATGATATAGACTGTATATCAAATACACGAGGGCGCAACGAGTGGCAACCAGTAAGAGTCTAAATCTTCTAAAGTTGTAGAGATCGATGGAACAACAAAATGTAAGTCCCTTTGGGGCGTGAAGATATAGAAGATACCAATTTCTATATAGAGTTTTATACAGTTCATAGTTTATATGGTATAAAATAAGTAACCACATTTGACAAACTTTTAAGTCGAAATTAAATAGATGTGATAAAATTACATAAATTATGTATTATATTAAAATTTTTGTAAGAATATGTAAGCATCATATCTAAGCAGATAAATGATTGAAGAACTCTATTTGAAGGAGAGACAACATATACAATTCCAATATATACTTTCCACTACATGGAGAAGCAATAAACCAGCTTAGAGTTAGACTTTAAGTCTATAAAAAATGTAATCTTAGTATAGACTTCTTGAAGATACTGGAAAGACGTTTTCGTCTGATATTTGTGGAATGAATGCGAAACTGGGTATGTAGGCTTTCTAAGAAATATACCTATGACTCAAAGCAGAATTGAACTCGGGAAGTGAGTGAGGAATGCTGTCATTAAAATCGCATTTTAGTCATCACTTCATAGAGTTACTGGCAAAGAAAACCTTTCTGAGAGCTGAGCTGAGCTGAGCATCGACATTAATTGTAGCTGTGTCTGTGCGCATTGTCTGTGCTCAATGAGAAGGAAAACTTAACAACGTGGCGCTCACACTCAACAACAGTCGATGCCTTGCTCTTTTGCAGCCAAGTTGTTATAAGCTCTCAGCGCGGCTGAGCAGTACACAAACGGCTCTCGGCTAGCTGAAGCCAGAGACAAAGCCAGAGACGGAGACAGTGCCAACGCAATTATTATAGCGAACATAACAGGTTTGGCAACATGCCGAGAGAAACTTGTACAGATACTGAATCCGATGCTGGTGCCGAGATACCCAACCCTCGAGCACAGCGCAACTCAGCTCAGCTCAGCACAGCTCAGCTCAGGCCAGAGTCTCGCGGCTAGCCGATCGCAAGTGTGTAGATGGAGGGGGGACGAAGGCCAGCTTTAGCTGGTTCTGGCTACAAAAATTCGTTGCGCTCCGCTGGGCCAAGGGCGAAGTAGGGGCAAGACGAGCAAGGGGGGGCGAGTGGACGCGGGAGCTGAACTGGCGAACAAGTCAAAAACCGCGTCACTGAGCAGAGAGCAACTGAGAGTCGCAACTCGAAATGATTAATTCACACACACACACGAGCAGACAGAGAAGCAAATAGATACACACACACTAAGGCATGCATAAACAGATACAGATACGTGGGCAAAGCTCGAATGTTGGTAAGCCAACCTGGTTAAAGGTGGGAGCTGGAGCCCAAGCTGAAGTGGGAGCGGAAATGGCCGACGCTGCGGAGCAGCGCCAACCGCTCGCTAGTCGCCGTCAAACGGCAAACGAGCGCAACAGTCGCAAGCAGGTAATCTACTAGAGCGCGTTCGGGCCCGGACAAATTATTGGCCGCTTGCAAAGAATTCACAAAAAAATTAAAATAAAAATAAAAATTTAAATAATAATAACGAACGAATAAAAAACAAAACAAATTTCGAATCGCGACGCAAAAAAAATCTTTATAAAATTTGAAACAAGAAAAGCTTTTGCCATATTCGGCCCGCAATACCGTTGCGAAATTCTGTTGTTTACGGCTTGATGTTCATATATATATATATGTATATAACTAGCGTTCAATAGAGTACAGTGCATAGCAGCTAAAGTGAGCATTACATATATCTATTTGAACATTCAATTGTGCTCATGCGATTGCATGCAATTGGGCTTTTAGTCTCGTTTTGCAAACACCTTCCTTTTTTTTATGTGTGTGTCTGTGTGTGATTGTTTTTTTTTTTAGTGTTTCGAAAACTCACATAGTAACATACATGTATGCACATCAAACTATGTACATTCGTTGTGGCTAACTAATTATGATTTATATATCTATGAAATATTTGATAAGTGTGTCAATGAGATGTAAAACATGAGACCTAATAATTGTTTTTTTTTATTTTTCTTTTCGGTGTTTTATTCGCTAAAAACTCATTATATAATGAATGCATACATATCATACGTATGTGTATACTATGTATGTGCATATAGTAAATCGTAGAAGTTAATCTCTTGAGCAGTGCATAGAATTTTTCTCAAACTCCCATTGTTTTCTTCCGGATTACATTAAAGCACAATGCGCATGTATTAGTAAGCATTTGAGACTGTATTAGTTAGGCAGGTGAACTGCTCTCAAGGTATACATACTCGAATCGTACGCTCACCGTTATGCTTAGGGCCTGATATTCGGTTAATTGTCTTGGTTCCCAGCGTATTTCTTCACTTAAATATGGCTTGATCTTTGGAAATTTCCTTGGTGTTTCAAATACAAAATATTTCATTTGTAAAAAATACTTTTTACATATTTATTTTATTCATGAACTGCAAATTAATATTTAAATATTTCATTTATTGAAATTTTAATAAATCTTCAAATATTTCGATTTTCTAAATATTTAATTTTATTTGATAAATATTTGTAATAAATTGGTTTTAAAACATTGAACTTAATTACCAATATTTTATTTAATGAAATTTATTTAGAATTAATTTTGAAAATTTTCAAATATATATTTCAGCATTTACTTTAGATATTTAACTTTTTACAATTTGTTAGGATTCACGTAAAGTTTTTAAATTAGCCAGAAAAACACAGATAGTCAAGCTCAAATACATGGATGTACATACATACAGTATGCATGTGTATGTGTTTGTATGTATGTGTGCGCAAAAATGTACATACATCAAGTTCAGGGAGTTGTGCTGCGTGGGCTAGCATATTGGCGAAGCTGCTGTCTGTGACTTAACGTGAAGTTGTTGCTCTCTTCTATCTCCGGCCTTGGCTTACAGGCAGCTGAAGCAATTGTTGTATTAGTGTTGTGCAGAGTTCAAAGGGATAGTTGTATGCATATATATATAGTATATATATATGTATAGTTTTTGATTTGGCACTGCAGCAGCAGATGTACTTGAGTCAACCATATTCGCAGTCGCTAGCTACTCCCGACATATTTTCATCAGGTGTGGAGGCAGCTACTTTGTCTCCCGCGTCACGTAATCATTAAGGCAAGCCAGTGCCCAGTGCCCAGTGCCAGAGCCAGAGCCAGAGCCAGAGCCAGTGACAGAGCCGCATAAGCTGGGCTTAGGTGCGAACGCGGACAGAGAGACGCGATCTACGGCAAGTCAAAATACCAGTTTTACTCGAAATTGCCGTCATCTGAGCTTATTGTTGCGCTAAGTCTTTCAATAAGTGCGACGACATACCGTGTATGTACATATGTGTATGTTTTTAGGTACTTATATGTAGCTGTAGGTACGGGTTTTCGTGCGAGTGCCATTACAACAATGTGCAGGTACAACACTAACTTGTACATAACAATGTACCTGAATATGCCTTAATGCACACTCACACACAAATATATATGTATATGTATATATATCTATATATATATATATATATATATATATCTATTCAGATATGTGTTTGCGCATTCTTTTCAAATGTATGTTGCCATACATTGTATCTATTGTTTTCTAATAACATTATTGATAGTTTGTATTTTTCTCTTTTCGAGTCATATAAATTTTAAGAAATCTTTGATTGCGTGACAGTTAAATTTGTATATATACCTATATATATTTATCTGACAAATCATATAAATTATATGAGTACAAGTTCTTTTGACCTTCGAAATATATTAAATTAGCATTATGACTAACTCGAATCTGCAAAAGGCAACTAATGCAAATATAACTGAAAAAGCCAGTTTCGATACGACGATATATATATATATATATATATATATATATATAGAGAGAGAGAGAGAGAGAAAATGCGTTTATCTGAAGTCTGGTGTATATATACTAATGCAATTCAATTGATTGGCTTTTACCACCAAGGGATTTCAGAGCCAAAGTTAGAGCTCGAGCACCCAGACAGAAAAAAACGACTTAAATTAAAATAATATCTTGCTCCAAAGGCTCTCCTACAAGCATTTGCAGCTATACCTGTATGTGTGTGTGTGGGGCTAAAACTTGTTTGGCCAACAAATGCTAAAGCCAAGTAGAATTTGAGCCACAAAATGCCAACAATTTGCTCGACGTTGTGTGTTTTCTCGAGTTGCAGCTGCGTCGGCTGCTTGCTCAAGGCGATTGTCTGACAAATATGGCGAAATTGTCGTAGGAGTCTTTTTTATGTGTCTTTTGTGGATAAGACATACTGATGTAAGAGCTCCACTCGCTCACACAGACACGCATATGTATATATATATATATATATCGATCTGCTAGTCTGGCTTATGCAACACAACCATACAAAGCTTACAAGCCAACTCACTTGAACTGGCTTAACCATTAAAAGCGAATACGATCAATGACTTTTTCGACTATACCACTTTCGAGAGGATTTGAAATGAGTCTCCGTTTTATCATCATCGTAATCTGGACAGAAGACAACCCTTTTAAGTGTCTTTTTTTGGTTGTTTGCCATTTCTAGTACTATCTTCTGTTGGTATCTGAAAGCTGAAGAAAGCGCTGGAGAACAACAAAGTTCTGTTGAAAGAAGCCGATGAGAACTGCGTTCTTCTTATTTTTCGTTTTTATTGTTAAAGACCGAAGAGAGAAACCATTGGCCAAGATCTCTGTATGTGTATAGGTTTTTTATTTTGTTTAGTTTTGTTTTGTGTTTTTTTGGAACACTTGGTATGAATTGGGCCGAAGGTCGTTGACAGAGGGTCATTGGCAATCGGCAGCTAACGGTTCGAATATCCGCAATGGAAGTCCATTCGAGAAAATAGTGCAACTCTCAAATGATCCATATCTATTTATTAGCCAACGATTGGCCATGGCCAGAATCACAATCACAATCACCATCACAATTAACTAGATGCAAGCCCTAGTTGAGCCAAACTCGTGTAACCCCAATTTGGCAAACTTGACGATAATTGACCGTAATGCCAGCCGGTTCAAATGCAGCTGCAACGATCTGTAGCCGGAGATAACAAACGATTTGGGGTCCGTGTGCAGCTGCAGCTGCAACCAGGCTTACTCAAAAATTCAGCACGATCGCCACCTGGGGGCCATAGCTGGGCCTGCGTCTAGTATTATGTGGGCTTTATTGTGTGCACACGTTTCCATTTCAGACTGTTGATTGTGCTAATTTAAAGCATTTTCTTTGCCTTCTTTTCTTCTCCGCCCTTTTCGCCACTCAGATGCGTTCCAGCAAAATGAAGTCCGACCCATGGCCGCTGTGGTCCAGCCGCCTGATCACCTATGCTGCCATCCTTTGCCTGTTGTTCGGCGGCGAGGCTCTGGCCCAATCCAATTACGTGCAACATGGCGATAGCGGCAACTACTCCACAAACGGATTGCCCGAGGAGGCGACTCTGGATGGCAAGGTAAGTGGCACATTATTAGCCCTCCGGTACGTACCTTTGCCAGCAAGCAAATGTGCAGATATACGAGGGCTGCACCAAAGCTTGCACTTCATTGGTGTTCCATACAATTTTGAAATATCTAATTTTACTGTCTTTTAATTTTTAAATGGTTTACTAAATTAATGTTCGATTTGAAAGAAATAAATGCTCAACATTTTATTATTGCTTTATTTAATTAAATAAACAAACAAATTTGACATAATTTCATTAGAACTTAATAAAATTTTTTTTGTGCAAATATACTTTGAATATTTGATTTGCATTAATTATTAAATAAATTATTAAATATGTTGACTTGCGTTTTTTCAAATCTTTTGATTAGTAGAAAAAATTGCATTTTTGAATATTTCTTTATTTATTTTTAAGTTTTGAAATATGCTTAAGGCAAATCAATTTTTAAATAAAATTTTAAAATTATGAACAAATTATGTTTGATGATGATGTGATGATGTTTTGAAATTTTAATTAAATTTATGTGAGTTAATTTTAGATATTTTCGTTTTAACATAGTCCTCGAAAAGCCTCTGAATAAGTCAGAAAAGCACAGCTATTAAAGCGCACATACATGTATGGTGTATGTCTATATATATAGCATACATACTCAAAGACATTCATATGAACACACACTGAGTTCTGGGAGTCGTCTTTCGTGGGTTCACATTAGGCAGAAGAATCGCAGCCGCTGCATAAGTTGCGTCTGCATTTGGTGTGCGTATAGATGTTATGTCTGTATGTAGAGAAGAAGATATGAACCCCCTGAGCAGGGTATTTGCAAGTCGCGTACTTCCAAAAGTGGATAATAATGCTGTAACAGGAGAAGTTCGGCCACCATAAGTGGAGTAGAGTTCAATATCATATTTGTGTTGTGGACGCTAAACAAAGAAGTAGTGCTTCGGAATAGGGCCAATTCGAAACGAAACAATGAGAAAGCAGTCAGTAATTAGTTTTTAACAACAATAACCTCATTGCTTAGGTTGAGGCACTTGAATGCCTTTGAACCTGTATTGTGGCAGTATCGAGGACACATTCAATTCAAGCACAACGGAAGCAACTGTCAGTTGACGCGAGCCCACACTAGTAGCTTATATAATATGATAATCCATGGAAGCGCAATGAATTGTCTCTGGTTGAGGAGCTTCCCACGCCATGTGTGCATGTGTACAAATGCGGCTAATAGGAAGGCAAGTTATTGTCTTATTAAACTAATTTCACACTCGTTCCAGTATTGAAAAGAGTATATTGGTAGAGCAAAGAATATGAAGAAATGAAACTGTTTCAAATTTGAACGACTCATCCAACTTTTAAGTAAGAGCTGAATAATTTCGGAAAATTGTTGACTATAGTGCTGTTCGTCCTTTTGTTATTATTACTCCGTTCTATACATTGATCAAAATTATATTACAAGCATCATTTGGGCGTGAATCGATAGATTCTACATATTCCGTTTTACAGCGAGAAGGAGGAGCTTCTCCACTGTTAGACTTAATAATTGTAGAGGCAGACCACTGTGGGTAATGCCAACCGATGAAAACTGTATCTTTTCACCTAAAAGTATAATTATATACATAGTATATAAAATATCGATTCTTTCTAGGTAACCAAACTCGACGACATTAGCCCGTTGATTTTTTTGAATCGCACCAAAGCCGCGTTGAACTGCGCAGCCGGCTCAATGCAAGTAAGTGTCTTCAGATACATATACAGCTGAGTCAGAATGAAGCAATGAAGTCTTTGTTTGCTACAGGTTGATCTCAAATTTAATGATCCCTTCCATGGCATCATTCAGGCTGACTACGATCGTAGCAGCGCTTGCCGCGTTAGCGGCAAAGGCGCACTTAGCTATCGCCTGGAGCTACCGCTCAAGGGCTGTGGAACAATACAGGTATGGATAGAATTAGTTTGATGTCTTGACCGCAGATCAATGTCATGTCTTTTGTCTGTCTTCAACAGAATCCCACACGCGTGTTCACCAACAACATAATTGTTCGCTTCCATGCCAATTTGGAGATGGATGGCGATGAGATCATCACAATAGTTTGTCGCTATCCGCCGCCTGTGCCTTCACTGCCACCCGCACTGCCAGCGCCCATGTAAGTGGTTAGCTGGTTCGTTAGAATTGCAAACAAATTGTTATCGTTCTGGTTGCTTTGCAGTTTAAATCCTATTGCCACGGGCTCTGTGCTCCAGCCACCATTGAAGGGCATACAGATCTTGATGATCATTTGCGCCATCATGTTCTTGACCCTGTTGCTGTTGGGTCTGGCCGTGTCCTACTACTGTTTGCGTAGCCGTCCCATACCAATTGTGCGACGGTTGCCCATGAGCATGGGCAGCGGCTCAGAGATCACTAAGCTTAGCGGTAGCAGTGCTGGCAATATCAGTGCATTTGAGGGCGTTAAGATACCGCGTGCACATGCTGCTCTTCAGGCCGTCTACAGCTCGTCAGGCAGCGAAGGCGCTTTGATACCTTCGGACTATCCCAGTGAGTCACATTCGGAAATCGAGGAGATTGACACACGGTCGCTGCCGTTCAGTTCTGCAGGCAGCTTTGAGAATCGAGCATTTGTTCAGGAAACGTCCAGCATCTACAGTGACCATTATGCTCCAGCTCAGGAAGTACCTGCGGCCAATGCTGTAATGTCCACTGTCATGCGACAAACTGCTTTGGTGCAGGAGCCGTTGGCTGGTTCGCCCAAATTTGATGTCCAGGTGAGAGTAAAGAAATCGCCTCCGCCAATTCCATCACCCGTCACTTCCGACACGGAAAGCATGGCAACGATCAGGGGAGATCGCAACAATTTGTCCACTATCATGGAGGGCTACGAAGATCGAGAGAGCGTCATGACCATGGACTCATTGCCGCCGCAAGTGGAGACGATGCAATCACAATTTACGTACGTGCCTGAGCTACATCCGGCACCACAAATGCCACAGCCACACCCGATTCCATTGGTCGCCGAGCCCAAGTTCTCTGTTTATACGCGCACCCATCATGAGGTTGTCGACGGTCGTCCAGAAACCTGGTCTGACTACACCGACGGACCAGAACCGAGTGAGATTACAGATCTATCTTCCGAGGCACCCGAGCGAATGATCGTCCATGACACTAATCGCGCCGTGGACTCGATGCACTACTACGAGGACGAGTATGTCCCAGCGGAACCAGTGGTGCTAACGCCGCCACCGCTGCCTGTAACCTCCCATACTGTAGACGATATATATTTGCGTACGGTGACTGAGAAGAAGACTATCGAGGACATTGAAAGCCATAAGCGACGCGTTACCGAATACAAGAGCAAGCCGAAGGCACCACTGCCGCCACCACCACCGCCAGTGGTTGATCCTACGTTCGATGTAAAGGTGCGTAAATATCCGAGCGAACGCGAGCAGCAGCAATGGGAAAACTTCTCAGATATCTCGAGTGCCTCTGGGCTAACACTTACACCGAAGATGTCACGCACTGAGCTAAGTCTGCCGCCAGCTGAGCCCCCAGCTCAGATACACGACAATAAACTGAAATTGACTAGTCCCGAGCTAGTTGGCAATATGAAACCCATTGAGGTGCCACCCCAAGACAAGGATGTGCCAAACTGGGACGTGCTCATACGCATTCTCGAGGAGCCGGAACTTTCTGAAATTGGCGACGATACCAGTTCCGTGCACAACATCAGCTACGATGACAGGGCCAAGTGGAAGGAAATCATTACGACACAATCGTCATTGCGAACAATGCTAACCGAGGCGGTAGTGCGTGAGGACTTCGAACGCATTCGCCAAGACACACGCTATGAGCGCATGTTCGAGCCACAGACTTGGGACGTCATCATACGCATCCTGGCACCACCCAGCGACGATGAAACGGACGTCGAAATGCGTGCACCCAAACGTGGCAAGAAGGCACCTCCGCAGCCGTGGGACACCCGTTCCAGGCGCAGTTCACTACCTACGCTGTACGAGTACGACAGCGACGGTGGCTCCAGCGTGCGAACCATACGCAATGATCCTACACTGCCACTGCACGGCGGTCCGATAACTGGACCTGGCCCCTTCAATACGCAGCGATCGCGCAGGAGTTCACGCACCTCATACCAGACGGATCACAACGACTTCCGGTCCATGTCCGAGGTAACTGTCGACTTCGGCAGGCCACAGCCGGATAATCTGGACAATGTCAGCGATGCTAGCTCGTATTACCATATGCAGTACTACGATGATGAGGACAGGCGCTCCTTCCACCGCTCAATCAGCCATCCATCGCTAGCTCGCTCGGCCAGCGAATTCACCGAGCACTGGACAGCACCCGACGACGTTGAGGTCTCCTCGCCCGAGGGTACACCCCGCGTCTACAGAGCTCGCCAGGTGAGTACCCATTATGCTCTACATTTCTAGCATTCTAATTTTTTGTTGTTCAACATTTGCAGCCATTGGCGCTAACTCAGCACGTAGCGGGCCAGCCCGAGGAGCGAATTGTCTCCCAGACGCAAAGCGAATACGTCGAGACGCATCGCAGCGTCTTCCAATCAGAAAAACCACTGCCAACGCCATCGCGAAAATGGTAGACCCATAGTTTCCCTCTTTCTATCTCTCTCGATAAACAAGTCAATTTTATTTTTTTAATATATATATATATTTTTTTTTTTTAATGAAACAAACTCACAAGCGGCAAAATATGTAACGGAAGGGTTAACAGATTAAAAGTTAGTGTTGCTTTTTATCAATTTGAGTCTTCGACTTATCGAAGTAATCAACATTTCCGATTAATAACTAACTTAATCACCGAAAACAAATGGAATATTGCAGCAGCGTGCATCCCCATCTTTCAATCTCTATCATATATTTTATATATATATATATATATATATATATAAATATATTACTAACAAAAGTGCCAACTACAATTGCCTGATAAAAGGTTCACAAATTGTTTTTCAACGTTAACAACAAATTTGAACTCACAATCCGAAACTAACGACTTTTTTGTGCATACATAATAGATATATCCTTAACAGTTGAAAGCCCCAAACTGCTTTCTAATATATATATAAATATATATATATATATATCTTCATCTTCAGCTTGCCAAGGCCAAGCTCTATATATATCTATTCAAGACATCCCTCTACTGCCACAAAAAAAATAAACAAAAACTCAAAATGTCGAAATGAAGATATATAGATGACATTACTTCAAATGTGTTGTGGATAGCTTACAGACTTTTTGAAAGTATTACTAAAAATAGCTAGAAAAAACAAATACTAAATAGAATTTGTGGTTCGGGTGAAGGAATATTAACATAACAGACATCTCTAGTTCAACTTGAGCTTGTAACTGCATCAACGTGCACCGTAAATGCTTTTGGGGATTCTAACTTAAAATAAATATATATATATATATTGTAAGGTACAGTATGTATATATACATATATAATATCACTAAATTACTTTTTTTTATAAATAGGCCAATCCGTCCAAGAATATAATGCATATATATAAATATTATATACAACAATTAACAAGAAATAATCTCTTTTTCTTCGGAAAGCCGAAGATATAACAATTCTACAGGTTGATGATGGATTGTTGTGAATAAACGTAGTTAACTTTGTGAATACATTTTGTGTTCCAATTACCTAGTGGAACATTTCCAATATCAATTTTTTATTAGTGGCAAATGAAGCTAGGAAAAAATGCAGTGATCCTTCTATATATATACAGACTGCATTGAGACATTTTGCAGATAGATCTATAACATAACTATATATAATAAGGTCGACTATATATATATATATATATATATATATATATACATGGGCAGTGGCTTATCTAATACAAGGGTCAACCAATACGAACAAAAATTTATTAAGTAAGAAGTATTTTCCTTATCTTACCAGAAATAAAATCACTATCCATTTAATCAAACAAAGAGCTGCTTTGTTCAACGTATATAGATTTCAATTTATCCTAACAGAAATGTCTGTAATCCAAGTAAGACAATAAAATAAAAAATATTATAAAATAAAAAATAAAAAAATACCTACTAACAAATTGGCTATTTGTTTTTATTAAAGATCTGGCTCGAGTCACCAAGTGGATCGCATTCCAAAAGGAGCTGCAAGGTCAAATCTTTTTATACCCCCAGCTCATTGAAAAGGGGAATCCAGGGTATAGTTTTGTGAAAATATGTATGTACTGGTCATCAGTACTACGGACGGAGCAGATCAAACCATGTCCGATAAAAGTTTACCATCTTAAATTGAATATTCAGAATACTTTTGAATATAGTGGATACCTCACCCACCATTCCCACAAATATTTCAAATAGCAGAGATTAGCGTATTGGCAAGTTTGAGCTGGGTTTTACTATAGGAACTTAATTATTGAATAACTTTGGTCCTTTTCTTAACGAAATTTGAATAATTAATAACCATTAAGGATAAGGAATTTGAAATGCATTTGTGAATTTTAAGGGAAGGTGGAGATGGTATCCAAAATCCTAAGCATACAAAGAATCTCTATATTCACAAGAAGAACATAAACAGTAACAACAACAACACCTAAAAACGATGCCAAATTAACAATTTTGATCGATATAAAATAGATACATTTAAAAAAAAAAATTATACCCTGCGTTATCAGGAGATCGTCTGAATGCTAGTCTCTTCGCCTTTACCGAGTATGGCGTATGCGTGAGTTTGTCTGGACACCGGACTACTTTCCTTATATATATATATATATATATATATACATATATATATATATATATATATATATATATATATATATATAAACACGCAGCATATTCGCGTATTTATACACATTTATGCATGCATACCTATAAACCCCCCTCTCCATTCGAGGAGACACGAAACCGTTGCGATTACCTGCTCCGTTTGAATTTATAATGTTTACACTGCTTGCCTTCGCATATCAAGCAGTGCACAATTAACTGTTTCACTGTTAACAGCGATGTTGTTAACAGCGATTCGCTGATTATTGCAGCCCTGCCTTCTTTCTGGCTCTGGCTTCTCCTCGGCCTCCGAGAAGACACCAATGACCTCGTCAGCAATCTCAGCGACATTCTCTCCCTCATCAGCGTCTTCCTCATCGGTGGCCAAAACAACCAGCCTCTTCCGTCATCCGGTATGGTTTCTCGGAAGCGTGATTGGTCAGTCAATCAAAAATGATTCAAAAGATGCCAGGGATATTTCAATGGTACCTGTGATGGCTGGTGCCACTGCTCCTGCTGCTGTTCTGGCTTGAGTTTCGTCTCCGAGGAGCCTGGAGATGTCTAATAGAAATAAAATGAAAGGGCCAGCAGACAATGTATTGGCATCAATTAATGCTATGCTAAACTTTGATGCAATCATTGACAGACTCGATTTCCCATACGCAGACAAGTGCCCTATATATCTGCTAGAACGCGAAATGTCAATACTCATTCAAGGAAACTTATCTCTATAAGAATATTATGAACAAGTTGAGAAAAAGTTAGCCTTACTAACAAATAAGACCACTATAACACACGGGACTTCCTTAGCCAAAGCCATGAATGATAAATATAGAAGAGACGCACTATGTGTGTTCATATCAGGAGCTAGGAAGTCAGTGATGTCTTGTTTGCGGCACGTCCGAAAGACTTGCCGTCAGCTTTAACGCTAGCTCATGAGGTAGAGGCTAATCATGAGCGTTATTCCTTTGCAAGCAGTTATGCAAGAAGCCTAGAGGGAAAAACGGTTAGGACTGAAAAAAGGCCTCATAATAAAGACAAAAAACCTTATCAGGAAAATACATATGCAGAAAAAAATCCGTACGAAGACCAATGATCACGGGAAAATCGGTTTTCGTAATCAGGAACAAAGCGAGCCAATTGACATTGATCCGTCTTCTTCAAAGTATAGACAGCCTACAGCATTTGGCCAACAACAAGCAAATGCAAATTTAATCAAGCACAGGCGCAGGCGTATAAGAGTTAACGAGCTAACGCATTTGCCGATCCAAAGGAGTATCTCCCATTTAACACAAATATCGTAGCGACCATTCGCACTACAAATGATCGACCGGTCTTCTCGCGACTATACAACTACAACAATGGGTGTTGCCGGTTTCGTGAACTCAGGATAGACAACTCCTGAGTAACGGAATCATCCGACCTTCGCGGTCACCATACAACAATCCAATTTGGGTTGTTGATAAGAAAGGAACCGATGAAGAAGGGAATAGAAAAACAACTATTGGAGATTGATTTTCAAACTCAATTCAGTCATCATCGATGATAAATACCCGATCCCAAATGTCACGATGATTCTGTCCAATATGGGCAAAGCAAAATTCTTCACGACATTGGATTTAAAATGTGATTTTCATCAGATAAATCATGCAGAACAGGATCGCGAAAAACCCGCATTTTCCGTAAACAACGGGAAATACGTATTCTGTCGGCTGCCTTCCGGACTAAAAAACGCGCCAAGCGTATTTCAATGGGCAATCAATGATGTAAGTCAACAACAAAGCTGTTACACAATTCTCGCTGCGATTAAGAACCGCTGCAATAGCGCGAAACTACCGCAATTCAGCAACTTGTCGCGGAGTGCAGACAATGTCGCAAGAGTCATCAGCAGCGCTGCCGCCATCAACTCAGACTTTAGCTAGCTAGAGTACAGTTGTCTTAAGAATAAAGCAGTCTGAAATCTGGGATCTACTTGATCAAATGTAAAAATAAAACTCAAGATCTTTTATTTCAATTGGCGCGCGAGCAGGGACCGATCGCGAATACGACAGTGAACAAAGTTATCTAAGTACGCGAATCGACTACGATTAACGATAGAACATTTAAGTGCGTGTAATCATTAATTGACACGATAAAGTCAAATCCAAATTGCAGCCACCGTTTGCGCAACGTGGGCTCAAGCTTTATCCGTTCCGTTCGCAGAGCACATCTTAAAATAACGTATAAAAATGGATTAATTCGGCATCATCGAAAATGGAGCGTGCACCAACAGAGAAAGAGAAAGAGAAAGAAAATTAGTGATTAAGTGAAAATAAATTGGAACAACAAAATATATTTAAATAATTAATACAAATTAAATTAAGAAAAAAACAAAAACAACTAATCAAATCAAAATATATTTACAAATATAAGTTAAGAAAATTAATAAAGAAAATATATCAAAGTAATATTAAAATTTTAAATTCTACAAAGCAACAAAGAAAAATAATAATAAGAATAACAAAAGAAACAAAATCAAATATAAACAAGTAGACAGACGATGCGTCAAAACACTAGAAATGGTGAAAATAATTCCATCGAAAACTATATGGACCGAATAATCAATGATAGATTGACAACAATACTAAACATGAGTGTTAACGGTAATGCTAGCGATTTTGCTCAGGCAGGCGCCTATTGCATAGACCCCGATTCTAGAGGCAACACTACTGATCCGTAGTAAAATAACTCATCATGCAGACCAAGTACTAGACTCTTACAATATGCCCCTAAACTGGGAGGCAATTGCTCGATGCCTTATGCTACACTTTGCGAACAAAACGACTTAAGTACACTGGAGTACCACTATGATACAAAACGGACAACAA